ACCTGCAACGGCGATGATTGAGTAAGAGGCCTACCTTGGATGCGGAAGTGAAGATGCTCAGTGCCACCTTCGCGTAGGGATGCACCTGCGCATGAATGTTAGTCACGTACAGAAGAGAGAGAGATAGTTTGTACATCTGCAATCGTGTTGGCGATGGAGTTGAATGCCTTCAACGGTTTGAGCAACACGGAGAACGTATCGATTGTATCAGAAACAGATGGTAGGTTGTTGGTCGCGAAATAAGTATCTTGGAGTATTGCTGCGATGTGGCTGGCGCCTGCGAGACCTTTGTTAGCATTGGCGATTCTTTCGTTCACAAATTTCGGGTCGAGATGTCCGGCCTAAGTATAGACGTCAGCACATTGTCAAAAGAGACGGATGAGGATGTTCCGAACTTCGTTAGTCGAGCTTACTTCTACAATCCCTGAATTGGAAGACCGCTCGCAATCTGGTTCGAGAGTGAGAGGGGTGAGATCCTGCAGAATCAATTAGTACCAATCATAGCATACGGGGCACATTCAGAGTTTAGATTACGCTAACCTTGGTTGACTGAACAGGTTGGGTGTCCTGCAGACTGAAACTTGCAGCCGTGGGTTCAGGGTTTGGGGATTGTCGAGCACTTCGAGCGAAGCGCTTGGTCACCTTGCCAAAGAGCTTGCAAACTGGGCCTGGGCGTCGTACATGAGATCCATTCCTCGAAGGCGAGAGAGAAGACGGCTGTAAAAATTAGAGATGATGTAGTTGCTAAGATGAGAGTTCATACATCGTGACTGGCTGTCCCCCTGCCTCTCTCTACCAAATGAGGGTCTGAATGACTTGACTTCAGCTGCCTCCAGCGGTTCTTGCGAGGAGGATTGTTTTCATCCATCCAGTAAGTGAGAAAGATAGGTGGATGTGCGTGATTTAGTGTAATGTTAGTGAGAGGCGTGGTGGTAGCAAATAGGATCGACTGGCGTCTACATGTCTGCAATGAGGATAATTATTGATGATGAATATCTGAATGTTGGAAGCGCCCGTTATTGAAGCTTGAGAAATCAACAAGTCAAAACAAGACCTGGCCAGTGACTTGTCGAGTTGGACCACAGTACTAGTGACAACATTCGTTGACGCGTTGTATCCCATAGTTTTCAGCCCAAGCGGTTCACAAGTTTTTGAAGTCGGAATGGCGCTCCTTTCAGACCGTCAAAAAGAAGAACTGTGCGTGAACCGGGCTCCAGAATAATTGTCTACTACTGAACATGGCCGTGTATCGATACAGACATAAATCCATGCTGGAGTACCTGCATACGAGCAATTTCACAGCAGCTTACAACGCGCTAAAGGAGGACACTGGGGTGGAGTATACACCAGATCCCAAGGCCAAGTATGCGGGTCTATTGGAGAAGAAATGGACCAGCGTTATACGGCTACAGAAGAAGGTGCGTTCTGAGATATCTATCACCGTGTTGATGATCGAACACATGTTTCATTGCAGATCATGGATCTCGAGACCCGAAATGCATCTCTTCAAGAAGAACTATCCATTGCTCCATCAAAACGTGCTGCAATGCAAGCAGATTGGGTACCTCGCGCCCCCGCAGCACACGTGTTGACCGGCCACAGAGGTCACATCACACGCGTCGCTTTCCATCCACAATACTCGATATTGGCCTCTGCAAGCGAGGATGCAACAGTGAAGATATGGGACTGGGAAACAGGCGAGTTCGAACGGACATTAAAGGGACACCACCGTGCCGTCCATGATGTCGATTTTGATCACAAGGGACACTTGCTCGGTGAGTGACATGCACGTGTGTGCAAGCACCGCTGATGAGTCTATATCGGTGATGATGTTCACAGTGACATGTTCGTCTGACCTATTTATCAAGATATGGGACTCCGAAAATGAGTGGAAGAACACAAAGACACTATCAGGGCACGATCACTCGGTATCTTCAGTCCGATTTATGCCAGGAGATCAATATATCGTCAGTGCAAGTCGAGATAGCACAATTCGCGTTTTCGATGTTGCATCAACGTAGGAGTGCACTCCCGCATTTATTCAAGGGAGCTGATTTCACATATGGTAAAGACATCTAGTACGAACGATCTCCGGTCATTCAGAATGGGTGCGTTGCGCGGTGCCCTCAGATGACGGCCGATTACTTGCAAGCGCGTCAAAAGACAAGGTAAGCCTTCATGTTTCGTTCAACAAACATCCTCTCATATTCGAGATTTCAGACTGCAAAACTATGGGATCCCCTGACGGGAGAATGCAAAGGAGAGCTAAGAGGGCATGATAATGAGCTGGAAACGGTTTGCTTTGCACCCGTGGCTGCATACGCCGCCATTCGTGAGCTTGCGGGCCTGCCAGTAAGACCAGATGATTATCAGCAGTGATCACGTATCCTGAATCATTCCCATTTAGAACGTGGGTTCCAAGGGTCCCGGGGCTTATGTCGCTACTGGATCCCGAGACAAGACCATCAAGCTTTGGGACGTCCAGAGCGGACAGATGATTAAGAACCTTGTAATGTATAATCCCCTTTGCGCAGATACCTACTGATTTCTTTTAGCCCGGACATGACAACTGGGTGCGCGCACTTGTCTTCCACCCCTCCGGCAAGCTTCTTTTGTCGGCAGCGGACGACAAGACAATACGTGTGTGGGAGCTGTCCACAGGGCGATGCATGAAGACTGTGGAGGCACATTCTCACTTTGTAGCAACGCTTGCATGGGGTCGGCAGAGGGTTTCCACTGCCAAATCAAACGGCGCGGATGCAAAGGCTGGCGAAGCAGAAAAGCTTGTGAATGTTGTCGCGTCAGCTGGCGTTGACCAGATAATCAAGATATGGCTTCCATGATACATTCACTCAGAGAGCTTAAGCTATACTTTGAATTTTGGCAGTATATGCGCTTTCGTACTTCGTTCCCATTCTCTGCGAGACCTTGGTGAGTCCTTGTGCCTTCCTCATGGGTCTAGTGTCGGGAGCTGATATGCACTACTAGCTTGACTACTTGGCACGGTGCATCGTACGACTCTCCTTACGACAAATCCATCACGATCATTCATTCACGAACTTTCTTCTTTCGCTCTCAAGATTCGGTTCCTTCAACATACCCATATTACTCCTATATATTCAGGTTGTAACCGCTGTACAAGATAAATTCGGGATCTTCGCAAACGGAACAGAATGACACGGCAATTAAACTATGTGCCATCAAAACCACAATACTCGACATGGTATGACTGTCTTCGGGGCTCGCCAATGAGTTTGAACGTGGATCCGAACATCGTGTCGTTTTGGTTTTGTCAGAGCACACTATCGTCGACGAGTTTGATGCCGCTGGAAGCACTTACCCTGGAAGAGTTCGGTGTCTGCCAAAACTGTCTTCAATGGCTAGGCCAGACATTTGAATGTCTTTCTTACCTCTACCGGCGATACGGCGGCCGTCTGGTCAAATGACATTTCAAATATACGCGCCTTTCTACCTCCAGGAGTTGTTTCTTGCTTTTTGTATCCTGAACGATGGTATACTCTCACAGACACCCTTCCTGCTAACAATTCAGAGCGTATGACACTGAGCACAGTACTTGCTGCGCGCTGGAAGTGGCCAATTGCTCTATTCGTCTTCTTTAGCCACACCTGCACTATTCCGTTCCACGATACACATCGAAATGTCTCACTGTCTATGTGCAAATATAACGATATTCGGCTATCTTGAACAATACTAGAACGCTCTTCTTTATTGTTACCTCACAGGCCGGGATAGTTCCTTCCATTTCCCGCTGGCGATCCTGAGGCCTGATCAACTAAGGTTCCTTCGCACCTTGCTGTGTAATGGTCAAAAGCTATAGCCAAAGGCTTTTGTCCTTAGAGTCCCTGTACTTTTTGCAAACAGCCGTAAGTGACGCTCAATTACCTACTCCTTCTGACCGATTCTGAGGCTGATTCTTTGTTATCGTTATTCGCCTTGTCGTCAGGGATGTGCATAACCAAGGCGCCTGCCCTTTCATTGCCTTTCATACACAAAAGGAATACACAAATGAATTTTAATGCACCTTCAGGGACATAGACGGACAGGAATATCCGTTTTACCAGGTGTCCTATGGGGAAACCGTACATTGCGGCAGGTAGACAGGAACAAGAAACCTGGGCAATTTAAAAAATTTCAACACCTTAACGTCGCCAACCACGTACGCGTATACTTATCTGTATTGCCTGGAACTTATCTTCGTGCGGCTTCCGCTTTCACGCATGTGGGCTGAGTGCGCAGATATAGACCGGATTTGTATCAATGCGCCTTTCCTGTTCACTGATCAGAACGGAGAAATGAAGTTCGATAACTTCCCAGATCGATCACGAATCCTTGCCAAGGGCCTTACATAATCCTATATAAGTCCCTTTTTCTTTTTTTTTTCGTGTTCGTGCTGAAAAAATATACAAGTAATTGCACCATCATTCAAATTGAATCATTGAGTGGGTTCGATTGAAGAGGGGATTTCGTGACGTGTTGGTGCAGTGGCAATCATCTAACATCTATGGTGGGAAAGGTATTATCAAAAAAGCAAGTCTGTAAGGGTTCGAATTCGTTTGATAGTCCAAACGAACTTCAAGCTAACAGACATAGAGTTCTCCTGTAAGTGTCTCGCTTATGGTACGAGAGGTCACCAGTTCAAACGTTGACCGAAGTTCTAGCTCTGTTGCAACGCCACACCAACTTCACCGCTATAGGACTTGACGTAAGTATGGAGAGTCCTGCACAGTGGAACGCACCCTGAGTCCCTGACACGGGTAGACACGTCAACGAGATCAAATGAACCCAAAAGAAATGGTGTGGCACCGGTGTGAACGCGAACTTAGCACAGTTGTTATTGATCTCAGGAGATGTCGCAGATATTGACGACGAAACAGCAAAATATCATTCTTCGGTTGTAGCCCATCACGTAAACGTATTACAACCTTAATCAGCCTGCCCAAAATTAGACTTCGGGTGCAATTCGGCAATGTCCGTTATACCTGGGTGTTGTACATATTGTGAGATTTGTGTAGAGTAACTACTAGTCTCGTCAACAATCGCGATGGCGCCCTTGTCGTCGTCGTCGGGCGCGTCGACGTCTGTGCAAGTCGGTGAGCTTTGTACTAGACTTTTTATTTTACCTGTTGCTAATTTTCTGAATGAAGCTTTGCGCATACGGCCAACGACTACACAGGATACTGTATCCATTCCCGCTCGTTTTCAACGGTCTGTCATTCATGGAACGTCTTCTACTAGCGTGACCGTAGATGCTTCCTCCGCCGCTCCTACTGCATCTGGTTCTGCTACTGCCGTCGCAACTCCATCAACTGCCGCCGGTAAAAAGCAGGTGTTCACCTTCGATCAAGTCCACCCTCCAACCGTTACCCAGCATTCGCTCTTCACAAGCACTGCCCAACCACTCATCTCGCGTTTCATGGAAGGATTTAATTGTACAATTCTTGCCTATGGACAAACGAGCAGCGGAAAGACATTTACCATGACTGGTGTGGACCTTGATGCGGACCCCTCTGATCCTAATAATGGCATGGGCATCATACCGAGAGCCGTCTCTACTATCTTCTCGCAGGCGAGAAAACTTAAAGAACAACGTGGCGGGACCTGGAATTACAGCATAAAAGGGTCATTCATAGAAGTGTATAACGAGGATTTGATTGACTTGCTCAGTTCCGACGAGGCAACTGGGTTGCGGCGCGAGGTACAGATCAGAGAAGGGAAAGACGGGTCTATAATCTGGGGTGGCCTACGTGAAGTGACGGTGCGAAATAGCAATGAAGTCATGCAGTAAGTCTTCTTCCTTAAGCAGTGACTTAGCTGAGAAGATGAATTGTATAGTCTTATCCGCCAGGGAACCGCGATAAGAAGAACGAACGAAACGGATATGAATGCCCAGTCATCTCGTTCGCATGCAATCTTTTCTCTCACACTGACCCAGAAGAAATACACTGGCTCAGGCGTACCACCTCGTTCATCTTCACCATTACCACCTGGCGGCCGTTCCCCATCGCGTCTTGCTCGTCCTGGATCAATATACACAAGTGGTAACTCTCCCAATGCAAGAGTGTCGTCGCCTACTATGGGTAGGCCATCGACTCCAAGTTTCCAAGTAGCCATGGGACGAGGCGGAGGACTACGCCCTGCAAGCTCCCTCGGTCTTCGTCCCCCTGATAGCCGGCAAGATGATGATGAGAGCAGCGAGTGGACCACTATAGTGTCCAAGTTTCACTTTGTCGACCTGGCCGGCTCGGAGCGCGTATGTTATGCGTGCAATTTTAGTCTTGAAATTTTGATAGGCTAACTTTCGTCACAGTTAAAACGTACTGCCGCTGCGGGAGAGCGAATCAGAGAGGGAATCTCCATCAACAGTGGTCTCCTCGCTCTCGGCAACGTCATATCGGCGCTAGGTGACCCCTCACGTGCGAAGTCGCATACTAACTCTCATGTCCCCTATCGCGACTCCAAGCTTACCCGCCTCCTTCAAGACTCGCTTGGGGGCAATGCACACACACTTATGATCGCTTGTGTCAGTCCCACGGAGTGGAACGTCGGTGAAACTGTCAACACTTTAAAGTATGCCAACCGCGCCCGAAATATCAAGAATCGTGCAGTTGTCAACGAAAGGGAAGATGGTTGGGATGATATCGAATGGCTCCAAGGAACGGTCACTCGTCTTCGCAAGGAGGTCAAACAACTCAAAGAAGGTGGCACCATCATTTCTACGAATTCCTCTCCAGCCGTTGGTGAGGTGACGGAGGGAAACTCCAAAAAGATCCTTGCACAGATGACAGACCTTCAAAATAATTATGAGAGTCTACGCGAGAAATACGTGGAGCGGACGGAAGACCTTACTCGCTTACGTCGCGAGATTGGCGAGCGTCACCGCACGTCATCTGGCGGAACTGTTGGCGGTACGGCTAAATACGAAGAGATCGTTGGACCTGTCATCGAGGAATACGAGAAGACCATCAGCGCCATGGAGGCTGAGTTAGGCCTCAATCGCGCTGCGCTCAGGCTTACCAATGACATGATGGAGGAAAAAGAAGAAGAGCTCGCCCAGATCACCGAGAGACATTCTGCAACTGAATTATACGTTGAAGAGCTCCGTACGCGGCTGGCGAAGCTTACAGAACGGGAAGCATCAACTGAGGTTCGCAATGACTTTGTTGAAATTAAAGCACATTTCTAATTGAATTCATTCAACGCAGGCTTACGTCCGTGATTTAGAAGAGAAGATGAAGTCTTTTGACGAAACATCTATGTCATCGAGCGAGTCACTGACTGACCTGAAGCGCGAGGTCTCCCGTTATAAAGAAGCCGAATCGCACTCAGCCTCATACATAGCTGACCTCGAAGCTCGCCTCGCCCGCTCTGACGAATCGGTGCTAACCTTGCAGCAGACGATCGAGCGACTCGAGAATGACTGTGAACGTCGAAGAGAGGAAGTAGATGCTCTGACGACACGCTTGGAGAACCTTAACCGAGACGGTGCTGGTTGGCGGACTGATCTCGAAGAAAGGGAGAGGAAGGTCAAGGAACTGGAGCAGAAGATGGAAGCCTGGGAGCGAAAGAGGAAGGAAGCCAACGAAGACCGCATCCGACTTGGTGACGTGGTTGGTGAGGTTGAGCTGGCAAAACGTAGTCTCGAGTCCTTGAACGGCGGGAGCACCAAAGTCAATTTTCCTACTACTTCCGGTGCCAGCACGCCAGCTTCTGTGGACCTTTCCGTCGAGAATCAATTGGTCGCCCTGCGGCAAACTCACGCTGCAACACTCACAGATCTCTCGTCTGTTTCCAAGAAGTACCAGGATGCACTTCAGGAGATTGCTGATCTTGCTGCTCAAATTCAGGAAGCTAGACTCAGCAATCCGACGATCCCGGAGACTTCGGCCGTTGATAAAGCGGACACCCCGTTATTCCGTCGGCGAATGACATCTTCCAAGAGTCGAGATGGTCTTACTGAGCCTCTATATGATACAGCTGGTCGACGTCTTTTTTTCAGGCAAGCAGCCTCTGTAGATTCTCTTCACGGAAGGTGTGTTTCGAATGACATCTGTCTTTCATCGAGTTTGAATTTTTTTGTAGAGCATTACATCAGTCGTTGCCACAATCACTTTCGCTTTCACAGGAGCTCTCATCAGTCAGGTCTCGAGAGACTTCGATATCGAGTCACGGAAGCAGTGGTTCTGTCTCGTATTCTCCATCACATCGTCCGAACCTCTCCATATCTCTTTCCAGTGTCAGTGGCGCTACCACTCCCGCTGAACAGCGCTCTGCGGTGAGCATGGAGAAGGAGATTATGCGCTTGCAAGAGGTTCTTAAAGAGCGTGAAGCTGAAATTGGCGTTCTTGAGTCTTCGCTGAAGGAAAAGGAACAGACAACGCCAATTCTGGTTGCATCGCAAGCTCTCCAATCCACAGAGGCCGACGATTTGACACACCTTTCCCCCAAGACGATTCAGAAGTTCGATGCCGTCCGAAAGAGTATGAAGCTACATCACGATCTCATCCCTGATGTTGACGTTGATGTACCTGATAACGATGTCGATGAATCGCTTGACAGGTTAAACGAACTGATGTTGTATGTTGATAGCACATGTCTTATTCTGTTTTCTGATTACTCGTCTATTGTCCAGGTCCATGGCACAGAAGGAGTCTCAGCACAAAGAACTCGTTGACTCTCTTCATGGTCAACTTGCTCTGGTGCAACGTGCGCACGATGAATTGACCAATCTTTCTAGGGATCAGGTAGGCAGACAACTCCTGACTACCATGCCTATCAGACACTGATTACATGCAGGCGCTGAACATGTCGACCGAACTTGAAGGTCTCCGTGCCAAACACCACGAGGATCTTTTGGATTTGGAGACAGTCAGGCAGCGTGAGGCGGAGCTTCTCGCATCCATCAAGATAGCTCAGGAGAGTCCACGCCGACGAGCTTGCGGAGCTAAGGTCTCAGCACGAAGACGCTCTTCGTGCGAAGGGAATTGAGATTGAGGAATTAATCTCTCGCCTGAAAAACGAGCATCAGACATCTCTTGGTACCTTACGAGATCAGCTGTCAGAGGCATCTGCAGCTCTGGAGAAGGCCCTCGAGGAGCATGAGAGTGCGTTCGGCAAGCTCCAGGCCGAACACGGACGAGGATCCTCCAGCGACATTCTCAAGAGGCTAAGGAGATTCTCGAACGTACTATCGAGGAGCATCAGAACGCTATGGCCAAATCCAAGACCGACCATGCAGAAGTCTTGAAGTCCAAAGACGAGCAAGTGGCTACCGACCTCCACCGCACCGAAGAGGAGTACTACAATGCGCTCACTAAACTTCGCAAGGACCACGCAGATGCTTTGCAAAGGCAAGCTACTGAAGCTGCTGCGATGCTTGAGCGCTTGCGTGAAGATCACGCTAGCGAGCTTCGCATGTCTGAGAAAGCTCGTGAATGCTCCTTGTCAGAGTCGGAGTCATCTCGTGATTCAGTGCTTCGCGAACTTCAGGATGAGCATGCTGCTGCCATTGCCAGGAAGGAGGCTGCGTATGCGGAGGATGTAGAGAAACTCAAATCGGAGCATGTGCGCCTCCTTTCGAACAAAGAGGAGGACTACAGAGCAAGGCGTGAGCATCTGAAATCTGAGCATGCCACCGCCATGGCTGTCCTCAGGGAGGAGTCGGAAGCCCAAGTGGAGCAGCTCACGAAGGCCCTGGCGCGTCTGGAAGAAGAAACAGCTGCCACAGTTGTGAAGTTGCGCGAGGAGCATGTATCCGCTACTCAGGTTCTGACGGAACAACATACAGCGTCACTGCTACAGATCACTCGTGACCACGAAGAAGAGGCTGCTCGACTCAAGTTGTTGCATGCCTCTGAACTCGACGACGCAATTACAAAGGCTCAGAAAGAACATGCATCCCTCCTCACCTCCCACTCAGCGGCAATCACGAATCTCAAATCTGAACACCAAATGTTACTTGCCGAAGTTCAAGTATCCCTCGTCGCTGCTCAAGAAAGGCATGCTTCCGACCTCCGAGAGTCTGGAACAGCAAGTGAGCATATGCTTGCTGAAGAACGTAAACGCCTTGCTGTTACCGTTGCCGACCTTGAGCAGGAACACTCTGACGAGCGTGATGCTCTCCGCAAGGAACGAGATCTTCTCCGTCAAGAGCTAGAGTCCCATAAAGTCGCGATCCTGGATGTTCAGGAACAAAGTGAACGAGGAGTACTTGCAGAGAGACAGCGTTCACAATCAGCCGTAACTGAGCTCGAGGAGAAGTACTCTGCTGAACGCACCACGATGCGTGAGGACTACAAAGCGCTTGTTCAGGAACTTGAGGCTCACAAAGCTGCCGCAAGCGACTTAGTGGCTGTACGTGCAGAGTACGAATTGGCCGTATCCGAACAGACGACCACCGTGGCATCCTTGGAGAAGAGTTTTGCCGGTGCACAATCGGAGAAAGTAGACCTTCAGGCGCAGGTTACCAAACTGACGGCTGAACTGGAGAAGACATGGTCAGAACGGGCCACGTTTATCCAGGAAGCATCTAAGCGCGAATCATTGGTTGACGAGCTTGATAGACATCGCTCCCTTATCGCTGAGCTACAAGAGAATCTTCAGCGCGCTAAGGACGAGAAAGATAACTTGCAAGTGGAGAGGACTAAGCAGGAGACTGCTATGCGCGATATGCAGATGCAGATTGCACGCACATCGGTTCAAGAGACCTCGACACCACGAGCAACACCTGATCGCAATATCCCTTTTACTCGTCTCAACGGTATGGGCTCCAAGCTTCCTCCCCCCACACCCCCGCCGTCCATGCCACCGCCACCAGCACCGAAAGCTCAGGAATCCCAGTTCAGCTTATCTACTCAATCTTCTACTATGTCTTCGAAAGACTCTACCGACTCTTCTGCTACGTCGGTTGCCTCTGTACTTGCACCAAGCGGCCCTCAAGTAGACTCCAAGGCCATCGCTGCCAAGCTCGAGGATCAAGCGAAGCATATCGATGAACAGGAGGTGATGATCAAGACACTCAACAAACAGCTATCTCACTGTGAGAGTGATTTGGCTACTCACATGGATCTCGTGAGCACACTAGAGACATCATTGAGCGACTCTGAGAAGAATCGTATGTTTCTGTCCATGCTTACCATATTGTTTGAGCTAACCATTTATATTTTGTCTTGCAGTTCGCAAAGCGCGCATGCAAGCAACGGAGCTTGCGAGGGAACGAGACTCGCTCAATTCCCAAATTGAGGGCCTTCGCAACGAGTTACAGGAAGCGCGCCGTGAGGTTGTTACTGTTCGGAAATCGATCGTGGAAGAAAAACAGTCCCTCGAATCGCGTCTTGACGAAGAACGACGTGCGAAGGAACGTGCTCGTGCGCAGCTCGACTCCCGGATGGAGGAGCTACAAAAACGGAAATCGAAGTTTGCCTGTCTATAGCGTGCCTGTCAAGTTTGCATTCACATCTTTTCGGCCTGTGAGTTGTTACGACTCATGTCGGACCTCTATGCCTATTCTTTTTGCACCTTGCTTATTATACCAATTTTCGCGAGCTGCGAGATCGGTTAGCGATTATGTCTCTTGTGTCCTGATACCCCTTGGTTGTGGAGCTAGTTTATCGCGTCTACTATGGGTATCCCTGGTATGTTTGTCCGTACTGGCTACTTCCCTGTTATAATATGATATAGTTCGGATCTTTGCTAACTCGTGTTTCGGCTATGATCCGCTTGAACGGTGTCAACGTCACCGTGGCGATTATGTCGGCCGCTGTTCGCGAGTCATATGCGCAACATCCCTCGGACATTCCAGCATGGGAACCTAGTAGAAAATCCTCCACGCTGTCTAGTATACGATGCCAGCCTTCGAATTCTGAAGTCTGATGAATGTCCGAGAATCAATGTGTTTAAAGTCGATTTGAAGTTATGATCTTTGTTGTGAACGTTGACAATTGTTTGAGAAATAATCTTCCCCGCGGTTGTATTCCCCGCAAATTTGAGGTGGAGAAATGTCGTAAGTGACGTTACTGTCGGACCGGCTTATTATGTAGTAGCATAAGGCTAAGGCGGCGACTTTAAATTCCATTTCACAAACTTTGCCTCCTCCCACCCTCCGTCTCCCACTATGTCCCTCAGCTTTTTTGCTCGTGCTGCCCCCACTGTCCGGCGGTCAACAGTCCTCATCCGCACTGTTCAGTCCTCTGTGAGATTCCAGAGTAGCGCGCCAACAAAACAGAAACATGTTCCCCGTGTTCTTCCTGCGTTCTCTCTTGAGGGAAAGGTGGGCCTTTCAGTTCGTCTTTACGCTTGATTGAGTCGTCTAACTATTTTATAGGTCTGTCTAATCACTGGTGCTGCCAGAGGTCTAGGTAATGAATTCTGTCGTGCATTCATACAATCGTTCGTCTTTTTGGACTTCTTAATTTACCGTGATGAAGGACTAATCTATTTTGGATTGTAGTGGATGCACGGAATTGGCTATTGTTGATCTAAAGGAGAGCGAGGCGCAAGCTGCTGCTGCTGAACTAGTCTCAAATGCATGCCGTTCGTAGTCTGCTGTATTCTGACGACAGTACTGAAGAGCATCAAGTTAACAGCGACATGACCCCGGAAGACTATAACGTGATTGGCGTCGGATGCGACGTGTCATCAGAGTTATCTGTTCAGCGCGCATTTGAGCATGTGATGGACACGTACGGGCGATTGGATTCGGTGGTTGCATCTGCAGGTAAATCCCTCCGTTTGCCGCAGCATTCATCAGAAACGTGAATGATATGATGTGATGCCCAGGAATTGTGGAGAATTACTCTGCATTCGAGTAAGTCGCTCGCCATGTGTTGGAGCGTTCGTTGGAGCTGACGACCGGATCATAGTTACCCATTCGACCGGATAAAGCGCTTGTATGACATCAACGTGCATGGGGCCTTCTTTACTGCGCGAGAAGCCGCTCGGAACATGATTCCTCAGGGAGGAGGCTCCATCGTCCTTGTTGCTAGTATGAGTGCATCGGTATGTTAATCTGTGGAGACGCTCTTCTTTGTGAAATGGCTCTGACGATGTGTCTGTGCAGATCATCAATATTCCGCAGGTGAGTGATTGATTCCGGGATAAACTCATCGAGAGGATCTAACCTTAATCGCTTCGGGGATAGCCGCAAACACCTTACAATGCTTCAAAAGCGGGTGCGTCCGCATTCTACCTGCTGTCAATTGCAAGGTCACTGACACGATATTATTCTGATAGCGGTCCGTCACATGGCGTCGAGTTTGGGAGTGGAGTGGGCGAAGAAGGGTGTGCGAGTTAATACATTGAGGTTCGTGTTACGTTTCGCGTGGCTAAGTGCGGGCTGATATGGGTCATGAAGTCCTGGATACATGTTGACAAAGCTTACGAAAACGATCCTCGCCCATGACCAAGATCTGAAGGTTGGTGCTTGTTGGTAGACTTGTTCGCTTGAAAGCTAATGGTAGTACAGAAAACCTGGGAGAGCCTGACGCCTATGGGCAAGGTGAGGTTAGCCGAGTTGATTTAGACGCCCTACTGACTGGGTGAACGATTAGATGGGTGAACCAGAGGACTTGGCTGGTGCCATTGTTTTCTTGGCAAGTGATGCATCTAAATTCATGACTGGAGCCGAAGTTCGCGTTGATGGGGGCTACTGCGTTATCTAAGCGAGTCGTTCTTATTCTTGGATCGTGTTTTGTTATGCAAAATGTTGGGAGTAGAATCACATAGAGTTTTTTACTAGATTAATTTCAGCTGTTTATAATACATGGTTTTATGGTGTCCCGCTTCCGAACAAAGTATAGTACTAGGTTTCCCATGGTAAGACTTGCCTTGAAGCGAGAAGGGTACGATAAGAACTTTTACATATTGTGGATGTCTCCACTTGGTGGATACCCAATATTCAATTATGTAAATTGTTTTAATGAGGCAAATATTGTTATTGAATTAAACGCAACGCCGGGCCAAAGATAGCAGGAGATTAAAGTATATTATTATGCTTAAGACCAGGATAAATAACCCAAAGAGGGCTAGCCAGTCCGATGCCGCAAACCTGAATGACATCATATATGTAGCTATTATAAATTACACTTCAATTCAAATCGCATATTATTGGGTTTTTCACCTACCTCGAACACGAGTCAAAATCATGTCCCTAAGTTCGCAACATGCGAATCTCACCCATAGGCCTTCCTCCCTGTCCAGATCCCAAGACACCCCACCCTCATCTGCTAACATACCTAGTTCCACTTCCACTATACCATCTACCTTTGAATTCACCAAGCGCAAACGCTGGGCAGATCTTCTGATACACGAATTGTCAGAGGCAATCATCTTTGTGCTCTCCAGCGAGTCAAAGATCTTATTTTGCTCAAGGGCCGTCTCAGAATTACTGGGTTGGCGAGATACAGAGCTTATTGACAAGGATATCCTCGACTTTGTCAACGGTAAGCATGCTTACCGTCTTCCAGTCGTGTTACCCGCGTGTGTTCATTTGTCATTCATTTCTTCAGGCGAAGATAAGCATGCTTTCCGTGTGTCATTTGAACAATCACTACGCTTGCGCATGGAAATGTTATCCTATGTTCGGTTCAAGTGTCAAAGCGAGTATACTTCTCCTGCCAAAGAGGTTCTCTTTGAAGTGAAGGGTTACCCTCACTACATCGATGATGAACAATACCCGCGGTGCTTTTTCGCGGTGGCAAAACCATATCCGAGTCGGAACACAGCAATGTAAGTGCATAAGCATGAATACATAAGTTAATTTTAGCGTAATTTCCTGGCTGTCTGATGGAACTTTCTCGTACTCACTAGGTTAAACACATTCCTCGAGCTCAAGATTGAAAATGAACGGTTACAACAGCGCCTCGCCGATCTCAGAGTTCGGATACCGCCATCTTCTATTGCTCAAACTGGTCAATCGATGGCTTCCATGTATTCTACACCTTCCAGTTCTCGTGGGCCTGTCTCAATGGTGACCCACCGCCCTGTGGGCGATTTACCCACCACGTGTTATGCGACCCATCAGACGAGCACGTCTTATGATGATTTGGTGACACAAACAAATCATCATCAACCACGGGGATTTACTGATTCTCCGAACGTGTACACATACGGTAGCTATACTCATCATGATGATGCCGGTCAACAAGCGCAACAGCCGATAGAAGACAATTATGGCGACGATGCTGCCAGAAGGAAAAGAGTGTGTATCGCCATCGAACGTGAGCATTTATACTTATCGGTGATCCAGATCCGCAAGATGCACGCCGCAGAGCAGTACGTATGCGTTACTTGTGGGCGTACAGATTCCCCAGAATGGCGCAAGGTCTGTCGCCTGCATCTTTCATATTCCATTCGTTGATATCTTCTCAGGGCCCACAAGGGCCAAAAACCCTTTGCAATGCCTGTGGTTTGCGATGGGCAAAACAAGTACGCACCAGACAGGATGAAGAACAGCCTAGCGCTGGACCTAGCACCTGAATTCTATTCGGCACGCCGCACCTGTCAGCGTACCGCCTTTCACGGACATATTTTCCCTTCAGTTGATGTGAAGGGCCAGGCTGTTTTATGGCATGCGGTCATCTTGTGAATGAATGATAATCGCTGAGCTGTTGGACCACTTTATGGTACCAGTTTTCTTGCATAGAACACTTATATACACGATACGTAATATGTATATTAGATGTTGCACTCTTCAACCGACCCTTGGGGATATGGCTGTGTCTGAACCTACTTGTCGCGCCGCGATCCGATAATATTGGAAGTCCGTGACGCGTGAAGTCGTGAACTGGAGCAGGGTCCTACTGACTCCTACAGTCGTTTGCATAATGGTCTAGACAACCAAAGTAATTTCATACCCTGTTTAGCAGGACCGTGGCTGCCGATGTCGGACATTGAATTTAACAGGTGGCGAGCGCTGAGCTGGTGGCGTCTACTGACCCCAAGTATAATCAGGCCGCACTCATGGATGTCACCTCGCAAGAATTCTTTAGCAGCTGCAAGAGTACACAAGGTATGATCATGTATTCTGCAATGCTAATTTCATTGTACAGGTCGCGTAGTACACCGGAGCAAGGTTCTGCATGTGTCTCGCAAGGACTTTGCCAAGTCACTATAGACAAAGCTGCCCAGGAAAAAGCCGACAACGATTATTCTTGCGCATTGACTAAGACATTCAACGGCTCACTAGCATCACACAAGCGCGACGAGCTCGAGACTATGGCCGGCGCTCTTTTGCTGCAGACAATGGTTGAGCAGACTGCGCGAATCAAAGAACACTTTGCAGCAAATTCAGTTAGCCCAAGGTTCACGGGACTTCTTGAGAAGAAACGAACAGAAGACATGTAGGAAATGACCAGTCTGTATGGAGTTTGCGCAGACTTCGCGCCAAAGTATGGGGACATGTCTAGTAGGCATGTCCGTGATCGGAAAGTTCCGGGCGGTCTAAGCTGGCTGCCATCACCGCAACCACCCTGCCCTGCCGTCCAAATCAGCCACCATCACGTATCCCGCTATCTATGTCAAGTGTTATACCAATCAATCTCGACATCCTTGTCCGCTTGCTGTCATGGTTCTAGTCACCTGGAGGGAGGACATGGCAACTGTAGACTGGGAGCTGTGGACAACGACATGGCGTTGGCAGGCGGCTAGGAAACGGGCAAACACAGTAGACGGACAGGCGAGCGTGAGAGACTTGCAGGGATCAGAATAGATGGAGGTGATGATCCTGATGGCAGGCAGGCGGGATGATAGTGACATCGTGCGGTGGCCTTGACGACTCGGGCAATTTCTGAATCTGAGCAACCCACTAACAGGATACAATTCTGCATCCAGTTTGCATAGATCTCACACAGACCGGCTTAATACTGCCTTTTCTGAACGAACCAGTGCTGCCACAGCGTCGATGGCTTCAACTGCCACCAGAACTTCCTGCAACCTCCAGTTCATCCCAGCCTGGTCAAGCGCTACCACCGCATTTCATACATCCGTCATCTCACTGGTTTCAGCATTCCCGCACCACATGCACCATTTATTTTGGCTCAACCCCCACATCTGGTGAGTCATGGGCTTCACAATCCATTTATGTATCAATACCCACTGGTACATCCACAATTCCAGCAATTTTTATACAGCATTAATGATTTGCGATTAGTTCTATATAATAGTATACGCTGTAGCTCACAGATTACTAGTAACATCTCAATCAATCACTGTTGCGGTATACCATTCGTGAATCTACTGCCGAGCAGACTGCTGGTGTGACTGTTCGTGACATAAGTGTAACCCACGAGGTAGCCCATCACCAATAGTGTATAGTATATACGGACTCCAACTCCACCTGCAGAGTAGACTGTTCGTCCTCTGCGCTAAACGGTGATAGATCATTACGACACCATGTCTACGCCAGAAGTATATTCAATCGCCAAAACTCCAGTGACGTGCCACGCATTCAACGCGGACCGCAGCCGTACGTCCTACCTCGATGTATTCTTTGAATACTAAGTAGCAAACGTTTCCTTCGTCACAGAGGTTGCTGTGAGCTTGAATGACAACAACGTCCAGATCTATGCCAAGCAGGGAAAGGAGTGGATTCTATCTGAGACACTCTCCGAGGTGTGTTATGATCGATGCATACTACTGGCCCATCAACATGTACTGACTCGCGAATTTTCCAGCACGATAAACTGATCACGTCGATCGATTGGGCCCCAAACTCCAACCGCATTGTCACCGCCTCACAAGATCGCAATGCATACGTCTGGTCCCTCTCTCCCGATCTGCTTACTGGAAATTTGGTGTGGAAGCCTACTTTGGTGCTTCTTCGTATCAACAGAGCCGCTACCTTTGTCCGTTGGAGCCCCAACGAAGACAAATTTGCAGTTGCAAGTGGTGCAAGGTACGTATCCCCTTCTTTGCGAGACGATGTCATTTCATCAGGTATATACAGGGCGATTGCTATTTGTTCGTTTGATCCTGAGAACAATTGGTGGGTGGCAAGGCAGCTCAAGAAACCAATCAGATCGACCGTCTTGTCTGTCGACTGGCATCCGAACAATGTCTTACTGGCTGCAGGGAGCGCTGATATGAAGGCACGCGTGTTCTCTGCTTACATCAAAGACGTGGACAAGAGGTAACGACAAGCTCTGGATTGCAGTCATATCGTTTACCTTTAATTTGTAGGCCCTCGCCTACCATCTGGGGCGAGAAGCTTCCCTTCAACACTATCTGTGGAGAATACAGTAGCCCCGCAGGCGGATGGGTTCACGCAGTCGGATTTTCTCCTTCTGGAGATGTTTTAGCTTTTGCCAGTGAGTTGCAGCATATTTGCGTTTTCGCAGGAAGACCTACGATTTTCACAGGTCATGATAGCTCTATCAGCATCGTTTACCCTGGCGGTCCCATGGTTTACAATATTCGCATTAGTTCTCTGCCATACGTGACTTTAACTTGGACTTCCGAGGACGCGTTGGTTGCAGCTGGCCACGATTGTCAACCTGTCGTTTTCTCCGGCTCGGAGCAAGGTTGGGGGCTTATTGGCACTTTAGATGATATCACCGCTTCCAGTGCATCGAAGACTCAGGGTGCAAGGACTGGGACTGTCGGGAGGTTGAACAGTGCAGCGTTCAACACGTTCAGGAATGCGGATACGCGTGGACATACTGGAGGAGGAGATACCGCTTCTGACACGGAATTGCTTACTGTGCACCAGAACACGATCACCAGCGTCAGGCCGTACGCGTATGGGGGTGAGGGGATTGTTAGCAGGGTGAGCACTACCGGAGTGGATGGAAAGCTTGTCATTTGGGATGTTAATGCTGTGTCGGCCCTTACTGGAAAGATGGGCGGCTTGAGGGTCTGAAGCTATGATAATTTGTTTGTACAATTAATCGTACATTGAATAATGTATTATGCACGAAACTCTTTTGGATCAGTATCATCTTTGGGTAGTGTCAGCCATCGCGTACGCGTATCCACTCTCGATCTCTTGAACTGGCTGCTCGTTGATGACGCCCCAGACTGATGCTTTGAACTGTACCATCTAGATCAGCCTGAAATTGCAGAAGTGAAGGGGTATCAGAATACCAAGGTCAAGACCAAGCCCATTTTTCTCTCCAACACTCTTAAACGCGCGATTAGATTCTCATCTGGTCCCTCGGATAGTTGTCTCGTGGTGACGGTCAACTGCCACACAGATCAGGATCTCATTAACACTCGAAGATGCGAACCCACATCTTTGACGTGTTGCGATAGTTTAGCGTACTCCCACAAAACATTGGCCTCCAGCGCGGTCAGACTCGGGTGCGATTCGTACGGGTTCGCATCAAACACGTCGGCGGTTCCAGACATGATTGTGAAACCCACAAAAGATTAGTCCGAACTTCGTATTACCAGACGTTGCGAGACCGGCGTACGACCAAATCTCGAAGCTCAAGGTCTTGTCTCAAGTACGTGCGGTGGGGCGGCAAAGTTCCTTTCCGGACTTTTTCTGCCGGCGGAGAGTAAGGACATTGGCACCGAACTGACACCGCGCGATACCATAAACGGTATGTTTTCCAAAGGACTCCTGTTTTTTTTACTTGGTAATACAATTATCCTGACGTATGTTGAGACCACAGGCTGATCTAGACTGACTCATCCTCCGGCGGTGGAATTCATGCCTATTGACACCGAGGAGACGCGACTTGCCGCCCATACCACGCGCTTGGGGCACAAGAGGCAACCCCAGGATGGTACTATCAATGTTAATGTACGATCGACTGCGCGACACGAGACTTGCCAGTTCAACGAGAGGATCGACACGGACGGTACTACTGTTAAAGTACATGTCTGGTGACCCTAGTCCAACAGAGACTAACAGGGAGGAATCGCGTACGGTCATCATAAATCTGGCGCAGTTGGGTGGCTCGCCCTTGTTCGACATAAAAAAAGTAACAAGATCAAGACTCGAGCCTGAGCCTCGAGCTCAGCAGCCGAGTAGGCAGCCGGCTCATTAGATCTTGCGGACCGTACCCTGCTCAGCGCGCGACGGCCGATTTGTTTACCCGCGAAAAGTTGAGTTGAGTGGGTTTGCTAAGAGTAAAACTTTTGCTCTTGTTCAAATCCGGGTGTACGCGATCATGGCATACTAGTACGATCGCGTTTGCTCGCGAAAAACATTTTTATCCGATACTTCCGAATGTTTAAGTGTTTCTCACGATCGAAAACTGGCTCAAAGTTGCCTTATTTGGATATCCCTCCTTGGACGCAACAATATCAGCATGCTCTCCTAGTAAACAATAGTCCTGGGATAGCCCGATCCCTTATAATAAAATAGGGCATCGTATCTTGCAATTCACTCCGTTCTTTTCTAACATCATCACACATGCATTCACCCCCTGTAACTTCATCACGTCTATCTGCACCAAGACCCTTCCCTCCTCCATCTCTCACTGATGTCCCTCATGAATATATCGTCGACCAGCTCAGGACTCTCGCGTCTCACTACTGGGATAGACCGCAGACCGCAGACTGTACAATCAGTAAGTCTTGATGTCTTGATTACGGAACGTTCTAATCTGTTCGGCAGTCGTACCTGTCCCGCATCATCGACCATGTCCAGCATATGATTCCCCGCTCACTTCGTCAAACTCTTCCCCAGAGCCTTTACCGAGGGTTCAGGTAGACACTGGAAGAGAACCTACTATTCACGCCGTGCCTCGAATGAAACTAAGAGTGAGTCGTGCTATTCGTCGAAGACGCATAATCCTCATTGTTTGTAGTTGCATATGGACTACCTCTCTTCGCACTCGACGTTACTACGAGGTCTCTTCAGCGGTGCATCACCCAATGATCTCATTCACGCTGGCACCACGCAACCCCGACATCCTCCGCTGCATGTCCCGGAAAGCCGTCTTCCTTCTCTTCTTCCTTCTCCGCCGTCCCATCCTGTTCTATTTCTTCCCGTTCCTGATCCATCCTCGATACATCTTATCTTTCACTGGATGTACTTTGGGCAGACAGCACTTATGGAAGACTGTCTAAATCGGGGTGTCGTGCACTGGGAGGGGATCGCGCGTAACGTGGAGTACTTGGGGCTTCCCACAGACATCAAAGTGTTCCTGGGGCGGTGGTACAGGAATTGGCTTCTTCCGGCACATAGCCGAGGCGGCTGTCCAACTTATTCGCCCACAGATGATGACGATTCTGACATTGAGCTGGAACTCGATGATGATGATGATGACGACGACGAGGACGAGACAGATGACGAAGACTACTCAATGGTGATGTCATACAGGGAGGATGTAGATGCTATGGCAGAGTTTGAACGAGGGCGGACACGAACGATTCGGCCCTTGACGCGGCTATGCGGGAAGTTACAGATGTGTGGAGTATGACAAGAATATTTACGAATAGTTCATTGTATTTCATAATGGTTTGTCATTCATCATGGGCGATGTTTGTTTGGTCTATCTTTATTCATTCTTGTGATACCCCCATTTTCCGGACTAAGTTCAATTGTGGCGCCCCGCACAACGCGTGTTTAATTACCTGAATATTATGACATATATGATACATAGTACTTTAATTGTACAGAACTGAGTCCCTTCTCGTAATTCACAGCTTCCATACAATTGTCCTCATGACCTACACTCCTGTGTCAGATACAAGACAAAACTTAAGACAGAGCTTCGAGCCTTCTATACAATTGTTCTCAAAACCTTCGTGAGCGTCAATCTCATGCGATAGGATAAACAGAAGCGAATATCCTTCACAAGGATGTCCATGATCTGGCGGCTGAGGATGCCCGTGCATACAAAGACGAGCGACAGTCCCGATAAGAACGTGGCCAACTCCGTATCGGGAAACAGAGAAGAGCGGAACCAAACAAAGGCGAGCCTTTCCAGATGGGTTTCACTGCGGCTACCGAGGTACTACTAGTACTGCGCACTCTCAGATCTGTGTTTTTCACTCGAGCTAGCGGCAATCAGAGAAGCAGGTGAAGCGAATATGTCATGACAAAAGAAATGCACAAGGCATTTGAGACATTCCGATGCTGGCGCTAGTACTATAGACGGTCCGGCTCCCACTCGTAGTCCAATCCTTTCTTCTAAGAACCCCGTCTAACTTAGAGGGGCCGCCGACCAGACAGTCACGGTGCGTTCCGAATTTCCATTATTATATTGTCGAGAAGACATACCAAGTCGAGGTCGGCCTGCGCTTTACCTCAATCGATGTCTTCGAGCTGTGAATGTTCGAGAGCGGAAGTATCAACACCCGGACGGTGCTCGGCTGAAGGCCCCTGTCAAAGAACGGCTGAAAGAAATGTATTCAATTGTAGTGGCTGATCCCTTGGTGATCATCTCACGCGATGCGATGTCTCCCGTTCACCCTGTCGTATAGACAAGACCTCAGGCCTCAGGGTTTATACGAGGCGGGGTTCCAATAATCAGCCATCACTGTCAGCTGGACGTCCAGTCCAAAATTGACAGTTCCCCGTCAAGCTTAATGAGTTTTAGCTAGCCTAAGGTTGGCCTAAGGTTCCTCCAGAAGAACGGAAAGTGTGGTTAGCGGAAATGAAAACGGTTAGTCTTGGCATCCAAGGGCTTGCGCGTTGGATGACGTCCTAGAAACAACATACTGGAAATCACATGTAAACTCGAGCATAAGGCCAAGGGCCAACCAGTCTAGAAGGCACCATCACGGACCATCCATTTTCTCGGCATCGCAGGTCCTTTCTGACTGGAAGACTTATGTTAGACATATGATCAGGCTCAGTGAAATGTACATAACCAATTGATTAGTCTACCGTAGTCAGACCCTAAGAAAGCGTTCAATCGGACGTTGGGAGTAAACGATAACCCTGTGGCGCTCCGAGTCGGAATCAATATGCGAATATATTCAAGACCCTCTAGGGTTAGAGCTGGCCCTGGGCGAGGGTCCAATGTATCAGATGGTAGAACGTCACCAGTCTAGCTATATAGCCTGGTAATGCGTCATTTCGATACACACTATGGATACAACGTCAGTAAATTTATCTGAAACCCTGAAAAGCACGTACTGCCAGTGGTAGACGTGACAACACATGAGTAAATGCTTCGAGGACTTGCTTACGAACATGCATGCCTCTGGGAGTCCCAGCAGGATATTTGGTAGCCCATGAGATTTGTCCGTCGAAGTGCCGTACGCGATAACTTATAAACTTGGATTACACGATTCTGAAGTTTTCTAACCACATGATAGCGGAGGGAGAAGTATTTGGCCGCAAATCCCGAGCCAGCCATAAATACTGAATCGTCAGGCCGATATAAATCCACACATCTCAATTCATGTGACGCGGCTTCACCTGAGCTTCCAGTACTTACACATACATGCCTCTACGTGACATGAGGTGCTTGAACACGTGAACAAGAAGATGAAGCCAAGAAGAATTGAGCGTTCGAGAAGGAGAGAAACGTACACGTTTGCTCTTGGCATGAGGGGTGAAGGACACTCGTGCAGGTTGATATATACACCGCTTGGTCACAGTTTCGAGGCCAGTGGAAAGGATGGGGTCGGGACCACATATCGTGGACATGATTGGGTAGGAGGCCGTGTAGCAGCAGCCTAGAATGCATAAGCTTACATGAGAAGTCGTTTATAAAAGTGTCGCGTACAGCGAATAGTGACATTTAGGGCTGGTCCAAAAGAAGGTCGTCGAGGCAAGTTTGTTTTAACTTCACGATAACATCCAAGATGTATGTCAGTGCATTGTCATTGCAGGCAACGGCTGATGATTTCCTATCTGGTGAAAAGGACACCAGGACACTACGAGTGAGGGGCAGATCAATGGGCTGGTTGTTGTCGAAGTTGCATGATATTCGTGGTATGGTGTCGTAGGATGCGTTTGCGAGGATGTGGCCGTAGATAAATGATACCATGTCCTAATTGAGTGATCGGCTGACCCGGAGAGTTGAGGTTTTATAGTTTCAGCTTTCATTCAACAAGGTCCAAAATCATTACTTACCATGATATATTTCTCAGCAGGCCTTGACGTCTTGACACCAAGACATGATCAGCGTCGTCGAAGGTTAATTCAGCTGCGGGCACTTTTTTTGCATCTGAGGAAATTTATTCCCACAGTCCAGCAACCTCACGATCCTCTTACTTATATTGATATTTATCTTGTCCTCCAGGTAACTGACTGGACGATCATCCTACAGTTCCCTACTACATCCCAACCCTCCTCCCTTGCCACAGGCCGCAACTCAGATGCGTTCAGATGATCGCAGGAATGTGAAGCCTGTACAACAATGAGGTGTACCAGCCGGCATATGGGATGTCTGTGTGAGTCGCTTTGACCAGGATATTTCCTTCTTTTCTTGGAAGGACTTCGATATTTGTTTTTTTTTTGCTAGCTATATTCATGAGCTTTCATCTTCCGATTCTATTCCTAATCCTGCATGGCAAACGGAGAGTTCGAATACGCTTTCCAAGTTCTTGACGCGATGTTGCGATTGATTGTTTATGTCATCAAGTATCATGGTGACGCTTCTGGAATAGACAACGACAAGGCGAAGGTTGAACGTTCATTACCTCACCAAATATTCGTTTTTGTTCTGGCGAACATGTACGAAGAACAAGGCGTTCTCTTTCAACAGAAGCAGTTCTTCAGATTCTTCTCCAGTCTCATTAGCGACCTGCACTCCATCGCAGAACATCTAGGCTCAGCTTATCTCTCTCTGCTGATCGCTATCAGGTAAACCATTCTCCAGTTGTTATTTTTATCATCGCTCACAGCTTCGCAGTGACACTTTCAGTTCTCTGCAGTCCACTTACTTTCCTGGGTTCGCGTTCTCTTGGCTCTGTCTTGTTTTACATCGACTCTTCATGCCAAAACTGCTTTTATCCGAAAACCGGGAGGTGAGATTCAATATTCAATATTAGAGGTCCTGTTTTGACTCGATTCCGTCAGGGCTGGTCTGCGTTCCAAAAGCTCCTTTCCCTTTTCAAGTTTTTGGCTCCGTTCTTGAAAGGAGCTGATCTCCAACTCGCATCTCGTGATTTGTATCGCAGCTCCCTCCGACTCCTCTTTGTCCTTCTTCATGATTTCCCAGAATTCCTGAGCGAATACTACTTCAGTCTCTGCGATGCCATCCCTCCGCATTGCATCCAGCTTCGCAATACCATCCTCAGCGCGTTCCTCATGTCTATCATCCTCCCTCCCCCCCAACTTGTCATTGATAAACACCCTTGTCATGTACATTGGAGTATTGTCAGTTGCTCAGGCCAAGGCGAGGAGTGGCTGTTCTGTATTTGTCACGAGCGACCCTGGCGTCGTTGCTCTACAGTATCTTGCTGCTAATCTAGATGTTGAAGGCGAGTTCAACGAATCCACTAGCTCATATGACATAGATTGATGCGTTATGTAGGGCAACGCCACCTCTTGAGCTCTATGGTCCTTCATCTGTGATATCCCAACGCCCATACCCACTGGTTCAGCTCTTTGCTTCTCCACCTCTTTGTGGAAGTGAAGGACGATCGCTTCCGTGAAGTGATGACTCGCGTCCTTCTGGAGCGCTTCATTGTTCACCTCATCTTTGGGGTGCTTTTGTCACCTTCATTGAGTTGCTCCACGATTTGAAGTATGAGTTCTGGAACAAGGAGTTCATTCGCATCACACCCGAAGTTACCATGTTGCTTGAGAGCGTAAGACGTCCTGCTGTTTAGTTGAAACCTTTCCTCAACAGACATTGCAGGTCGCGAGGTCCATCTATCAACCATAGATTCATTTTGCCTTTGTTCCTACTATCTGTTGCGCATATCTGTTTCTGGTTTTTTTTCCTCGTTTTCTAAATGCACTCGCTGTATTGTAACAACCTTTCACCGTTTTCAAATGTTGAACAAGGTGTAACGTGAACTTTGATGATAGCAAGCCTCCTGCACAACCTTGTCGACACACGAGCTCTGGCTTGTTGATGTTTATACAGCCCTTTAAAATTCCCTTACGTTTACAATCGATTTATAATACTACAAGAGTACCGATTACCTTCGGACGTCGCGTGTCTTTTTACAGTGAATTACAATAACAGATGTTTGTATACCGCGTTCGCCGTAGTCTTTTTCTCAGCTTCTCTAGGAAAATGTCTCGCCGACATCGCACTCTCGATAGCGCAGTGTAAAGCCGACCGTGTGCGAACTTATAGCTTACTAACGCTTTGCTGAGGTGGAACCAGGTGACTGAGAGACCCAGGCAACAAGGTCTCGCCTTCCTGTTGCCCCCCGTGCAGCAACCACCATCCTTGCCATTCTTCTATGGTATTCAGTGTGACCCTCACCAGAAGGTGGAAAGGTATCTGGATCGATGAGCAGCATCCCAGGACGGTTCGCAGGTGTTGTGGCAGGTGTAGAAAGACTTGGAGATGATGGGGTGCGGTTCCTGCGTATCTGACTGCCGCTGATCTTCTGGCGTGAAACTGACATATGATCTGGAATGGATTGCGTGGGCAGTTGCGAGATCAAGTCCCACTGCCCAGAGGCTATGTCGGACAAGGATGGAGAATTTGCTAGTAGAAATGTCAGCTCTTTTAGTGTACTAGTGAATTGCAGTAATACAATCAACATACCTAGTGTCTGAAAGGAAGTAGAACCCACAATACCAACATCCACCGAGTTGGGATCACAGTTAGCCATGTGCTGACCATGTGGCATCAATAAGACCACTTCTCCTCCAGTGATTACCTGCTCCATGCTTGCAACTGACTCTCCACGCTCAACTTGCTGGCCCCTGGCGTTAAGCCCAAGGCCATTGAGTGAGTCCAAAGGCCTACTCCCATAGAACTTTGTAGGTGTGGGTTCAGATGAGAACACGAGCATGACAACATGAGTCAACTCGTGTATGATCACCAGATGAAGAAAAAAGGCTAGAATCCTGAGCATTTAGGTCAGCTAGCTAGTAGTAGTATAATCATGACGCTCACTGTTTAGCCCGAGGAGTACTTGCCTTAGTATACAAGTCATAAACATGGCTGTGAAGGGAAAACTGCAGTCGCCATGTCTGCCTTTCAGCTGAAGAGAGACTCAGGAAAGGACCCTGGTTATATCCAGGGAAGGTTTCAGGCATAGGAGTTTCACCATAAGAGTCTTCTAGTGTCACTACTTGTATAGCGGGGAAGTGTGAGTGAAGGTAACTCTTGATCTCTTCGATGCGTTCATTGATGTCCTCCATGCTTGGATCCATAACCAAGGCATATAAAGTCATCTTGGCCAAATGATTCATTGCTGGGTGGTAGGCTAGGAAGTGTTGGTAGGCGTCTGAGACCAAGACACCAAATGCGCTGGTGTGTGGTAGAATCTCGCCATGCAGGAATAGTGTGTCCGGTTGGGGGTGAGCCATAGGTTGGTGGGGAGCGACAGGTTGGTCAGGAGCGACAGGTTCATCAGGAGCTGCACTGTTCAGCTGACTGGGTGGTCTCCGTAGGGCTCCATTCATCAGAGCTATAAGCCAGAGTGCTAGCTTTGGCAGAAATACAAAAATAGTCAAACACGTCTGTAGTGAGAAATACAGAAGGAATTGAATGACTTGGAGCATACTAGCTTTCCAAAATATCTGGATTGGTGGATGGGGTGTGAGGATTATGGACAGAACGACTCAATAGTGCGCTGTGCGGACCTTTCTGCTGTTAGGGGTAATGAAGGAGGAGAGAGGGGTATCTTCAGGGGTCTGGCCATCTTGACTTTACATAATCTTACATAATCGTGTACTTCAGTCCAGCCAAATTGTATAGCAACAACAATTGAAACAATAGCTATGTGGAAGATTAGTATAGCTATGCCCTAAGATGCTTGAGTGCAACAACGTGTATTTCTCGTCTCCGGTAGAGATCTGCGTGCGAGATCGTGTTTCTAAGGTCGAGCTCCAGCTAATCCCAATCGGTCAGGGTAGTAGTTTATCGGATTGCCACATCCTGGTAGGCAAGTTCTCTAGAGATACATAAACAGCGGAGTTGGATTCACATTCTATCAGCTCCTGTTCGTTACTGCGAAGGATGCCTAAGGCGACGCGGAAGAGAACATCGAGTCCATCAACAAGAAAGACATCCCACACTCTGAAAAGCGTCTATTGAAGAGTCAGATAACATAGCGCAACGCATATATGCTATTTACCTCTATTGGAACGTAATCCGTGAAGAGCGACGAAAACCAAGAGAGGCCCAGTCCCCGAAAGGATCCTGGAATATCATCGTGTTATCATAGTTACTAGTGATAGAGGTGCTACGTCAGACACGCGAGGCATCATGCAACATGATCGAGTCATGCATACCCAATACCCTGTTGCATGGGGCAAGCGACATCCCAATATTGGGGAAGCAGAAGACCATTGTCTGATGTGATATGCGGGAGCAGACGCTCCCGCAGGGCCAGGCGGCCTTGAATCACAATGTGTGATCGCCATAAAGCTCATCATCCTCTTCAACTACAATTCATCAGGATGTTCATCTCGACCGCGTAAAAACACACACCGATGATAGCAGTTTCATTTTGGTACACCGATTCTGGAATTGTGCCAGTGGGTTGCGTGTTGATATTCACAGTTTGAGTGCGCGAGGAGGTTTGGCCGTACTGATCTATGTTTTCTGAATATTCTGTCTCCTCGGTATTGCTCTCGAGAAACAGCAGACTCGGCGTACGACTGTTGGCTGCGAGGTGGCATGGGGCGCATTCAATGACTGAGGGATGAGGGTTTCAAGACGCTGTTGCACTTTTATCATTCCGTTCATAAGCTCTTTGGCCCATTCAGGTGACTCTTGCTGTTGCAGAGTTGATGTCAGATTCAAACGTTACAAACAATTGGAGTAACTTACTGTGTCTGGCTGGAAGTCCGCATCCAGATGGACGCTAGGATCATGATCATGGAATGACTTCCTGTACTGTCGCATGGACTGCGAGGATGTAAGATACATTCAACATGAAGAATAAGCAGTTGAGCGCACATCTTGGTTATATTTCATGCCCAGATTCTTGACGCGCTGCCTCAATGCTTCTCGCAGCGCCTTCTGGATGGTGCCAGTACTTAGCGTATGGTACGAGAACAAGAGTAGAAAGCTGACTAATGTGACAAGCGATGAATAATGTAGGGAACAGCGTTTAGGATTAGTAATATCCGAAACTCGTAACGCCACGTACGAATCTTTGTGTGTCATCAAACCTCATAGATACAAGTTATATTACTAGGGGTTCGCGGTGCGAACTTGTGACCTTGCTCCGTCTTAAATTTTATCAAGCCCATGATATTGATCTTTTTTTTTCCTAAATCACCTTGCTTGCAAGGTCATACGCCTACCCTTTAATTCTGTGAATCGTACACAATCGTAAAAACGGCATTTCCCGCGTACAATTTCCTGTCATCATGCTTACGTTCCATGCCGTCATTTTTCGTCCTGGGGCGAAAAATGCCATTTACCGCATTAATTCTACCTTCTTTTCTAAAACTACTGCCGCGCTGAGCGGATCGAACGGTTGGCAAAAATATATAAGATGTCAGTGTGTTGAGTCCTTTTCTCACTCTGCGATCCCGTCCTAGCTTCTCAGGCTGAAAATGTGCGCTGACCGTGCGCGGTTTGCTTTCTATAGACCTGACCGTGGTCTTGCAAGCCCCGTAGTTGCGATGGAGAGATTCAGTACATTTCTCATTTATGTTTTTTTTAGTGCTATGTTATTCAACGGGTTGTTTGGTCACGCGGCTCATCCATGAGCGCTCTGTTCTTTTGGGACTGGCGCGTTCTCCTCACTGTCCTCCATCCAGCCTTCAGCGCACGCTCTACCAAGCCCGGTTGCGGATATGATTTACTGCCCTCGACGTCAAGTTCCCCATCCAGAAAGACCATCCCAGAATTCTGCTGGGTCTCATCCCGTTGCTTGAGACTCTTCCAGAAAATAGAAAAGACCACGGGTGGTTTTATACACATGCGCTCCTCCCCACCATTAAATCATCACTTATCGTGCACGGACCGTATCTACGTGGGTTTGTCAGACTTCATAACGCGTGGTATGTTTACTACTTATCTGGCTCATTAGACGCTGATACTCATTTCCAGGACAGGTTCTCGTACACTATATGATCTTCCTCTGCCGCGTGGGTTCATGTTTCTGTTCCACCATCGCTCGTAATCGATTTTGGTCGCCAAGCCCAGCCATACGCTGCAACAGCTCTCATATGGTTGAAGGATACGATCTTCTTACTCATAGTCACAGCCTCTAGAATCTTATATCAAACTCCGGTCCCATATCCCGTTGACTTTACCTTAACTTAACGCATGTTCAATTTCCGGTGCAAGTTCATCCTCACTTAGTGTTGTTCATCTCGCTCGCGCTATGGTTTTTCGCGTATGTTTACTAGTCGAGTCGTGTTTTCATTCTGGTGGTTTGGTGTCCTTCTTTCATCGGACTTTGTAGACTCGCTAGCAGCTGCAGTCGATTTTTGCGATGTCTACTAAGACTACGATTTTTTTTACATGGCTGTGGTCATTGAATGGTCGTATTGTATGCACTGACACTGCATCTCCGCTGCGCGCAAAGGCATGTGGAAACACAGTACATCACAAAAAACCACAAAGCATGATATGGCCATATTTACCTTATAAGGTCAAGCAAATATGTTTTGCCAATATATGGCTATGCGGTGGCTTGTGAAACACGTATTAGATGCCTGATCTGTGATCTCTTTTGTCTTTTGCTTGCCCTTTGGTGAACCCCATATAAGCCATTATCAACCCTCTAGCTAGTGTTCGTAATTCTACACTCCACCGTACCAACCACAAGTCATATTACTGATCCATAGTCTCTTCTTTATTTCCGCTTTCTTTCAATATACCAATAGGAACCCATATTGGGTTTCAAGCTAATGTTCTGACGTCTACAGTTTTTCATCAGAATTGCGCGATAAAGTAACATTTTATATAGCAATCCAGCATGACCGTCGTCAGACAGTGACTTTGGGTACACTGAGATCACGCACTATGAATGTTATAGCTTACCTGCCTTTGACTAGATCGATAAAAATCAAACAATAAGCATATCTAAGTACCATAAGCCCATTGGGACTTTCAAGCTTCAAGTCACGCGTGCGATGCCATTCAAGTGCGTCCCGTATGGATCTGCCAGTACAAAAGGAACGATTCATCTAGGAGTCACAATGGAATACAACGTCTACACTAGCTTTAGCGAACTGACAAGGAAAGCGAAGCCCATGTCAAAAACGTCCAGCAGAGCGCCATCGAGTCTGACTACCTCCTTAGCGCCTGCTGCAGGCACCCGTCTCCGAGCCTATGTACCTATTGGGCGTACAGATCCTGTCGTACGACTCCAACCACGAAACGAATTGGCCAACTGCGTTCAGTAACGATGACCCACTGCCGGTAGGGTAGTCAGTAAATTCTGGCGTTACTTGCAACTTATTTACCTTGATTTGTTTGGCGTGTTGTAGTCGAAAAGAAGCGCGCTACGAAAAACCACAGAACCTTGCAATCGAAGTAAGTTCATATTCTCCAAGGAAAAAAAGTATAGTAAGTGCTACAGTTACTCATTGTGTGCATAATTGATTAACAGGACGTCGTTTAAGATCCATGGCCTCGAAAACGGTTTATTGCGGACAAGTGAGGAGGCGCCACTGGACGGATGTAATGATTAGGGCAGATGCAGCGATTCGGGCAGAGCGAGATGCAGAGGCGAATGCGGAAGGGACGGACGCTTCGCTGGGGTTCTGGAAAAGAGTGAAGGGGTAGTTCTGGCCAGGATTGAGACGGAATTAAGGTGAGTAGATGCCTCATACTCGATGAGAACTACCGGCGATCATTTTATAGTGCCGTCTCAGTGATTCTGACCCCCAAATACTAGCCGTCAGCGTTGTAGCAATGTATACTATGAAGAATTGGCGCACTTACGTGCACTGCACGCGGGGCAGGTTGGCCCTGATGACAACAGAATCGACGCCTGTTCGATGTCAGACAGCCCTAAGTACAAATTGGGATGCGATCACATACATCTCTATCGTAGATCGGAGGAAACGCCATCTGTCCTGCGCACCCGCGGCAGCGTACAAGGAATGGGGCCACGTCGCGGAATCGCTCTGCATCAGAGACGAGGGAATCTAATGTTGTGAGCGTTGATCCGGCCGGCGTGCTTCCACTAATACGATAACGCCCCGGGTCCAGTCCTTTTAGAAACGTTGAGTTGAGTTTAGTTTGCAGGCATCGGTGTTTCAACGCTCACCAAGGCACTCAGCAAGCCGTGCCCTATCTGTCCCTTCAATAGGCTCACACAGTCGCTCAATAGGTGGTAGGACCTGGTTAGCAAGGTAGTGCTCGTAATCCACGGTAAGTTCCCCTGCAGCCCTCTTGATTTCGTCTGGATGCTTGGCGCGATCTGCTTGTGCAGTCTTCACGGTCTCTTCACCAGGAGCGACGCAGAACACATAGGGTATAACGTCGCCGTTACGGGCGCTTCCACCCTTTGCTTTTAATCTCAAAGCGACTTGCACATGAGGCTGAAATTTAGCATCGGGGTAGTCTTCTGGGTTTTTGCCTAGGCGCTGAGCCATGCGTGAGATTGACCAACAAACATTGGAAGGATTGCAAAGAACTTGGGAAGGATATGCGACTCGAGTTTGCCAGCCGACCCAACCAATGCATCATTGCTCAAACCCTTCGCACGCTAGAAAACAAAAAAAATCAGCACCATGTCCTCCCCGCTCCACCAAAAGCAAAAACAATGTACCCCTTCACATCCTTCTCATTGGCGATCATTTGTGCTTCTTCATCTGCCTATACAGCTGACTCTGTGCGCACTCATGCCGACTTTCATCACCTTCTCCATCTCATGCAACCGCCGTATGACGAGCAGAGCCTCCTCTTCGTTCAACTCGATCTTGTCCCATGTACCCGAGTTCGCGAATGGCGTGTTGTACGACTCGTCAAATGACTTCATGGAGTTGAATATCTTGGGTAGGACAAAGTCGAGGAGGGCCCAGAGTTCGGCAAGGTTGTTCTGAAGGGAGGTTCAGTGAGGATTAGGTGGTACCAGTAGTAATAGTATTGTGTAAGTATCTGCGCAAGTATCGACTGGGTGTTCTTCATGCGATGTCCTGGAATGCAATGGAGAGTAACAGGGTGCGGTGGTTTCTGCTGCAGCTTCGGCTGCTTCACGGGCCAAAGAATTATCTGCGGCTAGATCCTTTGCTTGTTAGCTGTGCCAATGACAGATACCTTCTTGTGCTGGGGTAGTCAGCTGAGCTCGCAGAGCCCTCGGTTCCTGGGCATGCTTTCTCAGCATTTACAGAAGCACCGTCAGCAGTAATTTCACTCTTGGCCTCCTTGCAGCAGTGGCAGCCTGAAAAACAAGCGATCAGAGAACAGCGCCACACACTCAAATCAAGCGACAAACATTGAGACATGCTAATGTCCCATCTCGAGCTCACAACCCCATCTTGCTCGCATCGAGGCAGGTAGTGAATCTGCACCACATAACATAGGCGAATACCAAAGCAATAGACTGAATGTATGCCAATCGAATGGTAGCAGCACTTGCAAAGCCACGCTCACACATGGTGAGGTCATGAAACTTTGAATATAATCCGATTTTTGTCTCTGCGGGTCCAAAAAGAAGGGTTTTAACCTCTTTTGCGGAGAGCTTGGATACTCATCAGCCAAAATCTACAACATGTTCAACTTCTCACTCAAAGTCGAAGCTCAATCCTGCAGGTGCCACATACAGCGGAATGATTTAAAAATTTTCGACAAGGCGTTTAGAGCAGACCTGTATGACATATCTTTGAAAGCAATTACTAAATTATGTGAGACGCAAACTCACCATAATGAACGGGTCGGGTGATGTTTGAAAAATGAATGGGTGCCTATGGCAGCCTACCTCCTCCACCCAAGTAGCTTGTCAATGTGTGCCTCACAGAGATTATGATGACATAGAGGTGATTGGCCAATTTTGGGTGGCTGACGGTGGTGACCTCATTCATGTTCATCCAAGGGCAGTCTTGCGCTGAGATTCCTCCACTGACACCTTAGGACAGTTTATTGCAACTAACTGAAGTACTCACCAAAACAGACCTGGCCATAATGGCGATCCCTGAGGTTCCTCTGTCAGAATTGGTGATGACTTCTGATGAACGAAAATGGATTTGCGATGCAGCGCACTATGATAACAATCACTTGAAAATTGTTCTGTGGTCATGTCAATGGGTGAGGCAATAAAGTCGAACTACTAGGCTCACCAGTTAGTGGTGGCACCCAACAATACAAGTGAAAATCTTGATATACCAAGCCTGAGATAAGTCGAAGTCGCAGTAATAGACAGAAGTCACAATGTAGTAACGCACGGTCACACGGCGCTGATTTCTCACTGGCAGGACTCGGACTCGGAGGGCCGAGGGATCCCCAGGGCTGCAGTACCGGTTAGTAACAACATTAACCTGATCGAACAAGAGGAGTGATCTCAAAGTTCAAATGTAAGGCTAGGATTAGAGCTGTTTGGCCATGCTCCACCAAGGAACGGATGTCATGGTAATACAATCAACTTAAGTTGCGCCACATACAGACACAGTAGTAAGTCGACCCTAAAATTTAAAGTCTGGTCCCTCATCTTCAGATTCCCCGTAATCCTCTGAGCTACAGCCTTCATCATCCAGAGCATCGGATTCAATATCTTCTTCATCATCAGATTCGACGTCTTCTTCATCATCAGATTCAACGTCCTCTTCATTATCATTATCAGTTTCATCGCCTAGAACTTGATTCAGGCAATTGCCAACATTAGAGTCGAGTATCTGCCCACCAGCATTGCTTGTAGTTGGTTCCAGATCGCCCTCAGCTAGACGTTCATCGTCATCGTCTCCTACGAAATTTTCATCCTCAGTCACATTTGGCAAACTATACTGAATTTGATGACCGACGCCAATGTGTGCAAAGCGTGCAAACATATCCCGATCAGCAAAACTGTTGCGCAATCAATCATCAGGAGTCTTCAACCATATCCACTGACTCACATGTTAACATAGAATGCGGTCCAGTCATCTACTTCTCCAAATGGCCGTGCAACTGTGGGGCCATGCCTCAGGAGATCATCCGTACGACCATTAGCAAAGGCCGGTATAAGATGGCAAGCTCGGAGGACAAGAGAGGGGTCGAGGAAACCAAATGCAGCAGGGGAATCTGGTATAAATCCGACTTTTGGGAGCCGGCCTTCCTTGAAGCCCCAGTGGTAGCGTGGAACTACACCGAGCCACTGGACCCACAAGAATTCCATTGATTGAGGAGAGCGATTACAAGCATCCGCACCAACATGGAGTATCTGAATGATGAAAGCACCCAAAACTTGTGCATACCAAAACGGATGAGCGCCAACGCCTTGTTCCCTTGACAGTGTCATTACGGACTGGCCATGCCCTGGTTTCAGAGTGTCTTGGTCGTGGTGAATGTCGTATGTTGTGTAATTGATTTGCAATCGCTTAGCTTGGCGGACTCGATTAAGGTTGCAAATGAACAGTACGCTGTTGCATTCGGTGTCACTGAAATTTCGCTCATCGCCATCATAGTCCAAGTTGAGTAGTCATGAGAGAAGATGATTTTTCAGTTTTGGAATAAACTTCTTTGGGTATTGTCAGCAATAAAAAACGTCAGTCAGCTGTTCTGCCTTACTTCAATCGCTGGATCGTCCCTGTGTTCACTGAGGTATGAGGCCAAATTCATGACGTTGTGGATATTGTGAGACAAAAAATGATGGGCTTCAGGTGGTAGGTCACTGGTGCATATGTTGTGAGTGAGGATTGTTGACTCGGATGACTGTTGCCGTCGGACGCGAGTGCACCTTCATTCCTGCTTGGCCAGCTGCTTTGAAGCATCTTGTTTGTTTGTAGTTTGATACAGAAATTTGATAAAACGATGGGCCTGTTTGCCCTGCGAAACGCAGAGTGTCAATATGGTCAATATAGCTGAGCATGAAACACGTACAATCTGGTGGTATATGAATCTGTTGTACCAAACAACCTGATTGAAGCAGCATAATCACCAAGCGTGTGCAATTTGTAGGTTAGAAGATTGAAGGCTTTGAAACGAGCGCCAGACCCCCTTGCCTCTTGATTGGTAGACTGACAATTAGCATTCTGCCTCCTCTGACGTGCAGCTACTTCATGCGGAAGTTCCATGGTTTGAAAAGCTGAACATGTGAACTGCTGAAACTTCCGGAGTTGCTTGCCCAAGGCATTCAGCGCTTCGTCGAGTTTGCTTAATGAGTCATCAGTGTGAAGTCGGAGTTTAGCTAGGGCGTGCCATTCTGCGAGTCGAAAAAGAAGGAGCCGAATAACATTGTCATGCTCTCTAGGGAACAACCCTTCAAAGGCAGGGATTGCGCACTGTTTTGAAAGAGGAAGCAGGTCAGTGTTGGAATCGGTGAAGACTGCCCGGCTAACTTGTAAAACGTCTTCAAAGTGCCTTGCAACATTTTGCCGGACTTCAGATATGTTGGTTGGAAAGTGCCGAATAGCGCCCTTGCCAAAGGAAGGGATCAAGCGAAAGCTATGGGATGCAGTATCCACATTAGAAACAGAACCTGCAGCCCTCACGACAGTCAAATGTCTTACCATTCATTCAGGACACCTATCCATTCAGGATTTATAGCATAAAGTAGCCTGATAATATGTTTGAATACAGATTTGAATACACCCAGCTCGAACTCATGTAAAAGGTTGACAACAAGCATTGAAAAGCAGTCAAAGCTCAAAGGGCCCAATTGCTCAGCAAAGGTGTTCTGTAGGTGAGGTGAAACGAAGACCGAGTGAGATAAAGACAAGATATGCTTACAATGGTGGGCACAAGCGACTCTTTTAGAAGACGTTCGACAGCAGCACCCTTGATTGGGGTACCTAAATTGTAGATGGCATTGCGTGCAGCGACAACAGCACCTTTAATAAATCTATGCACTCTTGCAACTCTTCCCAACATATCAGAGCGAAGTCCAATGCGACCAAATAATGATTTTGGAAGCAGACACCAAGGACAGGGACACACCCTTGTCGCGAATTGCTGCGATGAGAACTCTTCAAGGTCTTATTAGCAGAAACAGGGTGAGAAGCACACATTCTACGCACTTTTCAGGGTAATCTGCAGAGTAAGTAAATATCCTAGGAAATACTCGGTGGTATACCCCATCATGACATTTGATTATTATGCCATTTCTGTACGCATCAAGAAAGTCGTCATCTATTAAAATACGCCAGATAGCATGAAACATCTCGCGCTTGCAGTGGGCAAGAATGTTGTGGTAGCTCTTCCTTTTAACTGAGGTAATCTTCGCAATAAATTGTTTGATGGATTCTGGAAGCTGCCAAGGACAAGTTGATGACCATTAGCACAATGATACTAGTATGTATAGGTACACTTACCATGGGAATGAAGGCCACACGGTGGCATGCACCAGAAGTGGGGCAGGAACGGGTGTATTTGGACTGGTTTCCGAAGTATAAGTAAAGTGGCCATGCTGATGCATTCCCAAACTGCGCCAAATGCGTAGAATCTGACCAAAACATGAGTCCAGCAATGACTTTCTCAAGCTTGCAGCCATCGTCTCGTCTTTGCTTCTGCAGGTCGTCGTGAGCCTTAATCCACGCGTCTGATGTATAGAGCTCATCATGAAGACGTTGCTCTTGACCAGTCACGGGAGACTTCCAAAAGCGCTTGAAGGGAGTGAAATGAAACCATTTGGATGTTGCCTCTGAGAAAGCGGCATGAATGACAGCTGTGAGGGGCCGGTACTGGAATCCAGGGATCGTAAAGGGCTGCCCATTTCCATCTGGATTCTTCTCCCGGGTCAGTACTAGAATCTCTGCAGCCATTTCTTTCCACCCATCCCTTCGGTATATATCATTGTCGTCCAGTTGCGCTTCTGAAGAATCCCAACACTTCATTTCAGTATGGGCATTGAAGCCCTTTACGTCCTCAATTCGGAAATCCTCAGCTAATAGGACTTCATTGACCAGCCGCGTGGCTTGAGCATGGGATGTTTGGTTGCTTTCGGTCAACATCCAAGTCATGAGGTGCCAGATACTCATGTTCTTCCAAGGCCAAGAGGGAGGCTTCGAGGAAGATGCCACCTCTGGATTACTAGATAGCTCAGCATTTGGACGTGAGCTGGGATAGAAATTGGAAAGCTGATCCACAGAGACAAATGCATCAGGATCGTGCGTTGGTCGATGACGATACTCTTGTCCAATGCCAAATTGGTTTATGGATGTCCGGAAAGAATCAAATATGTGGAGAATAACTCGGACAAGAGTAGATGGAGCGGGCTGTGGGATTGCAGGTGGCGGCACTGGAGGCTCGTCTCTAAATCGCATAGGTAACCGGTGAGAGCGAGTAGGACGGATATCATGTGAACCAGGAGTAGAAATTGGTATAGATGGTTCAGACTGCTCATGCGAAACGCTAGGCTCCTGAAGCTCTGTTGATGGCTGAAGAACCGGAGCTGTACCAGACGATGGGAGTGCATGATCACAATTGCTACTGGAAGCAGATGTGGCCTTGAAAAAGCCATTAGAACTTGAAGATGCATCTGCTGCGGCCTGAGTTGGAGCGGGCACCACCTGCATGCCTGAGGTTGAGATATCCTAGTCTAATTGAATAAAGAATAGGTAGGGTAAGTAGAAAGACTTACTGTCGCTGTCGTAGTGATACTGAGCTTTACTTTCTTCACCGCAGATCCTTGTATGCCATCTAAGCCACATTTGAAATGTATTGATTGTCGATCTAATTGCTGCTGCCAGTGAGAACAACTTTTGCGGTGGAGGGTCAGACCTCCTGCTGCTGAAAAAGTCCGTCCGCACTTCTCATGGCACTTGAAATGCTCAGCCATCAGAATGATGAGAAATAACAGTATATTGGCCAGTAGTAAATGAATTCTCATGCGTCGTAGTGGTAGAGAAAGCTGGGCGTGATGACTGCCAGCCTGCTAGTGACTATGGATGATCCGGTTGAAGTCGGGTTCGGACCTGACATCATGATAGCTGCCCCAGCTTCACTAAGAAATCTCAGTGCATGAGAAATTGTATAGATATGACATACTAACATCACGGCGACCTCCTCAAAAAGGTAGGTTACGACTATTCATTCTGAACATCAGTAAATGACATGACTCTCAGACTCCGAATTGTTCCAAGTCGGCATGTCCACGTCGACTCGAGTCACACTTCAGACGTTCACGACTTTTCAATTTGAATACAAGAATACAACTGAAGGTATTGTATACATGAATAAGCAAGTTACTTAGCATGGCTCTCCAGAACACCGTCATAAATCTTTGACAGTACCTCCGTCTGCCTATCAATGGCAGCTTCGAGACGTTTCACGACATTCAGGATCAAAGTTTCGTGAGTTGCACTTCTATTTAATTTGAAGACCTTCCCCAGCTTCCTGCGCTTCAGTCCTTCAAGTGCCGGCACTGATTTAGCACGTTGGATATTGGTCAGGTTTCGTCCAAAGTGGTGTGGCATCTGAATTATAGAGCCATTAACTAATGATACATACGGTGATGAAATGACAAGTCTAGCTCACCATAACCAAATCTCCTAGAGAGTCTGACTCGAAGCTTAACTCGGACCTCTTACGCTTTAAAGGCCGGATTTCACCACTACTATCAACCTCCTGGAACATCATAAGAACTGAGTGTAAAGGATAAGGCAGCAATTGTACCTGTTCAGGCCCGAGTTCCTGGAGTTGTTCGGGTGCATCTGTATGTTCAACTTTTGTACTACGTCGGTAGCACCCGCAAGAGTACACAGGGGCAGCTTGACCGTGCGCATTGCCCCTGAGGCATGGGTAATAATCATGGCTATGTTGACTGTCAGGTGTATAGCCTCTGCTTGGATATGCAGATATCACGATGTCGTCTTCACCTGCCTCGACGAGTCCAGCGGCTATGAGGAGAGTTTCTGCCCTATCATCAAGATCATATGGATTTGAGACTGAATCAACACTAGTGGGAGGCATGGTGAAACATAGTTCTCTAGACTCTCTTCTGAAATACTGACTCTTCAATATTCTATGAAAAAAAGTTCTTAAGGTCCGTCCGATCTTTGCTACATGGGGCTGAGCTCCACTGGTGACTTTCCCGATGCACAGGCATCATGGAGGGGATATTCGCTGCAGGGTTTGCGCCATATGAACAAGCTACTAACGATTCTGAGTTGATTAGAATTACGTAGGTTTCTCAGCAACTGGTCTCAATCAATACTAATCATGTATCGGGTAAGGGTTCCATATTGAAAACTCGACGACAGCCAAAAGCAAATGCTTGTGTCTACTAAAAGCTGCATCTGTCTATTTGGTTTTGTTGAAGTTTCGTGCCGTTATATGACATTTTGTTCGGCCTATCGAACGTGCTCCTTGAAGAGCTATTAGGACCATGCTGAAGACAACATTGAATGAGCTAAGGACCAACCTATTCAATTGCTTCAAGAAATTCCTTATCGCAGTGAAAACAGATTTAGAACTGCCATCTGGATGTCCGAAAGCGGTGAGATCCATGCAATGAGACTCAGCTACTGACAAAAGTATGATGGTGAGTATTTGCCGAAAACTGTAGAGCAGATGAGAATAAAGTTAAGATTCTGTCCAAGTGCACAGCTTTGCACATCGACTGACACAGGGAAATTCGGTTGTATTCGACAAAGCCCTCCTCCACTAACGTGGGAGTCGGGGATGATCTACATACTCGGAGCTTATCCAGCGAAGACATGTGCGGAGCTAGCGACAAGTGCTCTATTGTTACAGTGGTAATTCGTACAACGAGGGACAGACTTGGTAGAAGTACAGTACAATTGTACAAAATTAGACAAACACTATGCATTTACACGATCCCGTATCATGTTTTCGGGTAGCCTGCACAAAAAAAACTGATCAATGTATGAATGGTCAATGATCAGAGTGAATACATACTACAATTTAAGGTAAAATGACTCAATTAGTTCCCTTTGTTGTATTGTTCAGTATAGGGCCTGTCATTGAGGTGCCGACATTTGAAGGGGCTGCTTGACATGGGCGCAGGTGGCAATAGGACAATGAGTTCTTGTAGAACAGCGTCAAAGATGTCACACTTTGATTTCTTTGTGTGGCAAAAAGCCATATGGACTTCGACAAGCGCACCCCTGAGCTTCGCTTCATACTGGAGCGGTGGGATGAGAATGTGGTTTTCATCATATGCTGGTAACAGGCGAATATTATGCGAGGATATGATGTCCTGCAGATGGCCTTTACATCAATTAGCAACCGGCCAAGTTGCGATGTCATATTCAGATCCTAGGCCATCGGTGGGGGCTAAAGCAAATACTTAAATCCATTCAAAAATGAAGATCGTTCCGAACTTACTGGCATTTGTTGAGCTGTTACTGCTGTCGTTGCTAGTATTATCATCTTGATCTCTGTCAATAGCCTATTGCATTACAATATTCAGTATCATTAGAGAATGTTACAACTAACTTACTTCAAAGAGACGGTGAGTGAGCTTGATTGATCGGCGGCCAATAGTGTCCCGAATAACACTGAAGGTCTCATGCGATCTTTCCCTTGGAGCCGATTTCTCGAAGGCACTGAGATTGCTAACAACAGCAGAGAAATCATCTGACGAGAATTCAAAGGCCTTGCTACAACCTGCAATGAGCTGACAGCTTAGCTTCAGGTCTGCTAAGCGGCCATGGAAGACATTTGCGGGATTGAAGTTGCCATCCGGTGTGAAACAGAAATCATCACGGCTGATTTGGAATACACCGCGGATGATGAATTCTTCATCATGGTCCAGACCCTTGGTGATGAGGATGTTACCATCCCTTCCACCTGAAAAATATTCAGTGTGATAAGCAAGCCTAGGCGTTGCAGCATAGAACCCTCCAGGAGACATCTTCAGCTTGTTGAGTACAGACGCGGGAGTTTTGCGAGGACTCAAAGTATTCATCATTGCTGTGCGGAGAGGGCTTGAAACTTGGAAATTATATTAGCGTGAAATCGGCAAACACAACATTAATAACAACATGTGCACACCACATAGGACTTGAATCATGTGAAAATTGAGTCGCGGTCCGATTTGGTAAAGAGTGAAGTATATATAAAAGTATTAAAGTGGAGCTTGAATATGAATAGCGAATAGGAAAAAGAGAAAGAGAATCATATGATAGAATGCAATAGAATACTATGGAATGATGAGTAAGCATATGTGAAGAGGTGAAGAGGTGAAAAGAATAGAACTGTAACACACTCGCCAGGTTCCCAAACCTTACTATGAGTTTGACCTGGACCACATGGGTTTGCCGATGTTGCCCAATATTGAGGGTGCCTCACTCAAAACAAAGAAGGGAATAATTTGGTCATTCCTCACAATTCATTACAGTAAGGCTAATGATCAAAGAACCTACACCATAATCTAATTCCTGCCTCCACAGGAATATGCTGCAGAAAACTGAAGGTCCCAGTGCCTTGGAGCGACATAATGAAGGGACAGTCAAGATTCATCTCCAGCTTATACCTGCCAGACGATACAAAGCTCACAGTCCCATCGAAGTTGCAATGGGATGAAGCAAACACCTTGTCAGAATGTTGGTTGACCCGACAGCACACCCAGGTTGGACCCACATTGAAGTTCAAGGCCTGGATTGATGACAAGGGCAAGATGCACCCTCCTGTCGGCGAGGAGTCTCAGGAGTCTGATGGTGATGCTGACAATGAGGGCATGTGGCCCAGGCCAACCAAAACATCATCAGCAACCATGGCACTGCCACCATTTGACATTACCAAACGGCAGCCGAGGTTCATCAAACGAGTTCATGTCAGCTCCGCCAATGAAGCATCTGACAATACTGATGCAGATTTGTCTTGTCCAAATGTCAACGTGCGCGCTCCCGACCATGCAAGGAAAGGGGCAAATGCACAATACAGTGAGCACATGGGACACCAGTCAGATTCAGATGACTGGCCTCCACCTAAAATCTTCAGGAAGAGAGTCAGAATTGAACCTGCCATCGTCGCACCGAACACAGATTCGGCAAATGAAGACCTACTAATGTTGGGTTCGGCCAGACAAGTCGGCCGTGATAAGAAAGCAATTGTCATGGGGAAAGCCCGGATGCCCACAGCACAGGAGACCGAGGGATCAGACGATGCCAGTGTCGGCCACACTGCAGCAAAGGCCAGGTATAAGTCAACTTGCGCTCATGCTGGCCATCAAGCACATGGCTTCGGCCCACATTCAACTCGTCAGGGTCTCGAACATATTCAAACATCCACAGCAGGTTGAGACCAGCCACCAAGCAAGACTGGGGCTACCGAAGATGCTTCACCAGTGGTGGATCACCAGCCACCGAAGAAGACCAAGGCTACAAGGTATGTATCACCGGCGGTGAACAACCGGTCACCGAACAAGACACAGGCTGCCAGATTGGTGGCTTGCTTGCTCTCTGATGCACCGGCAAAGAGCACTATTGATAGTCTATTACATAACAAGGAACGAGCGGAGAACTAGAGTTAGGTCTTTGCGCAAGCGTCGGAAGCAGTACGAACCTTTTGCCTTTGTACTGCGACAACACCTTTTCTCATATTAGTCGTCCTCAATGACATTGTCTTCCCTCCTTCTTTTCCTTTCACATCCCTACCGACAATCAGGTATCATTACTCTTTCTTCTATTGTCTTCAGGAACAAATTCCGAAGAAGAACTGTATATCCGAATTCTTCCGATACATCATGGAACGAATTTCAACTGATCCAGCGTTAGAGGCACAGCCCAACTTCGAATCAGCCGTGTACCGAGGTTGGCTAAATGCCCTCGTCGCACAAGGCATAACCAGAGATGACGCCCTTGCCAATATGGCAGAGGGATGGAGGTTTGAACGCCAAGAGCGAATCGTCCTTTGGCAGGAACAGGCAGAAGAAGACGCTCGCATCCTGCAGGAACGCCTGGAGCGTGAGAACACTGAGAAGGAAGCCGAGCAGCTGGAAGAACAACGCAAAGCGGAGAAGAAGAAGCCCAAAATCAACGACTTCGACGCAGGAGCAATTGTGGCGGACGTGATCATTCCTCGACCATCACAATACGCCATCCAGAAGATAAAAAGCATGGAGTACGTAGAACTTTGGTACTTCAGTCCTGACGGCTGCCGTGAAGCCTCCATCACCTCTAGATCCACCTCAGACTCAGACGACGCTTTCGGCTTCGCAAAAGTCGACGGCATGGTCGCCCTCAAGACACTTGCATCATTCAAAGCTTCCAGCAAGGCCTTGCAGGACCACGATTTATCATGGTGACAGTTCGATTTGGCCAAGACCAGCTTCCTCGTCCACATAGAAAAAAGTGGATGGCCAGAAAAGCATCAACAAGCGCTCGCTCTATTCTTCATGCTCATCACCAACCACGAACATCGCATGCGTCCCCGGGGTGAGAAGACCCTGCTGCGTTACGCAGGAACAGTTCGTCGCGAATGGCACGACCGGCTCGTTCAGAACCAGGGATTCAATATCGGCATATTCAACAATATGCTATACAATTCCCTATCGGACGACATATGGGAGGCAGAGCGTGACGAGAGTCTAAAACTGGTATGCATCATCTCAATCATCAAAACTTATTTGAATATTAACACAATATTCTTTTTCCTTTTCTTTCATCGTTCGCCTCGCCTTATGGCGTGCTTCCCCACTTGCTTCCTTTCGAACTTGCTACCAATGCCAATTACTACCCGGGCTTAATCTCACCCTTGCTTCATTTCAACCCTTTTCTTCGCTATCTCACAATGCTGCTACCCACACCTTGACGCTAACTTGAACACTACGCTTACGTTCACTCGCACATACGCTCACTCATACATGTAAATCTTCGCTTCCCTGACAATGCTATTGTCCATCCAATTGGATTGGCTCCTTCACTCCTAAACATACAGCTACAGAACGCGCTGCCAGCTGCCAACTTCTCATCTCGCCCTAGAGATCGAGAAGTCAGTGTGAACCGGGGGAAGCAATCAGACTCGCTTTCTCCCGCTGACGACAACCGCTACCATCCTTACTGCTCAAGCAACCAAGTCGCCAAGAAACCTCACAAAGGCCAACAGTCGTTTCAAGAGGGCGCAGGCCAATCAGGCTCTTCGGCCTGCGCCCTCTGCCTTGGCCGCTTCCGTCACCCCATTCACAAATGTACCTCCGAATTCCTCTGGGACAAGCGAACCAAAACGCGATGCCGGTGGAACGCAGAGGGCCACTTGGTCAATCCCGAGGGCCTCGAACTCTGCTACGACTGGCAAAGACCAAAAGGGTGTTCCAACACAGCCCGTTCGCACGTCCACAAATGCTCTGGATGCGGAGCGAAAGATCATGGAGCTCAAGGGTGTCCTCAAGGCGAGAGCATGTAGGGCACTCACTCCATATCAACCCGAAGCATGGTTACACCTTCTTCGCTCTTTGCACCTCATCGACAAATATGCACATATTCCCAACGGCCTGCGCATTGGCTTCATGGGAAGCGTCCCCAAAATATCCTGCACATACACACCACCTAATAGTCCTTCGTTATACATACACTTTGACGCTTTCGCTACCATACTGGATCGTGAATATTCTACGGGGCGCTACATTGGCCCCTTATCCAAATCAAACACAGAAAAACTCATCGGTCCTTTCCAGACAGCCCCACTTTCCATGGTCCCTAAACCGGGAAAGCCAGGCAAGTTTCGGCTCATACAAAACCTCTCATTTCCTCTATACTCATCCGATACTATATCCTCTATTAACTCTTCTATTGATTCTGACCTCTACCCTTGCACCTGGGGAACAGCATCAACCATATGCCTTCTCATCTGGTCCCTCCCCCCAGGATCGCAAGCAGCAGTTCGCGATGTGGCGGAAGCTTATCGCACAGTTCCCCTACATCCATCACAATGGCCAGGCCTGGTCGTCAGAACGGGAGAAGACGAGTTCGCTATTGACTCGAGCTTCTGCTTCGGATTCTCTGCTTCCGCAGGGAGTTATGGCGAGATTGCGGACGCAGGTGCCGACATCTTCAGATCACAAGGTATCGGTCCGCTATCCAAATGGGTGGACGACCACTTATTTATTCGCATCCTTCAAGAACATCTTAAAGTTTATAACGACCTTCGTAGAACTCGCTCCGCTATCATCGCGGGAAACAGGGGACTGCTCATTGATGGGGGGCGCAAATGGTACCAAGGCTCAACCATGCCAGACAGCAGAGTCGAGGAGTTCGACGAAGATCTATCATTCCCCATCCTTGATCTATCAACAGCATCCGCTCGTTCACCAGAAGACGCACTCTTCACCTATTGCTTCGACGACATCAACCGCCTATCCAAGATTTTGGGAATTCCTTGGGAGCCAGCGAAGGACATCTTCTTTTCGTCATGCGCCCCCTTCATTGGCTTCCTCTGGGACATTGCGACGTGTTCCGTCTCTATCCCAGAGAAGAAGAAGGAAAAATACCTGGCCGCCATTCGAAATTGGGAAGCTCGTTCCTTGCACACCCTTCAAGAAGTACAAGAACTATATGGAAAACTTTTGCACGCATCCCTGGTTCTACCTGCCGGGCGAGCCTATCTTGTCTCCCTCGAGTCCATGCTATCCGTCTTTCACAACCGTCCGCACATGCCACATTACCCCCCCAAACATACAGGAGAAGACCTCTGCTGGTGGAAAGCCAGTCTTCAGCAGCCCATCGTCACTCGTTCCATTCCAGGGCCCATCGAAGTCATTGACCCCTCGGCTTACTCAGATGCTAGCTCAGGTACTGGCATTGCGATTTGGATCAACAGTCGATGGAGAGCGTGGCGGCTCCTCTCAGGATGGAAAGACGAGAATCGAGACATCGGTTGAGCAGAGGCAGTCAGGATGGAGTTCCTCATTATCGCACTCCTCGGTCAAAGCCCAGAAGGCAGCTGCATCAAAGTTTTCGGCGACAACCGGGGAGTCATCGAGGGCTGGTGGAAAGGCCGGAGTCGAAACAAAGCCACTAACACCATCTTCAAACGTATCCATGAGCTCGCCACATCTTCACAGTGCACTTTCCTCACTCGCTTCGTACCCAGTGCCCACAATCCAGCGGACGGCCCGTCCAGAGGAATATACCCCCCCTCGAGCTTACTGCTTCCCCCAATATGCATTCCCAAAGCTCTCAAACCCTTCATCGCGGACTTTGACGATCCCACAATCCCTCCTGGACGCCATACACCCCGCGAGAGCATCAAAGCGCAGTCATTCAGCAATCTTCACTCCCGCTCCCAAATCTCCCGCTATAATCTCAACGACGAGATGCGCCATCAAGGAGAAAAAATCTTCGAAGCGACGCAGGCTTAGTAAGTTGCGGAGTGTGACCTTACAGCTTTCGCGTCATTGAAATATAATTTAGTAGCAGACTATCCTGACAATCTTACCCTACAAATATCCTCCTTGCGCCCCCACTGTGCTGCCAAAGACAGACTTCGTCTTTGGCTCCCAATAGGAGACAAAACAACAGCAGCCCGTTTGCCTCATGCTGACGCCCAACGCATCCAGGACGTCATGATTCACGCATGGGCTGGTAGCACCAGGGAAGCATACGGTAGTGGCATCCTTGCCTTTCATGTCTATTGCGACTCAAAAGCCATAGAAGATAACCTGCGCGCTCCGGCATCCTCTGAACTTATTTCGGCCTTCATATCAGACTTGGCCGGCGCATATTCCGGAAAAACGATATCAGGTTATGTCCAAGGCATTCGTGCTTGGCACATCTTGCATGGGAAGTCATGGTGCCTAATTGATGAGCAGATAGACGCCATGTTAAAAGCCGCAAAGAACCTCACCCCATCATCGTCGAAACGGAAGAAACGGCCACCGTACACAGTGGCCTTCATCACCAGTATCTTGCAAAAGCTGGACCCCAACATTCCTCTCGACGCTGCAGTAGGAAGTTGCCTTACAACTGCATTCTATTCCATCGCGCGCGCTGGAGAATTCACAGTCCGGAGCCTCACAACATTCGATCCTTCCATCCACATCAAATGTTCCAACATTCATAAGGAAACAGATCGCAGCGGCCTCACCACCACAGTATTTCATCTACCTCGCACCAAAACATCTCAAACCGGGGAAGATGTATTCTGGGCACGACAGGATGGCCCTACCGATCCAGAGGCTGCTTTAGCCAATCATTTCCACGTTAATGATCCCTCACCTGACAGCGCATTATTCTCATACAAATTCAGCGGTACCCACCGACCCTTAACGAAGTCGAAATTCATCGCGCAGCTGGCACTCGCGGCCAAAAGCGCTGGTTTGGACCCCCTGCAGGGTCATGCCATAAGAATCGGCGCTATGTTGGAATACCTACTTCGAAACATGCCTTTCGACGTCGTAAAGACCATGGGACGATGGGCTAGTGATGCCTTTCAATGTTATCTTAGAGAGCACGCTCAAATTCTGGCACTGTACCTGCAAGCAACTCCCGTGATTCAAGACGAGTTTTTGCGCTACACAATGCCCCGCATTCGATAAACAAACATTCCTAGTGAGTACATGTCCTCCTCCTAGTGCTATGGGTGTTCTCGGTTCGCTCGATGCGTCGTAGGACTCCTACAGCTATGGGAATTGCAGCTCACCTTTTTTCCTGCAGGATACGCAGCTCGGGACCGGGAGGCGCTGCACGCCTTCGCCCAAACTGCTCAGTACTATATCTGCCTCAGTCATAAACACAACACTTTCGTAGAACATTAGTGGCGGCAATATCATTTCTTATTTTGGATTTTGGAGTGTCAGACTGCGTCCTAGCGACTCACAAAGAGAAGCAAGGTTGACAATGCCCTTGGCGCCTGCATTCGGCAAAAGCCGAAAAGATATGCAGACTATGTGTAGTTGTCGGCGGTCTCATTAGTTGTATAGCTTGTTCAATTCTACTCGGTCATCGGTGATTTTGCTATATACCTTATATTTGTGCAACATTGTAGGTCTTGGTACTCGGTCTTGAATACATTTGGTATATACATTAACATTCACACTCGGTCATCTGCATCACTGGATTGGGGAATGTCCCTGGCCCATTTTCCTCATTGCTAGTAGCAATATATGTAGTGGATCATCGATCTTGCGGTGCATGTTCATGAGATGCTGAATCTTGGCAACATCCTTGCTGGCTGTGAGAAATTGGTCACATGCATGCTGATAATCTGATATCAACAGCCAGTTGGCATCTGACATATTTACCGAGTTTTGTCCTCGGTCATCTCCTGTCGAGCGGTGTTCACTGTCATGATGCCCATCATAAAATAAAGTTTAACCTACTTATCACAGCGTCAATGCTATCAAGCCTCATAGTAGCTTGGCACAGCAATTCCTTGCCGGTGTCGACAATTTGATTTGGCAAGCCATTGGTTGGTGCTGGCAATGCAACCGGCAAGCAATGATCAAAACACATATCATATGATATCTGTGTGTCATCCGCTGGACCTGATTTTACGGGCCTGTCACCAATACACAATTCTGACAAACCGGATTCAACCAAGTCGATCGGCGGTGCAATAGGAGAAGCACTGTCTAAGTGAATATCTCTGCCTGGCAACACATCTCCCCAGCACATGTCAAAATTGGCTACATACTAGTCGGTAGCAGTCGGTGGTGTTGATGGGGATACTTACCAGCAAATCCAACCACCAATGCACATGGACTGTCAGTCCAACCCATATTATATTGACCGACTGAGAAGGGTATGCTGCCATCCACCATTAAAGTTTCCATAGTCGCCAGTTCGAGATCTGGAGCAAGATGAACCCTTGGAGGAGTTTGTTCTGCATCCCAACAAAGGTTTTATTCACAGGAGGCCAGTGGTGCGGCTGCACACATGGCAACAATCGCTGAATCGGCATTGGTGTCCCAACACATGTCAAATGTAACTAAGTCAGTCAGAAATTAGGAAGGCCATGAAGGGACTAGAGTTACCTAGGCCTGCAACTTGTAGGTCAGCCGATTGTGGTGCAGTCGGTAATTTTACTGTCGGCGCTCCATCACCCTCAGTATTCCAGTACATATCAAATACTGACTGTTGTTAAATCTCAATACAGGTTTATCAAAAGCAAACATACCTGTGTGGCCACCATTGTTCTTGGGATGATGTGTGTTTTGCGTCTTGTCGGATGGCATGGTGGCGACTGTGGATTTCGCAACTTGAACAGGGCCGGATATAGTTGGTAGATTAGGTCCCACGTGAAGCTTGTTGTTGCGCATAGTGATTCGGTCTTTTGGAGAGGATGGAGTTGGACACAAATTCGGTGGCACCCACTGGTCCCAAGTGAGGAAAAAATTTAAGTTGGCTTTGATGTGCTCATCCTGGAGTCTTCGAGCTTTATCAACAGGCTTCTTGTGGGAATACATTGACGAGTGTGGCGGATTTGAACACTGTATTTGAAGAACAATGAAGAAGTCCCACAGCTTCTGCCAAATCTTGGCCATTCCTGGATTTTGGCCATTTCCGGTGGTGTCACAATATGGTGCTGCATCCGCCACTGACCTCTGTCAAGTTCTACTAACATCTACACAAAGTCATCGTCTTCATAACTAGGTGAATACTTGTCTTACCTCTTCCGCTGTTGTTGATTTAACATTCCCCACTGTCACCCTTACAGTTTTTCAATCATCCAGTATTCACCATGCCATCACAACAGGAATCCGATGCGGTTTTGATGCTTGCCAACAAGACTGTGCGCAATTCAGTCAGCCGAATTCAAGATGGAGAAGTAGATGGCCGGGCAGTTCTTGATCAGGTGCATGGTATTGCACGGCAGGTGGTGAATGTTTCATTTACTGTGATTGTTATTTAGTGGCTCACCATCAACACTCTCAAGCCTTGCAACAGCACAGCAGGACTTGCTCGGTCATATCGCTGTTCCTTCTTTCTGTGGCCGCCGAGGTCCGGGCCACCATGAACAAAGGTGTTGCTCCGCAATGGAACCGTGTCCAGGATGATTATCCACGCATGGAATCACATCCCTTCTTCACAAAGACTGTCAGATATCGTGAGTGGGCGCTCATTGGATCCACTGTGGTGGCTTGACACTCTTACAGAACGACTGGCGCCAGAGCCAGCGCAAGCACGCGCAGTCTCCCCAGTCCCACCACAACCTCCCAAACAAATGTCGATTCCACCGATCGATTCACTCCCTCGCGTCAGTCATGTCCACAATCTCGTTGTTCCTGGCACGATGCCTGATAAGGGCAAATGGTGTAGAAACAACAATACAACGAGGAACGAACGATGCTCCTGACTGTATCTGTAAATGTTGTAAGGTTGCACTTTGCCTAGTCTGTGTTACTTGAGAAGACAAGTGTGTTTGACCCTAAAGGGGAAGCGAGTGCAGCAAGGATCTAGAGATATGCGCTGAAAGTGCTACTGGTTGGTCAATACAAAGCACGAGAAAGCGCAGGTGCGTGCAATGCATGGGAACACGCGCGCATATGCGGAAATGATAGAGAGACTAGACTCAAGTGATAATATGATGCAAGAGATGTGAGAGTGCGAGATGTAAAGGAATTTATTTCTACTATGTTCTGCTAAGTAGTAAGTAAGTAGTAACAGGTAATTGGGAGGTAAAGTCAGTAAAGTAATAGTATGTACTGCTGGCGCTTATATAGGCACCTAAGCACTGTCATGCGGAGCCGAAGCGCTACCAAGTAGGTATGTAAAGATATACATGAAGTCCATGATAAAAATAAAGATGGAACAATATGCAAATGAGAGAAATAGAAATATATACACTAGAGAACTTGGTGGACAGTGGATGGATGCATCTGGATGGCTGGCACTATAGGGCGCTTAAGTGCGGGAAAGCGCGCGCGCGTATACATCGCGAAGCGCAGGAAGTCACGTGCGCATGGCGTGGGAAAGCTGCGCCTCATATAGGGATAGCTGTGGATAGCACACAGAGTGGTGCTGCGAGTTCATGCAATGTACTCCCTAGTGAAAACTCCCATATCACACCATGAGAGGCATGATTCTCTACAACGGCCTGACTGTGGCACTCGTCAATCCAGAGAGGACAGCCCAGGTGCTGAATCAGGCAGGAAGAAAAAACTGTTGAAGTGTGTGTCGAAAGCTGTCATCACCGACACCAAGGATGAGGACCGGCAGCTGACAGGGACCATTATAGTTAAGGCAAGATTTCCTCCCATCATTTTCGACCGACTGCTGACATCACCTTAGTGGTCCAAGCTCACCGAATCTTCGGGTGGAGCACCACCGAAGTCAAAGGTAAGCACAGCAGCAAGCTCAATACCGATCTCATTACTGACTTTTTGCAGGGCAATACCAAAAACATGAAGCAGGTGAGATTTACCTCATCCTGTCGGTCCTCATCCCTCAACCATCTTCAGCCGGATACCGACCCAAAGATCGGCCAATCCCAGCTGCAGGGCAAAGGAAAGGAGAAGGCGGTGGAAATCGCTGAGCTCATCAGAGGGCATCAGCTACTGAAGTCCACTGCTGAGGAGGTGCGTTTGCCATGTTGACCTTGTGACCGGGTACTGCATCAGTAAAATATCACGGTTCTTAATTTAACTTAATCAGAACTTGTTCCACTTGGCTTGATGTCCAAGTTTGTCAAGATGTTCAAGATCTCGATTTGACTTAGAGCACAACTTGAATGTCTTACCTTCAAGCCAACAAAGACACTAAGACAACTTGAGCGTTTTAAAGACCTAATGAATTCCAAGGTAAAATTGTATTTCAAGATGCTAGCTCGAAAGAATGGTGATCAATGAACCAATTTATGTAAAATCCTCAGAAAACGTCAAGAGAATGGTGGAATCGAAGGCCCCGTGGAACAAATTGAGTACCAAATATCGGAAGCAAGTGAGCACCGCGAACAATACTGTCAATATGGATTATTGACAAGTTGGGAGAGCTGTCCTCATCAAAAGATGGTGCAACCATGTACATTCCTGTAGCTTCGTCTCGTTCCTCAGTGATCTGATAGAACCACTGAACAAGTGCGCATGAATAGGTGCAACTATTAGTAAAAGTGAAAGAAAAAAGCAAAATATTCAAACAACATCCATGCTTAGTATTTCATCCTGCCTGTCGTCTGTGTTGACAAAGGCACAGTCAAAGCAGCCTGGTCCGTTGCGCCATGAAGGTACAGCACAGAGATGCTCATGGTGCATGCCAGTGATTCCACTTGGATCACTGGGTGCAATGAAAGTCACAGCAGCTGAATTAAAAACCTTGATAGCTCCCATATAGGACGGACAGTCACAAAGCGGAACATCCACAGAAGAATGGTGATCATCTGTGTGTATTTGATCATATAGGAAGAGACGGATGAGGGTCGGTAGTGATGGCACCTTGAGTTCGTCTGCAAGGCCACTGACAGTACACACGCGCGTTTATGTTCTGAATATTGCATTAATGAAAAAACACCACTGAAAGGTTTGATACACACGAAAAGTCCGTGCTGACTGCACATCAGCAATCACATCCACATCATCCACAATACCCTGGTCCTCAACATCATCGAAGTCGTCACTCTCAATGGCGAATGGGTTATTTTCTTCATCCATGTTGTTCTGTTGGACCTCAGAGTCCCCGTTGTCGCTGCCAATAGCAAACCGATTTTCAACTGGAAAATTCAATGAGTGAACCAAATTAAAGTCAAACAGAACACGTACAAAATGAATTGAAGTAACTAAAGGCGCAAGAGCCTTTAAGCATACCACGTGCAGCAAAATCAACTCTTGATGCTGCAATTTTATCCAGGCGCTGATTGGTTAAGAGCATTTGAAGGAGCGCATTGTACCTATTTGAACGCCACCATGGTTCCTTTACTGCTTTGATGTGTTTGGATTCTGTAATTGACGAGCAGAGACCATTTAGAGTGCCGAACATTTGGATGAGGAGCTTGTAGCGGGTGAGAGAGTGTTGGCAAGGGTAGGGAAATGTCAAAGCGGACACCACTAGTCTCAAAAATGGTGCGATACATATGAAAATGCCTAAGAGCATCCCTCAGCTGCGCAAGAGTCTCATCTGTAACCACATTTGCACGTGCGATGTAGCAGAACTCCAACAAGGATCGAAAGGCTCGAACCATATCATCGGGTACATGGCCTTCTATTGCTGGTATGTAAACCTATATAAGTTGTGTGTAAGCATAACAAAATCATTGTATGTAAGTGCGAAAATTTACCTTCATCAATGCCTTGGAGTCATCTCCAGTCCAATGAAAGAATCCACGCCCTTGCGGAAAGCGTCATAGACCAGGGAAGGAAGGAGCAGCAGCAATTCTGATATGTTGTTAATCATTGCAATGGATAACAGAAGATTGAAATTACCTTTGCTCGATGTCATCTAAAATCGCCTTGGCCCCAGTTTCCCATGTTCAAGTTCCAGGTACTGACACACCCATTCAACGAGGTGATCCTTGAATGTTCCTTTGATGAGCTGATGCAGAATATTGGGAGCAAGGAGCTCATGGTTGTCGGCACAAGGAAAGTCGTTTGTAAAGGGCTATGGAGTGCAATAGTCAATGTGATCACAATACATCTGAACAATGTGAGGGGACATACCACTAGCTCACCAATAATACCGTACTCATCCCAAAGGACACCAAAATCAACCAAGTCCACAAGCACATCAGTGTGTTCGCGTGACCGAGAAACACCTCCATCATCAAGAGTTGAGGGAAATGCAAGGCATCTGTGAATGAAAATAGTGTGGAGGACTCTGCATGATAGTGATACTTACTTACCTTCCACATCAATCTTTGACTATACATGCCAGTACCACCTGCTCTTCATAGTCGGCAATGTAGGGACCAAGTCCATATAAAATGCGCCGGTGGTGTCCATCACCACAACATGTGACTTCAGGTGTTGTCATTCCAGGTTTGAGGGTAGCAAAGATCTTTGACAGTGAGGAGTGGAATAATTGCTTCTTGAATTTATGGTATCTTGCATCATCTGCATTCTTTTTTTCAGCTACATACAATGATGACAATGTAAGCTTCAAACTAGACTGGGAGAGAAACAGCAACATACTCTTTGGAATTGCCAAAAACCCGATCAGGGCTAATGCGTTGCGATGAGAACACCAAATGTTGTTGTGGACATTTCCGATTGAGAGATACAGTGGGTAGTAGTCATTTTGACCGGTAGCAACGGAAACAGCTGTCTTGTCACTGCTAACAATGATGGGAACAAAAGCTGCACCATGCGTTTCCAGATCCTGCACAATTTGGTCCTGTAATGATATCAGTACGAGATTGTAATAGCCATAAAAAATATGTACCACTTGCTGCCAGGCCCAGTCTCCTGACATAAAATCCTTATAATGATGTTGCTCGCCCTTCTCCTCAGACTCACGGTACAGCATATAATCAATCGAGTGTTTGAAATCTGGGTTTGCGAGCATGTTCTTGACGACAGTGTGGGGGTCCCGAAACCAGACTTCGTGTGACTGTTCCATCCATAGCGGACACTGTCCAGCTGGTTTATTGCCATTATACTGGAGAGAAAAGCTTTGCCAGGCGACATCACCTAGTGGTGTGGCGTCAATAGTCTTGTACAAGTCCCTGTGGTCGGCAAATGGTGAGTTATTGTTATGAACAGCGAGAGTGACCCCCCACAAGTGGAGGATTTTGTCAATGTCACCAGCAGACATCTGGTTTTTAGTGTACATAAATTCGGCACACTCAAACTCTAGTCGGTTGTGATACGGAGTCCAGTCATTAGAACTTTGTGCTGTGTAGGGTGGTGGAGGAGTGCTGGGATCAAGAAAATTGCCGTTCTCGTCACAAATACGACCTGTTGGTGCAAATTTTCATCAAATACAAGCTGGCATGGCAGCGGAATCATGTACTTACCAGTCAGAAGGTCATGATAATCATGTATGAGCCCAGACTTTGACTCCTGCAGCGCCGCATCAGTGTTCGTACGTCTCGGAGTGTCTCCTTCATCTTGAATTTCTTCAACCGAAGCACGTTGAGTGCATGACAACTGAGCAGAACGAGTAAATGAGTGGCCATGTGCCGAGTTTTGATGAACTTTCAGCCCAGACACAGATTTTAGCCAGTGTTTACAGCCCGGGTAGGGACACTGAATGCGGCGAGCGCTGAATGCTCGTCATTTGAGTTGTGCATGAGGGATTATATCTGGCATGTTGGGACAGCCAGAGTCGGACAAACTGCAAAGTTCAAACCATTAGCAAACACACTAACTCTGAGTAGATGTCATGTAATACATATTAAACAGGGTGTGAAAATTGACTTAGGGTTTCAACATCCATTATGACCGCTCTCCCATTCACGCTAAATTTTCTTGTCTCCAAACCAGACCTTTCGACCGATGGTGCGCCCAAATACTCGCCCTAAGAACGCAACCCAGCATCCTGGTGAGATCCTTCTCCAAAACAAGCAAAAAAGATGCACTGCTCGCGAAGTAAAGGAAGAAAAGGATCGAATGGAGCAGGAACGGCAGGAGAACAAACCGCTGCAAAGTGCAACACTGAGAGAATTGCTTCTATTGAAGATAAGATGGCATTAAAGGAGCTGAAAACACTTATGGACGCACCTAAACCTTGGCCCCGTGCACGTCCTGTACAACAGAAGACCAAACTCACCATCGAGGATGATGGCGAGATTGCAGAAGGCACCATTGAGAGCAAGGACAATGAAATGATGGATGTTGCTACAGATGATAACAATGGCAATGAGGACTTCATTGAGAGGTAAAGGATCTCCAGAAGACTCACCACAGACTTTGGCTGACCATTGTGTTGTCCAGTGATGATGAAAGCATAGAAGTGCGGCCAAGGAAGAAGTGTGTCCAGAAGATGGCTCATCGTAAGGCTATCCAGGATGTGAGAAGCATTAATAATAAAGGTGGTGTTAATCACAACGAGTCATCACAAGATTCTGAACTTCGAATCACATCAGATCGTGATCACACAATTGTGGCACGTGGTGACCCAAAAGGCAAGAAGGTGTAAGTCCTGATCGTTTCCCATCCACTATGTTATTGCTCACCGAAACCACACTTTCTCACCTTGATCTCCTCAATTGTTTCAGTGCAGATATCAGTGCAATCAAGGACGACTTTGCAGGGATGGGAAAAACCAAGGACTGGGCTGAGAAACTTGTGGCAAGCAAGTTGCTCAGGCCTCAAAACCTTCAAGCAGTTTCTCGAGTGTCCTCAGTAACTACCTCGACAGCTGTTTTGGCAATCTCCAAGGTGACCAGTACCAGTGCTCATCCTGGACCTCCCCCTACTCCAACAACTAATGGGCAAGGCAATCTTCAAGAGCCTACCACAGTCTTTTTGGATAGTGATGATTCCCTCGAGCGTGAGGCGGCCTTCACCGCTACCAAAAAACCTGGTGGCAGAAGCACAACTTCTGCAGTATGTATATTATAATTTTCTTACATTCACATTGCACTCACTTCCCTTCAGGATATAACGGAAGTCCGGGATAGTTTGTTATCTCCACCTCCTCCAGTCAGACACCTAGCAACAAAGAAAAGGACAAAGTCCTTGTCTTTGCCACCTCCTTCTACGCAGCCATCAAGAGCTACTGCCAGACTTGACACCACCCTCATTTCCAGTTTGTTGACGGACATCGATTCTGGCGACAGCAGCCCCAGTGAGGACATAATATTGCCTTCTTCCCCTGCGGCAGTTAAAAACAACAAATGTCTGACAACTTCGGTAAGAATCAATGCTTAACACCATTCTGAGCCGGCCGCTTCTTTTGCTATTTAATGTGGTGCTCATCTCTCTGCTTAACATGGACCAATGTTACCATCAGTAATCAAGCCCCCCCTTCAAAACGAGCAAAGACAGACTCTCACTCCAAGGGTGTTTCGTCACACCGCGATGGAAGTGGCACCAATCACTGGTACCAGAATGACGATCTTCCCGATGGATGCCAAGACGGTAATGCCTGGCATCACGTGTTCATACTGAGTGTGGCACACTGGGCCGGTGGAGATGTTGAGCCATGGGGTCCTGACAATAGTGATTTGAGGGAGACTATGCAAGAGATATGGGACCATATATACTGGAGTAGGATTCAGCATGAGATCTCCCGATCCGGCACTGTCATGAAAGTCGTAAGTCTGTTATTTGTGTCGCTTAGAAGTTCGCTAACATTTGTAGGCAAAACAACGCCTCATGGAATGGCGTGGAGGGTTCGGTGTTGCAGCTTGCTCCATCCTCACTGCATTTTTTGCACAGGATGCTGATTTTTTAGATTCTGTCGCTCGCATGGACTTCTCAAAAGCTATGCTCAAACAAAACCGGTTTATTTTCAGGGATAATTCAGGTCTCATTCCCAAGGTAAGTGATATCATTATTGTTATGAGACCATCCTACTCATTTGTTCAGAGAATTGGATGGGTATGTGGAGATCTCCTTTCATACTTCAAACATCCGTGTCGCATCTCAATTTCACCTTTGGCTGTGTTGAAATCCCCACCCTGGACACCAAGAACTCTAGTGCACGGGCTGCCTTTGCCCTCGCTGTCACAGCCGTAAGTCTCGATTTAGATTTCAACTGTATTTTAAAAATATTCTTCATAGGTTTACCGCTGTAGAGACTCGTGCATCTCATAGTGTGATATGGCGCTTTACACTAGGGAGTATACAGCACCAACTCGCAGCATCACTCTGTGTACCATCCACAGTGATTCCTATATGACGCGCAGCTTTCCCGCGCAACGCGCGCCATGCGCGCACCATTCCCGCGCTTCGCAATGTATACGCGCGCGCGCGTTCCCGCGCTTGCGCGCCCTATGGCGCCAGCCATCCAGAAGCATCCATCCACTGTCCACCAAGCTCCCTAGTGCGTATATTTCCATTTCCTTTATTAGCATAGTTCCACCTTTATTTTTATCATGCATTCTCACTCATATATATATTTACATACCTACTCGGTAGCGCTTCGGCTCCGCTTGACCGTGCTTAGGCGCGCTATATAAGCGCCAGCAGTATATACTATTACTTACCTTACTTTTCACCCAACTTTACCTAGTACTTACTACTTAGAAAGTCGCAGTAGAAATCTATTCATTAGCACAACACATCTCACATCCTTTATCTTGCTTATATCTTCACATAAGTTTAGTCTCTCTTATTTCCGCTTACACGCGCGCGCTTTCCCGCGCTTCGCGCTAATACGCGCGCGCGTTCCCGCGCCTTCGTACCTTGCGCGCACCTGCGCTTTCTCGCGCTTCGCTGAAGTGCGTACCTCTAGATCTCCGCTGCACCTGCTTCCCCTTTAGGGTCGAATGCACTTGCCATCTCAAGTATCGCAGACTAGGCAACGCACGACCTACAACTTTTTAGATACAGTCAGGAGCATTTCTTTGTTCCTCTCAGTATTGTTGTTTCTACACCGCACTCTTCAACTAGTCGTCAATGGGAACATGACTTTCGAAATCATTCAAGAATCATGCAGCAAACGCAAAGGTGCGAAGACAGATGACGGTGATGTTTGGATGCCCGTCATTGCAAAGGGCAAGCAGTATTCTTTTAGTAAACCAATCTGGGGGGGCATGACCCTCAAGTTCATGGGTCCCATTTCGGCGCTTTCTGACAATGACTTTGCAAGCATTGTGGAGGAAGCTCAACAGTATGCCAAGAACTCGAAAAATGTTGGGAACTCGAGGACTACTACCAGTGTCACACCTGACAAGGACGACATATTTGCTGACCTTTTTGCTTTCCGCTAAAGGTGAGTGATTTCCGCTGCCACATGTAACTCATTGTTGATATGCACACAGATGATGCTTGGAGGGCAACTGCAACCTCACTCGCCTTCCTCCTATTCAAGGACCCAGGTTAGGTCTCCTGGATTGTTCAATTCCTCAGTGCTACTCGAGCTCATTCAACAGTCGTTTTTTTTCGCCGTTTAGACATACAGTATCTTGATGCCATTGCTTTCGTTCCACGTTCCACTAGCCCTGCTTTCTGTCGCACTTACACCCATGCTCTCTCCATCGTTATTCATGCGCACATTGCTCATCCATATTAACCTTACTTTAATCATCCTTATTTGTACATTGATTGCTTACTGGCTTTACTCTTATTCCATCTTGGCTGTCTTATGAACTTGGTTATCCTTGCTCCACAAAGGTGTCGTTTATAAGACGAGAGACTTGAACCAAGTTGAGCGTCTTTGAAAAGACTAACTTATTTTGTCTTGGTCACCGATTTAAGCTTGTTAAGTTGATTTAAGAACCGTGATATTTTACTGATGTGATATGGTAGTCATGAGACCTATAGACCGATATAATTACGCTTTTGCCAAATATATCTATGTATTCTACAAGAAATTTGTGTTGTTCATAAATGACCATTGATCCGTGCAAAACTAGACTTAGAAGATGCATCAATGACAAGGTTGAAGTATAGCGACATCATAGCAAGTAAAATACAATAGTCCAGCACCCTCACCCTGCAAGTCCATTCTCAGTTTGACTCGTATCTGTATATATTGGAGGCCTCAATAAACCGTAGAACCTGCTTGGAGGTTGCACACGAGCATCCTACATAAGTAAGTAGAAATCGAAATATAAAACAGAACGATGGCATCTGCGGCAGATCAGAGAATGAGGTATATGCGGGGCCGTATACAACCCGAATAATAATGAATTTGGAGATCCTTTCAACAATCGAAATACACTATCACAGCTTGCCATCATCGAAGAAACACTACCTTTTCCTTCGGCTGTGAAGCATTCCAGGAGACTTCATGGATGACGCCCAACCCAACACGTTGCATCAAGCCCTCACTCTGACTGACCGCCATGACATATAACACACATTCATGGTAATACCTGAGACTCTGTTCGTCGTACACGCGGCGCGTACCGGTACGGGAAAGAACGATGAACTCGAGGGACAGAGGAGGCATAGGGTCCAATGGCAAGACCGCAGTGCCAACCCAAATAGGAGGGGGTGTGGTGGAGAGAATATTGAAGAGACCATGGTGGAGAGATGCACCTGAATCATCGTTTTCTTCGCTACCTCGCCATGCAATGCTAAAGTGGCTGGAAGTTGTGCGGAAAATGAGGGTGCCTGGTGCTAGCGGTCGATGGATGTCTAACGTCAGCTCCGTTGAGTCTAAAATCCCTGATGGAGGAGAATATGCCAACTTCTCCTCCTCTTTCATGGGATTCGATACGATCCGGGAAACCCGGCGAACATCAAGCTCCACTGTTTTACCACTATGGTCCACGATATACCAAGAATTAATAAACGTTTCTACCACCGACGGTTCGCCACTACCGTTGACGATACCATAATACCGATGCTCCGACGTGTAGTCAACAGCGCCACACCACGTAGCCCATGTCCAAGAAGGTAAAGGTAAACCAACTCCATCAGGGAGCGAACGACGAGCGCGAGGTGTGTGTGGGTCATGTTGCCAGAGAAGCGCCTGATGCAGATCCGTCAACATCATTCCGCAGTGAAAGACTCTAGCGGGGTCACCGAGGCTAAAGCCTATCGCCAAAGCATTTGTCACTCCAGTGAGAGCATCGATAATGTCTGATTCCACGGTGAGATTGCGTCGTGTACACTCCTTGACGGCCCACATGTAACTCCCAAAGGGGTCCGCCTGTGGGAAGTATTCTCCACGCGATTGCTGAAGAAAGTTATTGGAGAATTCTTGACCTTTGCTTTCGGCGACGATGTCTTCGCAGAAGACATCACGCCGACACTCGAAGTAGACTTGCTGCTGAGTGAAGTATATCCGTCGGCGCGAAAGTGCGCTCTCTTGATAAGTCCAACAACGCGTATTCCATACGGACAGAGCAAGAGCATCCTGAAGTCTTGGAGGTCCCACACAGAGATGAAGTCCTTGAACAACCTCGATATGCTGTTTTGGTGTTCTAGTTCGTGGACGGCACCCTGGGAGAGGGTCTCGAGCCGACGCGCCGCCAGCTGCCATTACCGTGAGGTAAGAAAGGCCGTAAACTAAATCCATAGATTTTATCTGAGCGATTTTGTCCTGCGAACAATCTTGAATGATGCATAGAGCGTCAATCCATAAGTAGCGGAGACCGAGTTGTCGAGTGAATAGAATGGAATCAGTTATGGTCTCTGGAAAGATTGCCGTGTTCAACCCGCCAGGTGCGGAGCGCTCCGCTATATTATTCGTCGTCGTCCGATACTCTGTGCTGACGGTTCCCCACACGTAACTGAGGGCAACATAACAACAGCCAGAAGGTGCGGGAACCAGGGTCATCGAGACCACGTCCACCAATCTCACATGTTTCGGCAAATTCTTATCCTCTTCATCATCCATTCTCCACACATTATGACATTCATCCCCGTGGTTCTCCTGGCACAGCTTGATCCACTTCTTTACCAGGTCGATGTCTACAGTGTCCTTCACCCTGCGACTATGAAGATCGGTTGGTCTTCCGAACTTGGAAGCATCTTCTTGCATGAGGTAGATGCTAAGCGAACGTGCTGTCGCCCTTGAAGTAGGGTATCTCTCCCAAAATTCCCTTAGACCCTCCATACTGACGTGGAGACGGTAGCAACGAAATTTGGGTCGAGGATAAAAGGGCCCCCGGAGACAACCACATGACATCGAGAACAGCCGACATTGAATCCCTGAGAGATCAACATCAGGGATCTGGTCCAACATCCATGTTCGACGGACGTGAAAGGATATGAGGCGGCAGAAGCTGCATTGGTACGACTTTTGTAAGATGGATGAGAGGGAATCGAGTGGGATTTCCTCTGTCTCTGGGATGCCATCAAGGAAGATCTGGTAAAAATTCAAATGTTCACAGACGGAACAGAGTAATGCGTTGCTGCCAAAATGATCTCTCTGTTCAGTCAATCAGCCAAGTTCACTGCGGTGGGGACCCAAATGTTCCTCACCAGAAGTTCAGCTCGTATTTGGTCTGGGTTTAGAAGAGGGGCGGATTCGGAAGTCCCATCCGATGGGACATTTGCTTTCAGTTTGCACCTGCGAACGACCAATAGCCAGATAACCAAAACTCCCAGAGCAATCCCTCCGATAATTTCAACCAGGGCCGAGGCATGTGTGGAGGCCGGGTTAAGAGTGTCAAGAACATCAAAGGGTGGTACTGTAAGCCTTTCATGATTACCTGAGAAGTGCCTGAACGATAAATATGAAAAATCATGAAAGCAGGATACCTACCTGACTGGGTTGCACTATAGAAGGTCATGCGAGTTGCAATGAATTCAGTTTGATTCCTCGGGTTTGCAACAGGGCGAGGAAACGCAGCTATATAGTACATAAGGCTGTAAAAACCATGGACACTGGTACCTGCAAACGTGTGGCAGCCAACGTTGCAACGCCAAGCCCAATTGCAACAGCCTCACTTGCAGTGTTCAAGGACATATTATGTTTTACTTCCTTCACGTGACACGATTAGACATTCTTTTCTCTTTTTACAGCAGTTTGCATAATGGTAGAGGCCGGCGGTATTTCCAAAAAAAATGTGCATTTATTTACAAAAAAGTAGCGCTACAAAGATCGATTTTTATCTCAACAACGAAGCAAGCTATTGACATGGTCCAAGCGACAAAACTGATCAGAAAAATCGAACGCAGACGGCCAGCGAAAAAAACTAAGCGATTCGGTGAAGTTCGTAGTCACCTGCTCTCAGAGCCAGTAGAACTACAAAGATTGATTTTTATTTCAGTAACGAAGCAAGATGATGACAAGCGGTAAGATACAAACTTGATCAGAAAAATGAGGCGCAGAAGACTGTAGAAAGGATGGAATGATTTGGCGAAATGGACACTTGCCTCATGTCCGCTAGCATAAAAACTAAATTCACACACATCTCACTTTTCCCGGTCTGCTACATTGTCTCGCAGGATGGCAAAGGCTTCTACCCGAGTGCGCAAGGTCAAGGAGCCTCGGAAATGCAGTTGTCCTCTGAAAAAGCAATTACAGCCCCCAGTGGTACACAGGCAGAACATCCTCCAAGCCAGGAAGTCGTCTCAAAGACTAAACCACGGCCACAGCCCATTCCACCAAAAAAGTCCAGCACTTTGTCAGCGGCCACAGTGCCAGGTGGATCCAGGTCTGTCCCAGACGTCAGAGCAGCTGTAGCGTCAAGACACTAACTTTCTTCCTTGAATAGCCCGTGCGATGAAGTGTTCGCCAGATTGTGGACAATGACAGGTGTTTCCCGCGAGCCTGGCTAATCTCATCACGGAGTTCGTCTAGATACATATCACAGCTGCGGGACAAATGGCCATGCATGTACTTTTGTTATGTCAGAATTTGTGCAGAAAGAGATTAAATATGGACGCACCTCAATATCTTCCAAGTCCATCATTCGAGTTCTGCCACTATTACCACTCTGGCTTTCTTTACGGCTTCCCAGTGAACTTATAGCATCGCGCAACCCTTTCAATCGTCGATTTTCTTGCACCAGTGTATGCCATGATTTCGGATGTGTCAAGGAGCGGTAGCACTCAGATGATAATTTCGCATAGTTCTTGCGACGATTTGTGACCTTTCATAGTGGGGTAAGGGAGACGTTTGACTGGAGAAAAAAGTATTGTTGTAGACTGTTGGCTCTGAGAGCAGGTGACTACGAACTTCACCAAATCGCTTAGTTTTTTCGCTGGCCGTCTGCGTTCGATTTTTCTGATCAGTTTTGTCGCTTGGACCATGTCAATAGCTTGCTTCGTTGTTGAGATAAAAATCGATCTTTGTAGCGCTACTTTTTTGTAAATAAATGCACATTTTTTTTGGAAATACCGCCGGCCTCTACCATTATGCAAACTGCTGTAAGAATACGCGAAAGTATAATTATGTTCGACCTCACGGCTATGTTCCGCTCCGGACGACCAGCGTTGATATACTCACAAAACCCCTTCGCTTCTACAACTTGTTCGTCTTGGAATCTGAAGCTCTATTTAGTATGTTGGCCTTAAAATCCGGTAGGCTTATTACAGCACGCAACCTACACCGCAACCTCCGACCCATAATCACTACTAGTCAAAGGTCGCGCCAAATCTCAACGTACAACATTGATATAGCAGGGCTCACAGAAGAGCAAGCTGAGGTATGCCAATGAAATCATGGCCTTCAGCTACAGCTCAGCAGTATAACTTAGTTCCGCAATGCAGTAGCCGAGTTTGCCGAACGGGAGCTTGCCCCGCGTGCTGCACAAATCGACAAGAGCAACAACTTCCCTTCAGTGAGTATTAATAAAAGGATGTCGATCTTCTCGTACTCAAGCGCATTGTCAGGACGTTTGGGAGAAACTTGGTGACATGGGTCTACTCGGTATCACCGTTTCGTCAAAGTATGGTGGTTTGGACCTTGGATACTTCCACCACACTTTGGCAATGGAAGAGCTTTCCCGTGCTTCTGGCTCTGTTGCACTGTCGTACGGCGCGCATTCGAACCTATGTGTGAATCAAATCCATCGTCATGGAACAGAAGCTCAAAAGCAGAAATACCTCCCTGACTTGATTGCTGGGAAGAAAGTGGGTAGTTTGGCTATGAGCGAGCCTGGCAGCGGGCAAGTTGATTGACTTATGATGCACGAAGAGGACGACTCACAGTGAACTAGGAGTGATGTAGTCAGCATGAGTTTGAGGGCAGATAAAATAGACGGTGGTTGGAAGCTGAATGGGAACAAGTTCTGGTGATAATTTAACAGTATCGTTCGTGAATTGTTCTAACAGTCCCGCAGGATTACCAATGGACCAACAGCATCAACACTAGTCGTTTACGCCAAGACCGCTCCTGAGAGAGGTTCCAAGGGCATCACCGCGTTCATTATCGAGAATACGTTCGAAGGCTTTTCCACGCATCAGAAGCTCGATAAATTTGGCATGAGAGGCAGTGATACTTGCGAACTTGTCTTCGATAACTGCAAAGTCCCAGAAGGTTTGTTCTCATGTACTCAATGGTGGAAAACTTATCAACTTTTGCTACTCCTAAGAGAACGTCCTTGGCCAGGTTAACAAAGGCGCAGGGGTCTTAATGTCTGGGCTTGACCTTGAACGTCTTGTCCTGAGTGGCGGTCCCTTAGGGTAGGGTTATTTTATCAAACGTTCGAAACTGTTCACTCAATATTACTTCCTGAAGTTTGGCGCAAGCTACATTTGATTATGCAGTAGAATATGTTCACGATCGCAAGCAGTTTGGACAACCTGTGGGAACATTCCAATTAATGCAGGGTATGTTGACCAGGCTCCACGATCGACACAACGACTGATGAAGGTTTTCCAGGCAAGATTGCTGATATGTATACAAGTATTAATGCAAGTCGCGCGTATGTCTATGCTGTTGCAAGAGCCTGTGACCGCGGTCAGATCAGTCGTCGAGTAAGTAAGACCGGGAATCCGAACGCTGGTGGTTCCTTATTTTATACCGCTAGGACTGCGCTGGTGCTATCCTCTACTCTACCGAGAAAGCCATAGAGGTCGCGCTGGAAGGCATGCAATGCCTCGGCGGTAACGGATACATCAATGGTTTGAATTATCTGTGATTTCGTGATGGCTGCTACTCACATTTGAACTAGATTATCCCATGGGTCGCATTTTACGCGATTCTAGGTTGTATGCGGTGGGCGCCGGGACGCAAGAGATAAGGAGGATGCTGATAGGACGGGAGTTCAATGAGCAGTTCAAATCCTCATGATACCTCAGTGGTACTCCAGGCTGCTTTCGGACAGTAGTAGACAGTCGTTCAATCGTCCCTAGTCCGGACAATACCGTGTTTGAGCAATCATGACAGGCGTGCATAAGATTTTTAGATGAGCGATATCTCTCGGAATCTGATAGCATTGTATCACATTGAATTTGTATATATCTTAGTTTGTAATGTGCAAGGCAGGGCCTCACTGAGGCATAACTTACTTGATCAAAGTCGCCGCGGTGGGTTATGTCGAATTCATGTAATTCGAATAAGAAAAAAAATTAGCTTGTGGTAATTGCTTCGGGGATGTCTCCGGCAAACGCATGTATGTTTCGTACAATCAGGTCTAGCATAAACTGGGTTGAACATCCCCTGGCAAAATTCTTTGCGGTCGGGATTGGGTTTCCTTCGAGTCATATGTTCAGACTGTTGCGTGTCATCAAGACTATGATATTGTTACATGGGGTATACTTCCAATTGGTATAGGTACTTGTGTCTATTCCAAAATAAATGAGGAACAAACGATGCACGATGTCATGTGAAGATATGTGAAGTCTACGACAATGAAACCGAACACAAGGCAGTCCAAGAGCGCTGGCTCGACATCGAATAAATAATCAATATTGAGAACAGACCCGTCGAATGGGGTCAAAGAGAGGCGCCATTGCATTTACATTAAGGCACAGGAGCATCCATCGCTTTCTCAGCCAGGAGAGGGAGACGGTGGTGCGGAGAACAGGTACATGGAAGGGTCGAATGCATCGTTTGATGGTGTGGGAGAGGATGGTTCTGAGAATAAACCGGATGAATCATTATCATCGTCATCGTTTACATCCTCAGACGGGGGAAGAGACGAGGGCGGCAAAGGAGGTTGGAGGGGAGCAGCGGTCTGCTTGAAAATTGACAATGAGAAATCACTCGCGACGATTGGTATAGCATGGCCAGATGACGGCTGCGCGGGTTGTGGTTTAGGTGCAGATGGGAGGGGAGTAGAAGAAGTCTGGTTCGGGGTACTCTGGAAGGCCTGCAACGGGGGTGCGACAGCCGGCTGCTGCACAGTTGTCGGTTTGAATGAAGTTTGAGTGTTCTCGGGGAGAGATGGAAATTTCTGCGAGAACGCAGGCCAGGTTGGGACATGCTGGATCATCGACCTTGCGTCAGTTCGTGTAGCCTGCAGACTGAATTGTTGACTCACCGAGCTTGATGCAGGCTCTTGTGCTTTCAAGGTGAATTGCTGATGAGACATGGCGAAGGGGGCTGTAGCGCCAAACGTGCTACTCGCAGCGGCTTGAATAGCATGCGGTGGGGCAACGTGCGAGGGTAGGAATTGTTGATTCGTAGAGCCTGATGCAGGTCCTTGGACTTTGAAGGCGAATTGTTGCTGAGACATCGCGACGGAGGACGCAGCGCCAGATGTGCTATTCCCAGCGACCCGAACAACATGCGGTGGGGTCACAGACGGGGGCAAGGATTGTTGGGTCGCCGAGCTCGATGCAGGGCCTGAGGAAGATGCGAACGTGATGGGACCAAGCGCTTGAGAGTTTGCTTGAGCCAGAGCCTTCTCCCTATTTCTGGTGCACTGTTGAGAGCGTTGGTGCCTTTTCAACGCATCTTGGCGGTTGAAACTATAAGAATCAACAGCTCAGCCCACGGTGACATTTGAAATAAGAGGAGTACTACTCACACGGCACCACACGCTTCGCATACATACTCAGTTAATCCACCATGTGAGACCGTATTCGTTATATGGTTATGAACGCTGGCCGCCAGCATCGGACGACTTTTTTTGCATGCGTCCTTAAGACATCTCCACCTCTCTTTCCCATCTGTACCCGGCGGCACGCGTTCCTGATGAAACAGCCGTCAGTCGGATGGCGAAGACCAAATAAATAAAATAGACTCACAAAATCTGGATCGTCCTGAGGACGATGACGTTGTTCTTTCGTGCCTTCGGTCATGTCATCCGCCTTCCTCTTCAAACTCCCCGTAGAACTTCCCTCCACTGGGCCTACAGATGGTACTTGCGGCATTGGTGCAGCATCCGCCATCACTTGCACCTGCTGGTGAAGCGGGACCTGCGCTGCAGGAGCAGGAGCAGGGGGGGCTTGCATTGGGGCACCAGGATAAGGTGCTGCACCAGGCGCTGCACCATGAGCTTGAGGTCCGGGGTAGCCACCATAATAATTTGGTGCGGGTGCGTGATAGCCGTACCCTGGCCACTGATGCATGGGACCTTGAGGGTTGTAGGGGATGGGAGGCGGAGGAGCATATCCGGCGTTCCACGTTGGGGGCAGACTTGGAAGTCCTCTCCCGGCGAGCCCCGCAGTCTCTTTGGCGATTTCGTTCAGTGCATAAAGAGACGGCCCAGGGACATTCTGGTTTTGCAGGGCAGGCGCATTAGAAGGGTACGTCGGTGGATAGGAGGGCTGGGGCTGGGGCTGGGGCTGAGGTGGATTGAATACGAGTTGAGGCTGCTGCAATGGGAAAGGCGGTTGGCCTCCTTGAGGCTGGACCTGCGGCTCTTGAGTCGACGCGTTGAAAGTGCCATTGTGGCCGGAAGGTGCATGTCCCGTAGAAGATGAAGAGTTGTTCATGTTGACGAAGGGAGAGTGTTTCGGTGGCGGTAGGTCCTAGCGCGTAGTAGCAGAGAAGCAAAGTGGATGAGAGTAAGTATACAAGTTAGATAGTGAAGTGCGGTATGCAGAAGAGAGTAGTGATGAAGAGAGAAGAAACACAAGTACTCGGCTTTTAGACTGTTGAATTTCCGCTTTAAACATTTAAAGCAACTTAGACGTACCTTCCCCTTTCATTTTGTGGATCACAACGTGTCGCCCAAGCAAAGCGACGTATACAAAGGGAGTCCTTACACAGACCGTATATTTTTCCAACGGACAATAGCACAACGCGCAGTGTACCCGGATATTTCGCTGCACGACTTCGGAAAACTTAATTGATTGGATTGTCGTCCTCCGAAGTTCCAAATAGTTTAGGAGATATATGCAGCAACTCATTTTTCTTCTCAAGGTCATTGAACGCGACGCGGTGCACCAGAATTTCAGATTCGATTTCGTCTTTAGCTGCGCCTGTTCATGGAATTTTTTCGTGCACAAGGACTCGTCGTTTTCCTCAGATGCTGCCGACAGCTATTGACATGGGACATTGCATGCTCGATAATTTGATTGAAAAAATCTATCAACACGAACAGATCAGACAGGAGTCGCATGGTTAACGATACGAATAGGAGATGTCACGTCCAACGATGTGGCACGTGAACGAGCACGTGTCTCTGATTGCCAATCCACAAACAGTCTGCGCGGAGATCGAATCATACATCAACACCTTACTTCGGTATTACCGCACTGTGCAAAATGTTTAAGAAGTGGATGTGACTCACTGCCACTAGATCATATCACATCGTCACATCGAAATTAGTTTACGAGTCTTGCAGTTCACAGAAGGGTTTCGCCTGTGTGACGAATAGATAATGAGCGTCATTGATAATCCACATCGTAGGTAGTCCCTGTGGATGCTCGAAAGTGCATGTGCGGTCGTGCATCCCCATTCAAGAATATTGGACAACCGCGCAAACAACAAACGTGGCAACAGATGGACGACTTACCCAAAGCAGAACGGACCAATGAGCACCCCACCGTCACGGTCTGGCGTACACTCTCAGCATCTGCAAGCGTGGGGTTGACCTCCTGCGTGCGATAGATCAGATCAGATCAAGTCAATGGAGCAAAGATGTAGGTCAGGACACGTACCATCAAGTCGAACGCGACGAGCAACCCAGTCTGGTGAATCGCCTCGCAGATGTAGTGTCCTTCACGGAAGGTGAGCCCACCGCGCACCTGCAGGATTTCGGTTAGTTCTGCTCATTAAGACATTTAATTTGACTTGAAATTAATTTGTTTAGGAATACAATATCTACCCGCCGTGGGCTTGGACATTCCTGACACGGATCAAAACACCCGGGGCATGCGCACTACAAAGCGTCTGCACAAGCCAATTTCATAGGTGGCGTATTTTCTAAGCGCCCCTTCAGGGCCAAGATGCAGGGGCCATTTTCGTGCGCATTCTCACATCTTCAATAAGCAAAAGTTGTTCATTTCATTCTCAGCACGCACTAAGTCACCAAAGCGCTCAGAAGGCACGGCTGACTCAAAAAGTACGTGCCAGGATACTAAGATACTCACCGGTGTCCCCGTGCTAGGCGCAACGCTTGGGTCGAGCGCGTCAACGTCAAAGCTCAGGTGAATAGGACGGTCTCTTTGTGGGTTCACATGGTCGAGAGCCATTTCGACCACCTTGCCAATGCCATAGCTAGGTGAAGTACAATCAGCGTAAGCGCCGTACTCTCCACCGGATCCCAAACTTACCGATCAACCTCATGCATGCTAAACGCCTTGATGCTGTGTTTCTTCAAGATCTCTTTTTCGCCCCTGTCCACGTCCCGTAATCCGATGTAGACGAGACGCTCAGCAGGGAGGTGAGAGACCCAGTCGAACTTTGCAAGGACTGAATCTGGAGACGGGGCAGGGGGGTTGAGCTTGAGGAGAAAGGAGAGGGGCATGCCGTGGATGTTTCCGCTGTCGGTAGAATGGATGGTATTGATATCCGCGTGAGCATCTATCCATATGACACAAGCTTGGTCATATGCTCTGTGGGTAGAATGTTACAACAATGGCAGCAACTCATGTAAACGGGCTCACCTTAGGGTTCCGGAGATAGTGCCCATAGCTAGGGAATGGTCTCCGCCGAGGGTGACGGGGAGGTGTCCCATCTCTGCATGAGCCTGCACGGCAGATGCGACACTCTCGCATACCTGTGCAACGAGCAGAGGGCTTCTCAATCTCGCGATGGATGCGTCTAATGCCGTATTAACAGCGGGGTCACTTGTGACATTAACTTGTATGCCATCGGGTGGGGTAGAAATATCCTCAAATTGGTGGTGCCCGTCAAAAACGACGCGCCATCCGAGTTCTTCGACCTCGTTGATGAGCCCTGCCTGGACGAGGTGGATAGGAGCTTTGTCTACGCCAAGTTTCGACTGAGAGAAAAGAAAGTGAGTAGGTGATTCAGAAAAGAGAATTGAGAGAACAGACCTGACCACCGCTATAGCCGGCGGTGCCGTAAGATTACCGACACCCGAGTAGCAGCCGATATTGGAATGCTCACCTAAACGGACATCCTACAATCTGAAAAGATGAGAAGTCAGTATTTCAGGGTATATTGCGATAGAAAAGACGTACGGCAACGGTCTTTGGGCTCGGTAAAAATTTATTAGAAGGCGTTGACGACATACTGAAGGCTAGCGGTGAGTCACTGAGTGGAAAGTCAAAGCGTAGTTAAGGTGGGTGTCTGAGGAGGGAATCTTTTTTTCTAGGCTGATATCTGGGTTCAAGAAGTATATCGATCACAAGGCTAGGCTCGATAGTAAGATCCGACGCTGCATATGCATGGCGGTATTTTCCGGGTCGGCCGGTCAACTGATGGAGCACGGTACTCTATATACACCTCACAAATTAATGCTCTTGTTATATGGTCAACGGTGGGTTCTGGTCTAGAGTCGGAGCTTGAATATATGAACCATTGTTGCGTCAGATTGCCTCGTGAACTTGGGTTATCAGATGGGATACTCCTGCAGCTGGGCCTCGACACGATCGTAGGAGCATGACGCTGCAAAGTCGCGTTGAACATGGAATTCTCATATCCACTGCCACAATCACTTGTCCTGGCCGTCAATCGGCAATGGATGCTAGCCGACAAGGGGACTCTCTGCGACTCTGCAAGCGGTAGATAGGACCACGATGCGCTGGGGCCTCTCTGGCTATGTTTGGATAGGCACGCACCAGTTATTATTGGAGTTGGCACAGGATATCAAATATTTCTTTGATTCCGCTGATATTGGCATGCCAGCAGAGCCCCAAAAGCAGTGAATAATATTATATATATTAAGAATCTGCCAGACGTCTTGAACCATCCATAATTATTCTGCTATTGGTTCCCTTATAAACTTGCCCTCTGCCCATTCTCTGTTTCTATTACGCTAGAAGCATGTCCAAACCCCCAACTAGACCCAACAGTGCCTACCCTTCACGTAGCGGCACTCCATCCTTAAGAGACGTCGTAAGTTCACTTGCTTTCATTCTTCCTTCCCTTATCTCTAACCGTCTCATCCATGCACGTTCACCTCCACCTCCCCCGTCTCCCTTCTTCCAAAACTATCTCTAATCAGGTCCATGGAGTCATGAAAATCTTCCATCATGAGAAAGAATCCGAAGCTCATCAAGTACTTATACCTCCCAAGACCTCATATATCGTTGTCGCCTAATTCTTTCCCAGATATTCCGTCAACAAGTTGGTCATCAGCCCAAACCCGCCCTAGGCCTTCCTCAGACTATCAACCCTGTAGGTTTTTGCCTTCCTTTACATCACGTGACTTGACCCGTCATTTAGGATGAAGAAACCGTTCCTGGTATCGAGCACCCTGGCAGCACCGGTGTTATCTACTGTTCAGATCGCGCTATAGCGAACGGTTTCAACTATGCTAATTCTCACGAATGGGCAAACTTGGGTCAGGGTGCCCCAGAAGTAGGCCCCTATCCCGAATGCTCCCCCCCGCCCAGAGAATATTCCCTTACCTGTGGATTCTTTGGAGTATGCACCCACAACGGGTGTCAAAGGTCAATCTTTCTTGGTCCGTGAACGCGATCAGCGCTAAACCAATCGTACAACCAGAACTTCGTGAAGCAGTAGCTCACCTCTACAACGATACTTACCGTAAGGGCAAAGCAAGTCAGTACACATACGAAAATGTCTGTATCGTGCCCGGTGGACGTGCGGGGCTTTCCCGTGTCGCAGCTGTCATTGGTGACGTTTATTGTGTATGGGTCGCTTCTCTGGCTTCCTTGTCTTTTCACCAAAATTCGCGCATATAGTCATACCAGGTTCCAGATTATACTGCCTACGACCAAGTCCTAAGTGCATTTAAGCGACTCGTACCTGTTCCCACTGCGTGCGTGTTTTCATCCTCCTTGACCTATATTAGACCGACCGAATTCTTGGATTAATTCAGATTGGATCCCAAGGTACCCATACTCCATAAGATGTATACCACAAGTTACTGAATTGATTCCGTTACACAGCATAAATACCGCCTTGATATCGAACAGACCAAGGTTTGTTTCTAACGAAACTCGCATCAACACACCCTGATTAATCGTGCTAACAGAAAGACATCCTTACTCAAGGCCTTGCTGTCGTCATTGCCTCGAACCCAAGGAACCCGACGGGGCAAGTGATTGCGTGCGTGTTTCCCTTATCTTTCTCCACTTTTTCATATCTGATACTTGATGATCAAAGTGGCAAAGACCTCAAAGAGCTCGTTTCGCTCAGCCGGGAGAACACGACGATCATTCTTGATGAGGTATGTCCCTTCCCTTCAGCCACCTCTCGCCCAACGCTGACGGTTAAAATCTCGCAGTTCTACTCCTGGTACATTTACCCCGACAATGAGAAAGATATCGGAAAGAGTATCTCCTCTGCCGAATATGTCGAGGATGTAAATAGTGATTCTGTAGTTATCATAGACGGGTTGACCAAGGTGCGTTTTTGACACACCTTCACTGTGCATTCTCCCTTAAGCTTAATTCATACAATGCGGTAGAACTGGCGTCTACCAGGTTGGCGTGTCTGCTGGGTCATTGGGCCCAAGAACCTCATCACCGCACTTTCACAATCGGGTTCATTCCTTGATGGGGGTGCGAATCATCCGTGAGTGCCATCCCGTTCCCTCATCTCTCTAACATTCACTGAACCCTTGTGCAGCATGCAACTTGCAGCCCTCCCACTCCTTGAGCCGTCACGTGTCAAGATAGAGAAGGTGGGCCGATTATTAGATGTAGCAAAGGAACAAGCTGACATGAAATAGGTTGCCCTTCAAAGACACTTCAAAGCCAAGCGGGACCACGTGCTGAAGCGCTTGCATGCCCTTCATTTGGACGTGGAAGTTCCTCCCCAAGCGACGTTTTACGTCTGGTTGAACTTGGAGAAATTACCTCCTCCGCTTAACAATGGTTTGGTGAGTAATTGTTATGTATGATCCTCGCCTCCCCTGTCTTTGAACCACGGGAGACCAAGCAAGGACGGAAGGGAAAGAACAAACGCTGATTCTTCTCAATGTGTCAGACCTTCTTTGAAGAGCTCCTGAAAGAGCAAACGATCGTTATTCCGGGTATCTTTTTCGATATCAACCCGGCACACCGTAGGAACTTGTTCAACAGCCCGTGTCATCACTACGTGCGGTTGTCGTTTGGGCCGCCTATGAAGGATTTGGACAAGGGTGAGTTTGCTGTCACTTTTAATATCGCACTTGGTTCCTCTGTTCTCCCGTCTGCTTTTATCCTTCTATATTATCCATGGATGCTGACGTCAGCCTGGCACACAGGTCTCGACGCCATCGGTCGGGTGGTTGCTGCTGCAAGACTGGGGGGCACCAAGAAGATGGGACACAGCTATAAGAAGAGCTTGGAGAGCAGTTCTGAAATCAACGTCTAAATCGTGATAGACTTTCCCCCCCTCCCCATGGTGGTCGTACGCTGGCTGGTATTGGAATCGTTATAGATGACTGAGAATAGAAATGGCAAATGGTTTGGACAGTATATTAATTTCGAAAGATACCGGTTTGTTTGTATCATCCCCAGTAGGCTAGCTCTGTATGTAGCGTCGACCAATCATTTACTGTTTAGACTTGTACAGATGTATAGGGAGGCAGGTCAGAAAACGATATGTACTATGGGCTTTATAGAGACGTGGGGGAAGGTGCCATCATGGGCAACACGTAGATCCCTCAGTCATATTTGTGAGAACAAAACTGTCGATCTGCCATAGGCCGTCACTGTTGAGGATAGGATCCGCAACCAACAGACGGCCTTGGAAAGCACTTGTGCAGTGTGCACGCTGAGCAGGTCGTAGCTCAGCCGACTTGCTGGTCAGATCAGGAATCAATAAAACAATATCTTGATGTATGACTTCGATTGATGACCAGGGCAGCATGAAGCACAATATGTCATAACCAGTACCCTACAAGCGTAGTCGCAATGAACGGTGATCACATCGACGGGTCAAAAGACGCGAACGCAGCCTTGAATGCCTTTACATCTGCTTTATCCTCCTCCTCGGGAAGCATACATGCCTTCCAGTCCACCCTATCAGGGATACCTAGTATGTCGGTTAAAACTTGCCTGTAAATGATACCAGAGTTCCATCAGCGATTGCAAAAACAAGAGCATGATCCACGACGACGGAGATAGGCAACAGAAACGGGAACAAGAACAAGTAACGCATGAGTCTAACCCCCTTCCCGCGGCAAAACGATATACCAAAGACAAGAAAGAGGACAAGGAAATCACCACGGCCCGCTCACCTGCCAAACTGCACCCCAAACGGCGCATGATCCTCGATCAGATGGACCAATGACCTCCCATCAGGCAAGTCCACTCTGAAATAGCTCCTACCCCCCCCGCCTGGTAGTCCTGAACTTTGACAATCTTCCAATGTGCCATCGAAATTGATTCCCTGAGACTTGAACGCCTGTTCCACCTTCCCCGCGAGCGAGATAGGCACAGGGACGGCTTGTACATGTGCATGCCCTCCTTTTGTGCTCAGACGTCCGACTTCGAAGAATACGGCACTTGCGTTGTGGGCGGCGTAGAGAGCACGGAGCGAAGACTTGTATCTATGGAGTAGTTGTCAGATGACAGAGTCGGTAGATGAGGAAAGAGGACACTGATCACGTACTTATCAGTCTCCTCTAGAATTGGAGGTGCGATGTCAGCGGGGATGGTGTTATACGTTGGGTGGTGCGCAATAGGTACGATGAGGACGTGACCTCCACCTGGGACAGTACTAATGCTGCTATTATTTCCGTCGGCGTTGGATTGTGTAGGAATAATTTGACCCTTTGGAAGCGTCACATAGCACTCATTTCCGATAGAGACTATGAGATGTTTTCTGTGCGAGCATGGATTAACGTGCAACAGGGAGGTAACGAAAAAGTGCGTACGCGAGGTTGGGATTAGATAGACAGAACCAGCATTCATCGGCTGTAGGCCATAAGCATCACGAATTACATTCAAACGATTATGCTCACGTCCGATCTCCTTGATCTGATCTCTCTTCCCTCTTCGCTCCCCACCACGCTGCCCTGCATTAGCAACCGGGCAGTCTTCAATGTAATGCTCCTCGCTGGCACACGCACGGCACACATACCCCGGGCGTGGTTTTCGCCCACCTGTATCACCCACAGCGTGGCGCGTAGGGCAGTCACGTACGAGATGCCCGGGCGTATTACAGATACGGCACACATATCCTTCGGGAGGTTTCTGGCGTTCGGGGCAAGAGGTGATGAAGTGCTTACAGGAGGTTAGCGCAAATTGTGGTGAGGTAGGAGAGAGGAACCTCAGTAGATTCACACCTCCGACATTTGTACCCTGGTGGCGGCTTGCCTTCCTCACCTTGTGGCGCATCTACTTTGATTAGATGAAGTGTGCTGAATAAAGTTGAGTACTCACTTGTTCGTGGACGCTTGCCGTGCTGGGGGACGTTTCCCCATATGAAATTCTCTGTTGTCTCGAATGTTTCGAGCGTTCGTTTTTGGGGTCTGGGAGCTAATTCAGTAAAGGGGTTTTTGGTGGCGTTTGTGGGGCGGGCTGCAACGAGGTTTGACGGTAAAGGTGGGGTGATTGAAAATGCGTAAAACCACTGTTTGCGAACATGGTTAAATTTATTTCAATGATTTGATATCATGACGGAAGTTCCAACGTACCCTTGGCTTCTTACCGCCCGTAACTTCAGTACCAAATGCACCAAGACTTACGAACCTGGAAACCCTTCCTGCCTCATCATCCCACACGAAAGGTTCCCGCTCCCAAAACTGTGGCGGCCGGCCACCCAAGGCAGCAAAATGATATCTGGGTTTGACCTTCCTAATTACCTCATCCAGTGGTGTGGCGCCCTCAGATGAGAGCTCTGGAGAAGGTAAAGGCGCCGAGGAGTGCTGTGTGATGCATGCAGACCAGTCATTTGTGATGAGGATGTCGACAAGCTGCGAGGAAGAAGAGGCGTTAAGGATGGAGGTAAGGGAGGTATACGTTTGGTTCTTGGATTGGGATTTTGAGGATGATTTGACTAGAGTGTTGGAGAGGAGGCGTTCGACGGTGTGGGTGGAGAAGAAAGGAGATGCGAACCCCTAGAATATGATTATTAGCGCTTACCTTGAGAAAAATTGGAACAAGCACGCACAGGAGGGGCTTCAGCAGTGGTGTAGATGCCTGGGTTGTAGATGCCACCTAGACAAGCTATCCGAAGACCATGAGCGGTCGTCATAACCCCTGATTTATCTGGCAACTCGGTCAAACTCAAACTCATACCACAAAAAAGTGTGATGTAAGACAAAACTCACTCAGTAAAAATACATCCTTGCATAGCTCTCCACTGGTCTTGGCGTATTTTTCTATCACAGAATCAGGTAGGGGGTTCTCTCCTTGCATAATGTAACATTTCAGAGGGACTGAGAGCGGGTTGAGTCAAAGTATAGCACTTATGAAACGTGTACCTGCCTTCAATATCACCATTCAGAAGTTGCTCGGTTTCATCTGTTCCATCCTCCAAAACCCCTGGCTCTTTCAAGGGACCAAAGAAGTCGCCGATGCAGAGCACACAGTCAAATTTACCATGCTTCGCGTCGATGGCTTTAATTTTCAGAAAAAGGTCGCGTATGGACCCTACTGCAGAGCCTACCGTGAGTCTGTAGAAGCGAGTTCTGTTATTGATTTTATAGGTCGTTCATGGTGGCTAAAAGCCTACATTTTCACGGGCAAAGCGCTTGACGCTGTTGGTAGAATGGAGGACGCCATGAAACTCTCCGTAGCACGTGATCGCCCTTGCACTGGAAACAAAAAGGGAATTATACCACGTGGACCAAACTTCCATCAGAGTGCCCTAGTATGTCGTGCCAGTCTTTGACCACGACAGAGCTCTGCCCAGTTTATGCTGAAACAAAAACAGCGGTGCTAATTCCAATTCCAATTCGCCACCTCACTTGCTCATTGAACTGTGTTTGTATTCTAAACATTGCCGCACGCACGCGCTAAACCGGTGCACTCCTTGTATTTTTTCCCTGCCCCTCCTGGGCCCTGGCTCCGAGTCAGTTGAGGCAGCGATGATCCTCCTCCAAAATGAACTACTGTGCCTGTTTCGGAGATTGATGGTTTCTTCTATCATCTACACAGCGCAAACAAAATTTAGGAACAAAGTCGTTGCGGATCACTGCTGATAGGTCCTCTGACGCTCAGTTACCTGGCAGCTGCGCGTGGTTTGGCATAGCGCAAGGTCCGTGATTAACGTTAACTCTTATATTTGCCTCACCGCCGCCCCTCAAAATAGTTCGTTGGATTCTAAGAATATGTCTGATTTTTCTAGGACAACCTTGTACCACAAAGGCCCATCTGTCAAAGGATTCTAGGGCTCGATGAGCTTGCGGTTGCGAGGCACTCTGCGATACAGGTTTTGCCACTTAGGTCCTTCACTACATTCACTTTTACGGACTACTTCGCGAGATGAAAGGGATTAAGTGATGTGGCTTATGTAGATTTGTGCTTCGTGAGTCTCAAGGTTTAAATGCAGGACTTCATACTAGTCACAGAACCGAAGAAGGTCCAAGCAATTCGGTTTACATATACCATTTACGTCTTTGGGAACAAGGACTCCATGGCAAAATAATACCAACGTCGAACGAGCGCTTGCCTGGAGTCATGTTGCCTATTCTGTTCGGGGCATTGTTCCATACGGATGTAAATCTCGTCTTCCGAAGTAACTTACATCATGGATGGGCCGCAGGCGTCTATATATTTTCTTGTCGCCAACCAGTCGTTCCTTACCACCTTGCGTACTTGGGATACTTAGCTTGTCACGGCAAGCTGGATTCTGTATTTAACGCGGTTCGTTGAAGTTGACTTCCCTATCCAGCAACAGTGTCGGGAATCTCTACGTGTGGGTCAATTTCCTCCGTTCTCTGAATCATGAATTCATTCATTTTGTCCCTAGACTAAAAGCATGGTATTGTTTACAATCACCTGCATCCTTTTGTCACCGCTGCTCACGTCACTATCACATGCATCCCCTGTTTCGCGAGAGTTCTCAAGTTGGGGACTACCACTTCCGTCGCTAGACTCCAAAAGTTGGTTTTGCCATCTCGTCCACGCGAGAATGGCTCAAAAACTTTGCCTACGAACCGGGTCAACTGCAACATCCGTCAATACCCCCCTGGGCGCAGCACAGGGTACAGTCGATGTCTCGGGTGTTAACAAGTTTGCTGCGAAGTATGCTTCCGCAGAACGCTGGTCCCCATCCGCTATGGTGACTACATGGGCACTCCCGTACGTTAATTACATCACGTCTCATTTGCTGCTGATCACATGAGATACACTACATCGATAGCAATGGTTCTACGAATGTCTCAGCGCTGCCGCTTACGTGCCCGCAGCCATATGCGAATACCTCCACATTCACCGAGGATTGCATGTCGATGATTCTCTATGTTCCTACTACCTTACACGCAGACAGCTGTGTACCCACTTTGATGTGGTACGTATAACGATCATTTTTTTCGGCGATGGTGACCGTCATATATTCTGGCAGGGTTCATGGAGGTTCTTTTATGGTCGGTTCCGCCACCGATCCCGGTTTAAATGGATCTGCACTGGCACTTGCCACTGACTCGATCGTTGCGGTCATTCAGTACCGCCTGGGAGCTGTAAGTGTTTTCACTGTAGGCAATCCATGTCACTGTCAACTCACACGATTCCTTTAAGCTTGGCTTCGTTGCTCCCAACAATCAGACCAACCTTGGTCTGGGAGATGCTGTAAATGCTCTCAAATTTTTGGCGACTGTGCTTTCTAGCTTCGGCGGCGACCCGAGCAAGATCACTTTAGCCGGTCAAAGCAGTGGTGCAAATTTGATTCGTGCTCTTCTTGCTGTGCCTTCTGCACAGTCACTATTTCAATCTGCGATTTTGCAGTCTGACCCTATGGTAAGTGGTATGCACGTCACTGGTAGGAACGTGAGACTCATTACTGTGTCAGGACTATGGCTTCCTGTCATCATCTGATCAAGTCCAACTTCAGCAGTATTTCGTGTCAAACCTTAATTGTACTGCAACCGACTTAGCATGCCTGAATGCTTTAACCGCGGATGATATCGTCAATGGTGCTGGTCTTTGGCAATACAACAGCTCTGTTTACATCGTCCCAGCCGCAACTCAATCGGAGCCAATGCGTGTTGTGAATGACGGCACCTTTATCACCTCGACCTTGGACTCAACTTCACCATTCCCCCGGGTTTCCAAGCCCATCTTGCTTTCTAATGTTCTTGACGAAGGAGGCTATACAATTTACGGTTCATTTCCTAGCCCCATGCCCGAAGCTGAGTACGTTGCTATTGTCAACGCCTCGTTCGGCGAGACACGCTATGAGGCTCTCATGGGCTCGCAAAGCTATGCCTTTGGGACTACTCAAAACGATGACTACCGTCCTCAGCTCCAAGTGCTCGCCACAGATTCGATCTGGCGATGTGCGACATGGACTTTTGCGCGAAATTGGGTTTCTAATGGTGGCACCGCATATGTGGGGTTGTACTCCGTTGGTGCTAGCTATCCCAGCAACTCCGCTGTCGCTTTCTGCACCGAACCGGGCGTTATTTGTCATCAAGATGATATTGAGATAGTTGTAAGTAAACACTTGCTGTGTTCCATTTTTCATAACTCATATTTTGTACTAGTTTGGCACTGCTCTTAACCCTGACTCGGCCCAGTCAGCGCTGATTGCTGAAATGCAAGCCCGTTATAAGTCATTCTTGTATAGCGGGAACCCAAACCCTGATGATTCATCATATGCCGATTGGCAGGCCGCTGACGCATCTGACGTCAATGCCATTATGCTCGGCAGCACTGGCGATGCGCCTATTGGCGCTTGCACCCCATCTTTTTGGGGTCAAGGTGTCGCATACGATTATCAGATATTCAATATTTAGAATCCCCGTATCAAAGATGATGTCGTCTCCCAGATACTAGATTCGTGTTATTATTTTCATCTCCGCGCTTATAGGTCTCCAGGTGCATAATGAATTTCGGGTTCTGTTGTGTTTATTCTTCTCTTTCATCTAGATTGCTTTACATGTCATACATTGTAGCCTTTACTCTGTTGTTCTCCCCCTGTAGCCCAAATTACTTTCTTTAAATACACCAATCGCGTAGTTCTCGGTATCAGAAAATAATGATTGAACTGACTGATGACAGTCGTGAGGGTATGCCAACATGAAGTCCTTAAAGTTTGGGTATATCAACTTCGACCGGGCATTGAGTGAACAAGTCAAAGTTGCGCTGCAAATTCATCTGAGAGAATGGCTGTATGAGCAATTAGACCAACGCAAGCCCAAAAATACGAGAATGTGATGCCGTACCGTGCCTACCCGTCCCACTACCATGCGGTGTAGCCGACCCTTTGGACCACCTCTCAATTCATCGCCCTCGTAGACGAAAGCTTGATTCACTCCGTTATTGACACGGAGAAACTTTGGGTTGATCACCATCCGTCCGAATGCAGCTCTAGACAACATCTGAACTGTATTTCTCTGGCTCTCGGTATTGGACGATCCAGTAAGGATGAGGCGAAGCGTTTCCAGAATGTAGTACTGGGGTGGGAGAAGGCCGATTTTCCCATTCCTGTACTCCTCTATGGCCGATTCTGGACGTAAAAATCGCGCTTGAATGACTTCTTGTCCACCATCAGGAGTCGGAAGGTGTTCTTGTCTACCTGAATGCAGCCCACCCGATGTAGAATCCTTAAGGAATGCGATAAAGAACTCCGTGCGGAATCGTCTGCTTAGATGTTAGATACACTTGAAGGACAAGGGACAAGGATCCTGTTTACCTGGCTGCTGCCGGTGGTGTCACCCATGTAGTAAACGGCAGCAGAGCGCCTAAGTCGGCTCTTAGGTTGTTGTTTGTAAGAAACGTCGAGAACGTCGTTTGTCCTCCATGGACATCTTTTCTAGCCTGAGTGAAGTCGATGTCGAGTGACGTGCTCGGAGTATCCGACAAAGCCAGCAGTAACCCCGCTTCTTCGAAGGTTTCTCTGATAGCAGTCCATTCTAAGGACGTATCCTGCTTGGCGTCAAAATTTCCGCCAGGAAAAACCTCCAATTCCAGATGCTTTTGAACAGGGACTACAGAAGAGTGATTCTGCTTACGTGTTGGCCAGCGAATGAATTAGCCTGTGGGTTGCGCTGAACAAGAAGTACTTCGTTGTGACTGTTGATCAGAACGAGACTTGCTGAAAGACGGGGCTCTGTAAGCTTTGGAGTTTCACTAGCACTGTTCGTCATCTTAGTTGAGGAGTTAGAGAAGAGACTCGGAGTCGTGACTGAGAAACTCCTCTGCAAAAGCGATATCTTGCTGCCAGTATAATATGTTCTGCTATGTATCCACACGTCGATAATGAATGTGAATCACAAAAGCTGCGGTGATAAACTCACTCTAGTAGTTGATGACTGGGTGGTCTGTGCTTGGACAGAAGTAAAGTGCAAGTCCTGAACATGACGAGTCGTGTACTCATCTGGTCTAATTTGGCTCCGGTACCCGGTGTAGTTGTTCATTAGATCCGGTACCTTGACTGGGGACAAATACTTCCGTACTTTTAGACTTCGCCACAACCTAAGACTTTGTCCTTTGGCTGGCCTACCACCTGAGAGTACGTACGCGCTTCAGCAGGCCACGCGACATTTAACTCAAAATCGCGTCTATATCAACTTAGGCAGTGCAAATAGTATGGCCACCGTGCTAGAGGTACGCTTGGTCTAAGCTAATATGATTGGTGGCACTTACTCGAATGCACAACTTGAAGGATGAACTAATTCCTGAAATGAAGATTCCACTCACCTTCAAATGGTCCGGACGCGAGTACAAGGTAGATCTCCTTGGATCAGATAGGTAAGCTGCGGAACCGAATTGCTGCGAACCATGGATCCTCAGTATTAACTCCGGTTGTCTAGAGTATATGATCTCAAGACTTCGCTGATGAGTTTGACGAAGGTTCCACCAGAGAGGCAGAAAATTTTAGGTTTAGTAAAAGGAAAACTACCCCCAGATCAAGAGAGAATGTTAGTGTTTGCAATTTCTTGCACGGTTTTTTCTCTGAACCACATGATCGTAGCGCAGATCTACGAATTGCAGGAAAATCATTTACACTTATAGGGACCCCTGAAGGTGACGAGATCAAAGACCCTTCAAGTGAGCCCGCGATCTTTCAAATATTTGGTGCCTGTACTAACATACAGTCAGAGTTGGAATTCCTTCCTGACGTTGTCAATGATCTGGATGTAGACTTCACTGACAACCCTGCTGCTGCTGCGACATACAAAAATGACCAGCGAAACATTCGCAAAGTCAAAGAGGCAACCGAGAAACTTCAGATTAATATCATTCATCCTTTGCGAGATGGAAAGCGTTTACTTGTGCTGGACATTGATTACAGTAAGTCAATATTTCTCGAGTGTTTTTACTTCCCGAGAGTAAATCTCATGCAGCTATTTTGGACACCAAACCACTGACGTCTGGCTCATTGCCTCCTGCGGAATGTGCGAGGCCTGGCCTCCATGAATTTCTAGAGGCTATATACCCTTACTACGACATCTGCATCTGGTACGATTCATTCACCTCATGAACGCCACCTCTCACACCCAACTAGGTCTCAAACTAGCTGGATATGGCTTGAGGCGAAGCTCGTGGAACTTGGCATGGTTGGATCTACCAGGAATTATCAGGTTTTATTTGTGCTTTCATAGTGGCAAGTTACGGCTGACATCAACTCCAGATTTCATTTGGTACGACCGTGACTATCCAACTTTAACACCCGCATAGCTGATTGAAGATGCGCAGTCCTCGACAAAACTTGCATGTTTACTGTCTTTACAGAACGAAACGGCCAACCATATGCACACCATGTCAAGGCACTGCAAATTATTTGGAATCACTTTCCCCAATTGTCAGCACATTCTGATTTGGACAATCGAGCATGCTTTGACTTCCCTCTTTAGTTCAGCGAAGAACACTATTCACGTGGATGACCTGGTAAGAGAAAGATGTAGCCCATCTTTATCATCTTTAATGCTGTCGTAGAGTCGGAATTTTGCCTTGAATCCAAACGAAGGGCTAAAAATCCATGCCTTCAAGAATGCTCATTCAGAGCAGGCTCAAGCTGACCGGGAGCTTCATAAATTATCCCGGTACATGGTACATATCGTCGCTATAGAAGATTTCCGGACGTTGCGCCATAAGGCATGTGTCTCGTGTTTGTTGCTCGACTGTAAATTTGCTCACTGCACAGCATTTTCAAAGGCCTGGAAGTATGAGCTGAGGCGACTCACGCAATCGTAATGAAGACGCAGTCCGTCTTACGGTCCTCATTCATACCAAGGTACTTTGATGGGTTAGGCCTACATAGTAGGGACAATTGTTGTGTTAGTGTACATGATCTTTGTAACATAGCTATTTTGTAACAAAACCGTGCTATATATGTACAACTTTTCGTAGTATCATATACACGTTCCGTAATAACAAATTCTTCACCAGCCTGAGGTCTCATTCCAGTGAACTACCCTTCTGCACTGCAGTTCAGGGAATCATTTGCGGTGGCTTGGTACGTTATCCCCGTGCTACGCGCGTCGTGTCATTCACGTGTACGTTCTCTTTCGAATTGCTAGGCTCAGCTTTACTCTCAGTACATGCTTGGAGTTGATCTACGATGGGATCGACTTCGTTGGGCATATGAGTTTGATGTCGCGATGCGAACTAAGAGCGCATCTGACTTGAGCGGCCTCAGCCGAGAGGAAAAGAAGAGGGCCCAGTGCTCCTTTGAACCAGGCGAAATCGCTCACGTCGATGGTGGCGGTGGAATCACGGCTGCCTTCTACGAATTCTTGGACCGTGACAACTTTCCACTGACGCCAATAGAACGGCGATACATGCGCGTTCTTAACGACAGCGCTCCCGATATCAGCAAATATTGCCTTGTCCTCCAACGTCTCAGCGCAGACACATTCATTGTGTGCTACATCGCGTCTTTCGGTAGTGTTGTATACGGCACTGGCCTCTCTCCAGTAACTCGCTTTTTTTCCATGGCTATGGGCGACACACCTCCGTGGCCTCCCAATTCAAGGCCTCTGCACGTTATCCCGAGATGGATTGGATCTGGCTTCATATTTGGTGTTCCCGTGGTCAGGAAAAATCTGTCAAAGACAACTCATTCCCGTGCTTCTCTTGCCCACGGAGAACTGCATAGGGTAAGATCTTTTATTGCAGAAAGGCTCAAGGCATGTCCAGTTACCTATTCAGTTTGACGGTGTGGAATGAAGTATTTTCGCAGCTCTTCCAGCAGGCCCATAAAGAATTGCGTGCAAAAGAGCGCGATTGGCATAAAGTCCGCAAGAAAACTGGTCTCAAAATTGATAGCTATGTGGATCCCGTGATGTTGGACGTGGATCAACCAGGCAGGGTAGGCTCCAGCCCTGCGATACCCAGTGAAGTGCCCGCCCCTAGCGACTTTACGGAATGTTCAAACTTCAAAAACGTGCTTCGGATCAAGCGTGACATCAAAGGCAAGGTGAAAATAACCTTGGTCGGCCTGAAGGATTGTGACACGAGTTTATTTCTAGTGCCTTTTCTCCACAGGCGCCATTTCTTGGAAGTTCCTCCGAGCAATCACTTAGCCTGGTTACTGCGATGGCAACGACAAGATATTACATCTTCACGACTCTACCTCAAGCGCCTCACGCCTCGACACTCATCTTATCCTGTGCTTCGATACCTTCCACTCCCCTTTCGGTATGTGAGACCTTGAGGACTGCATATTACTATGCACTGCAATGAACAGACCCCCCGGGAGAGTTCACTCAGTCCGACTTAGTTAGTCAGGTTCACTTAATGTTAAGACTTTTCCTGATTCTACATACCTAGCCGATATTAGGAATATGGTAGTCCTAGAAGCCTCGTTCAGTCCCGCATTTGACTACACTGGGACGGTATCACTCAGGATGTACGGGAGCATACCACGTCGTATGATTACATTGTGGAGGTTGACAAAAACATATATTGACATCAACGTACTTCTGAGGTTGTAACACTGTTCACAACGAGATCGAACGTCATCACCGAGGACGGTAGTACTAGAGACATCCCTAAGCATGAATCTGTATAAACGGCTTTGTCACATACCAGGCTTCGTAGCAACGAGAGGAGGAAGAGAAGCATTAGAGGGTCGCAATATACCACTGGTGGCGTCGAATTGCCAGTGGTTGTTGTTTGCAACTTCAGAAAAGGACGGCAGTTCAGCAAGAATAGTATGCAGTTGCCCATTGAGCTTACTGGCAAGTACCTCCTTTTGTCCTAGTCCAAGTAATTTCTGAGCTTCCGTAACATGGAGACACGCGAATGCTCGCGAAACAAGCGTGAAGGTGTTCTTGCGGAAGGCATCTAAGGACAAATTCGATACAATGAAACCCTGGTTAAATGTGCACATACCAAGGAAGTCATTAACCAGCAGACCAACAGTTTTTCCCAGCCTTGGATCTGGGAAGTCACTTTGCTGCGACATCTTGAACAGCTCTTGAGCCCGGGCGTAAGTATTTTCATACTTTCGTTCCAAAGCGGATGCTAAGAGTGCTGCGAGTGCATGTGACAGGGGATGCGAGGACACATTTTCAGGTAACCGTGCAAGGGCATGTTGAGCAGGTGTTCTAGAACAAGTGTCACAAAGGAGTACAGTCAGGGGAGGGGTCTTACATACAAGTCATCCAGCACCATATAAGCCAGGACCAAGGGGGCAATCAAAAGCAGTCTGGAGTGACTTTTGTCATTTGAACCCTGATACAGGGCATTATCGAGATGTCGATATTAATAATGAGGGGTATCTCAAGAGGTGCTCACATTCAAGTCATGATGTTCAGCGATATTAGTGATGCCAATGAAGTTCCTTTGCTCGGCCAGATCAGATAACTGGGGAAAAACTTGCTGGTATATATCTTGGACAGCGGAGAGTTGTGGGGAAGGTTCCAGGCTGCCTGAGCTATTAGGTGATGTGGTGGGATCAGAGGATCCCGTCGAGGAAGCAATTATGGAATCTCGAGCTTCGTCACGAAGCTCTGTTGCGCTCATCGGAGGAGGTGTGGGTGGTGCTTGAGCCATATATTGAGAACTTAGCTTTAGCTTCAAGATTGTTGATATTTTAATGCTAATACATATTCCGAACAACTTGGACTTGCTTACTAAGCAATCTGTAGTACTTGGTGGCTGTGAAACGTACATAGTCTCCCGTACCGCCATTAGGCAGACCTAAAAGAAAGCTGTTCCTTCTGTAGTGTTACAAACATGGATGTGCTCGACGAGGAGGTCGAATCGATCTTATATATTGCAAGAGAAGTATCAGGTAGGTCCAAGTTGCGCGAACCTCACAAGCAAGTCTTTCATCAGCACACGTAGTCTACAAGATCCCCCATTTGAAGGTCAACGAGGGACATCGTGCTAACGACTGGGGAGACCTTGCACAACCGCTATGGAAAGGCAGACTGCGCATCGTCGAGAAGTCGAGTGGTGCGGCGCTGATGTTTGAAGATGCTCAGACGGGTAAGCATTGTCAGCTTCTCACCGTGTATAGGTAGATGGTTGACGCAACTACAGGGGAATGTACGTTTCAATATGAATAATCAATACTGTAGCCTCCTGATGCAGAGTTAGTATTTGCCCGCGCACCTTATGATGCTCTTAAACCATGCGTGGAATCTGTCCTTGATTCATCCCGGTATTTTGTAATCAGGGTAGAGGATACTGGCAAGAAGGCTTATATTGGGATGGGATTCGCTGAACGAACAGATAGCTTTGATTTCAGTGAGCGCTCTTTCTGCGGTCTGCTTGCTATCTTAACATATTCCCTTAGACGTTGCATTGCAAGATTACACTAAGTGCGTCTAACAAACGCTGAAATTTCTCCTCACTTACAGCACGCCCATTTCTAGGCGTTTCAAAGTTGCTTTGAATCCTCCTAGCCCCGATGATGAAACTCCTTCTCATGTTCCTGTAGGTCCAAAGAAGGACTACTCCTTGAAGGAAGGCCAAACGTTTTCCATATCTATTCCGGGAAAAGCTAGTAAATTATCAACATCCGGGGCCAGTCTGCTAGGTTCTTCCACCCAAAGTACTGGTAACTCAGGGGGAGGGGTACCGCTATTACCTCCCCCACCTTCGTCGGGAAGGAAGAAATGATCATGTTATTTAAATACCGAAGTATTTTGGCATTTTTTTTGTATCTTCTGTTTTCCATGAAGACAAGATACCAAAATCATACACGCTCAAAATAAGTGTTCAGATCTGCAGATTTGGGGGGATGGCCTTTGAATTTTGTTAGTCTTGTACTCATCTACAACATGCGCGCTTGTCACAACAGCTGTAGTGACACGTGGGACGTGGTTGACCTGTATCCTTTCCTAACCTGCTGCTCACTTTCGGGTCTCGTCGTTAATGGAACCATGCCACGCAATCAAAAGGTTCTGGCTATGAACTCCATTAATACTTGAGTGATTTTTGAATAGTAACACTCGTAGAAGGATATAGACAGAGACAACCATCTTGCAGCTGGGCGACCAATCATGTAGTTTCTTAAGAATAGTCTATCCAAGCTAGTTTTTCTGGAGAAGGTTCTCCCGCATCTCATCCAAGTGAAAGTGTCGCCTCCAGTAGGTTTAATGTCATTCCCATCGGGAGCATCGTGAATGTCACTGGCAGTGCCAGCAGTGGTAGAGAAGATCCATGTTAGCCAGTTGATGGGGAATGCGAACGGTCGCCCGGTGACAGTGTGAAATGGCCATATGCACATTTCAAAGATAAGAATTGAGCCATGGGATGGCAGACGCAGATCGCTTGCAAAGACGTGGGATTGTGGCATGAATCCAACATTGGAACTTGAAAAGATGCTCAGTACGAATTACATAGGCTGCGAGAACTGGTGGCCTAGTGGAGTATGAGCGACGGCCATTATGCGGTCACCGGCCGAGAAGTGCACGTCTAACTGTGTCAAGCCGTGTCACCACGATGTTTGTGTCGTTTAGGGCGCCGGTCAATCCCACTGGTGAACGCATGTCTCGGATATTGTATAGATAGAACATGAGACATAGCCTAATTGTTAGATTGCCTCGTAATAGGCCGAATCTGTAGACAAACGTCGGTCCGTAATGATGGTTCCATTTGATGGCGTCGTCTTGAAAGTTTCGATATAAGCGACTTGATAGCTTGTTGCCAATTGGTCACCGTGTGGTGGTGTTAAAACTTTAAAAACAGTTTATGTAGCTCACAGGCTCCGTATTACGTAAGGAACCCTTGCACGTGACCTCATTAGGCTTGCTGACAATTCGATTCATGTGCTCGCTTGGTCTTCGCCTTTCACAACAGCAAACATTACGACTAGCTTCTTGTTGGCTTCTTGTTCTCCTTCCTATTCAGGTTCTCCTATCTGATTGACGAGAGAAGTTTGCAGTCAGGATGTTGTCCAGAGTCACCCCCAATGTAATAGGAAAAGCTACATTCAGAAACTCCATAGGACGGGCTGCTCTCTGCGCTCGCAGAGGTTTCGTGCAACCCTCTGGTGCAGACCGTGCACGCATCGTCGAAGACATACATTTCAAGCCCGAGGTTCCCAATCGTGATAATAGCGTGACACAAAAGACTCGCCCCATATACCTCGATATGCAGGTATGGCCATGCAATTAGATACTATTCGGTGTATTGACAAAGTCCAGGCCACCACTCCCGTAGACCCGCGTGTCCTCGATGCTATGCTACCGTACCTAACAGACCAGTACGGTAATCCACATAGTCGAACTCATGCATATGGATGGGAAGCAGAGCAGGCCATTGAGGTTGCACGCAAGGTGAGTCTGCTGGTTTACGTGCGTAAAAACGTCCCTGTAACATCTTCCAGCATGTAGCGGACCTTATTGGAGCCGAGGCCAAGGACATCGTCTTCACTTCTGGTGCTACCGAGACCAACAACATGGCCATTAAGGGTGTCGCACGGTTCAATAAAGACAAGAAAAGACACGTTATCACGACACAAACGGTGGGCTGAGCCACTTATTTCTATGATCAACGCTGATCGTCACTGCAGGAGCACAAGTGTGTCCTGGATTCTTGCAGGAAAATCAGCGAAGAAGGCTTCGAAATAACCTATCTTCCTGTCGAATCTAATGGCGTAGTCAACCTCGAGACTCTTGAGGCCGCCATCCGCCCCGACACTTCCCTCGTTTCTATCATGACAGTAAACAACGAGACCGGTGTCATCCAGCCAATGAAGGAAATTGGTGCTATTGTGCGAAAGCATCGTGGCGTACACCTTCACACCGACGCGGCGCAAGCCGTGGGAAAAATACCTATCGATGTTAATGAAGCCAACATTGACCTGATGAGCATCTCAGGGCATAAAATCTATGGTCCAAAGGGAGTAGGAGCTGCTTATGTTCGCCGGCGACCGCGCGTGCGATTGGAACCGATCTTGAGTGGAGGAGGACAAGAGCGTGGGCTGCGTAGCGGTACCCTGCCCACGGCGCTGGCGGTTGGCATGGGCGAAGCAGCACGCATAGCCAAGCTAGAGATGGCAGTGAGTTTCTTGTTCTTCGCATAACTCATGATGAAATCCGCACATGCGTTTGAAATGGCACTTGAATCAAGTGGCGTGATGCTCTAGGCTTACGGCTGTATGAGCCGCTAGCTTGGTGATGATTCCTGTGCAGGGGTACTGATTGATTTCCTGTCTATCATTCCACCTCTCGTTCCGAATCTGATACATATTCCAGAGGGATCACGCACGGATCAAGCAGTTGTCGGATAGGTTAATTCAGGGCATCAATTCCCAAGTTGAGCATGTGGTTCGAAATGGTGATGTCAATGGATACCCGGGATGTGTAAACCTTTCGTTTTCGTATGTTGAAGGCGAAAGTCTTCTCATGGCCTTGAAGGTAAGCGTAATGGCACATATCTGATGAGAGAAATTATCATGGTGTTCGTTGCAGGATATCGCTTTGTCTTCTGGTAGTGCTTGTACATCTGCGTCTCTAGAACCTTCATACGTTCTTCGTGCTCTTGGTATGTTTTTTTTCATGCGTGGACTTGTAGTACCTGACAGTCACCTAGGAGCGGCAGAAGATATGGCACATTCGTCCTTACGCTTTGGCATCGGTCGTTTCACCACGGAAGCGGAAATTGATTTCGTGGTAAATCACATCGTTCGCGTCGTTACCAGACTTCGTGATATGAGGTACGATCTCACCCACATTTCAGTGCTTTTGCTGTACTGACCGCCTCCTTCAGCCCGTTGTGGGAGATGGTGCAGGAGGGCATCGACATCAACTCAATTAACTGGTCTCAACATTAATTTATACTTCTGGATCTGTTGTCACGGCGCAACGTTTTTCTTTACCTGTCGTTGACGTATTTGAGGATTATTTGCCTATAACTTTATGTACAACGATATGAAGAACTTTCTAAGGATATTATTGGCGGTATCCGAGGTCTTGTCAACGGTGCTAATTCTTGGCAAACAACCGAATATAATGGCGAGTTGAATCTCCGCCATAACTGCACTCTTTCACTTTCAACCACCATGGCAAGACGCTTGTACCTTGGCAGTATGAAATTTTCTTCTTGTCAGATCTTGGCATAAACAATTCTGATCATCGTTTGCATCGCACAGGACTTCCCCCTGATGCCCGTTCTGATGACGTGGCTAAGTTTTTCGATGGCTATGGCCGTATCATTGACTGTCGTGTCATGACCGGTTCGTCGGACAAGAGGCGCGCGGCAAATGCGGAACTCACTGGACCTCCATCAGGATTCGGTTTTGTCGAATTTGAAAGCTCAAAGGTGGATTCATTATGTATCACGGTGATCAGTATACCAAACTTTTATAGGATGCGGAGGACGCTGTACATCATTTCAACGGCAAGCCATTCATGGGAGCCAAGTACGTATCTTAATCAACCCCAACATCGCTTGAATCGATCCTTATTTTTCTTGTTTTAGCATTGTCGTCGAATTCGCCAAAGAAAGTCGCCCCCGTCGGGATGTCTATGAGAGCGACCGTGGCTACGGGTATATTTTTTGACTCACCAAGTTAATACTGTGCCTTTTCCTAACAAGTTACATTTTTGTTTAGGGCTGCTCGCTCCCGCAGGCCTCCAGGTATCCGCCTGATCGTTTCCGGTATTTCTCGTGACACAAGCTGGCAGGTATGATGTTCTTTCGGTTCGCAACATTGGCAGTGTTTGCGGAGTATATGGCGCTTCTGTATTCTGGAGATCGATCCGTCTGGTCATTTTGGAACCTGGAAGGACCACCAGTATTTCGTTGATGTTCACTTTCGCCGGCTTTGTCCAAACCCAACGTCGAACCTGACCATACACTCACCCAGGACTTGAAAGATTTCGGACGCGAGGCGGGAAGCGTGTCGTTCGCTGACATTGATCGCGACAACCCTGGCCAGGGGTGGGTGACTCAAATCTAATGTGTTGTCCTGAGCTGACAGTCTCTTAGTATCCTTGAGTATCTATCGCGAGATGACGCAGACCGTGCCGTCAAGGATTTAGACGGTAAAGACCTGCGCGGTAGACCTGTCCGCGTTGCCTACGATGATGCCGTGAGTTTGATGGCTTGATTGTTTTGCGCCGTGTCTTACCTGTTCTCAGCGCGGTGGACCTGATAACTACAGGCGCGAGGATCGTCGTGAGGAACGTCCTCGAGGTGACGACCGATACAAAGAAGAACGTTACTACAGGGATGATCGTGCATCTTATCGCCGCGAGCGATCTCGCTCGCCTCCTCGTCGCAATGATCATGACGATCGTCGCCCCAGGTCTCCACCTCCGCCGCGGAGGGATCTTGATGAGAGAAAACCTGCAGGGTACGATGATTACCGACGGGGAGGTTATGATGATGACCGCAGAGCCCCTGATTATTATTATGACCGCCGCAGGGACGATGACCGGCGACGTGAAGACCGCGGTGGCAGACGCGACGAAAAAGACGATCGGTACGACGACAGGGCGCTGAGGCACGCAAATGGCGATGGTGGATGGGCGCGTTAAAGGATATAGGCAGCCGCTGGATATTTTACACTTGGCCGAGGGGCACCGCATCCGTTATTGGTTTTCCACTCTCTTATGATGGTCATGGTCTCCTCGAGCTTGGCGTTGGCGTATGTTGGGTCGAACCGGAGAACTGTTTTTTTTGTCTTACAGAGGTCATTTCCCTCTTGGTCCGTATGTCGAACGATTAGGTGAAGGCGTCCCGATTTTGGCGTGGAACCTGTACTTTCAAGCATCAGCTGAAGGATTGGCTAAAGGATGTCCAAGGCAGCGCGTGAGAATTTAACGTGGGCGTCATCTTTCGTATTGGTGGCGTTGAACCACGGAAACTTGGAAACTTGGAAACGGTGACGGAATTAAAAAAAGACTCGGTGTGCCTACTACCCTCGGTACCTAGGACCCGTCTATCCTGAATTTGCCCACCAATGTGATTGTGTCCTTCATTTGTGACACTTCAGCGCACGATGATTGACGTTTTGCATATGGCAGACTTTCGTCTTCAGGTGTGTCACTTTACTCACATCTATTCCTAGGGACATCTATGTATAAATATAAGTGTAATCATGATTCGGTTTGCCGCGATATGTGTACAACAATATGTGAATTATTCTCTATTCCCCACCATCCTAATTCTTGATCATCGTTCTGAAGAAGAGCTAGTGTGTCATCGCCCATTCTCAACCATACACAAATATTATAGCGGTTCCTTGGATTTTTCCCTGCTCCCAGAGCTTTCACCAGTCTGAGCCGGAAAAGCCCTAATTTCATCGTGGAAAGCACGCGCAGTGAAGTCGATACAATGAAACCCCCTTGCATTCCCGGGGTGAAGAGGCCTTCAGGAGGCTCAGAGCATTGGTGAACTTTCACCTCTGTGGGTATAGTTCAAAAGGCGGTGACGCGATCATCCAACAAGGGCCTACCGATCAAATACCGACCGAGTCTACCGTCGCGATCAGCTGTTGACTCGGCAGGTCTTCCGTGCTCTGTGGTGCATAGCAAAAGGCTTGATGAATATAATAATGATTCAGCAGAGCCAATACACTGACTCATGCACAGCGTCTTCCATTGAGGGTGTTCCTTCAGTTTGTCTTCATCATGCCCAAGCACGGTCTTCGCAACGAAAGAAAGATAAAACAATTCACTATCTGATCGCTCCTTCGTCGAGATCTTGACGACAGAGGAAATTAAAGTCTAGGCACCGCAGCTTCGGTCTTGTACTCACCGCAGTTGCGTCAAGGACCCGTAAGGACGGGATCTTTGCTATGACTTGCTGCCTGGCAGAACGAGAGACGTCACTAGCTGCAAACTATGAGTATGTGTTTCCTCAAGGAAGACAATAATCTTGCGCTAACCCTCAGACAGTGGATTTTTGGCAAGGCTCAACGTTTCGAGATTGGGACACCACTCATATAATTGGTCAATATCACGCGAATTATGGATTTTGTTACTGGAAAGAGAGAGGACTTTGAGTTCTTGTAAATGTGACGAATAAGATTCCCGAGGAGGAATCCTTTCAATGCCATTGGATGAAAGTATGAGTCGTTGTAATCTGCGGTACCGCATTAGCTTATTGGAAACCCCGCAAACACTAAACATACGAGGTACACGGTTTCATTGCCTCGCTGATATGTTGCCAATCTTCTAACTTGTTACTATCGAAATTGAGGATCTCGATATGGCCAAGCACTGTAGAGATCTTCGCATGTGATAGGGAAGTAAGCCCATTGTATCCAAGTTCCACCATGCGAAGTTGAGGCATGAGTATCGCTATGCTTGTAAATTCTTCCCATGAAATCCAGGTGCCGTTCAGCTGGAGCTCTGAGAGTCGCAGCCAAGCCGATGCAGGCAAGTGAGATGATGGCGGCGTCAGCCGGTTGCGACTATTTGTAGCGTTAGTATATCAAAAGAGGAAAACACAAGGCCTACTTGAGCGCTAGCCGCTCGAGTTGATGCAGTTCGGTGGTTATCATCGCCACAATGTCCCAACTGGACACAAGTGTTGCAGAAAGATCCAGGCCGCGGACGTCTTGATTGTATCAATCGCATGATATTTGGAGAAATACGCACTAGCTTACTGGGGCATGTTGACAGGATTTCCCCTGGATTATTCCCGGTAGAAACCATCTCATTGTCGAGGCTGACTTCGCGCAGTCGCTCCAGATTAGAAAATTTGCCTCGGATCTTGTCCAAGTCTACAGCCTCGACCTCTATAGCACCATTTGACGAGCCCAAAACAATCTTCTCCTGGAACGCAGTGCCATGCACAGCTTCTACATACTTATTTTTCAATGCTTGCAAAAATGGATACCCATAGCAAGCGGAAGAAGGGCGAATGAAGGATCCGCTGTGTGGCACTCTTGTGGTCGCTGAGCGATAAGCATCGTTGCGATTTCCTTGATCTTACCGGCAGTTAAAATATCGTTTCCCATCTTTTATGCCATCATGTTTGCCGCGAGTTGAGTCGTCCCACTCGACACCAAGCCAAAGACCAGCGGTGCCATCGATTGGTCCAAAGTACTTGACAGTGCCGAAATAACCTGATGGGAGGTATATTCTTGACCCTATCGCAGCAAGCACATGATACATCGGTCAACGTGGTCCGAGTGGAAAGTGCTTCCGAGTCACATCATCATACAGCAGCTTGAACGATTGTGTCAATCTCACGTAAGCATCGCCTTGGGTTCAATCTGCCAGTCTTCGGCTACACGGTACTCCGAAAATCCCAGAAAAGTCGTGGGTCGCAGGCTCTCCAAGAGTTTCCTTCAGTTGAACACTTGGTTAGTTCTGAGTATGCTGGCTACTGCTCTCACAAGAATGTCGCGTAACGGTGTATCAGCAGCTCTTGCCAGGACAAGTGCAGTGGTTGCTCACATGTCCACCAGCACTCAGGCAACACCACTAGAGCAGGTAAGTTCTTTGCATATGTTATTCTTACCAATCCCTTGTGAATCGGGCCTCGCATGCAGCCGGTGCTCTTTGAGTCGAATGGAGCGACACGCACTTATGTTTTGAACCGAGCAAGCAAACTGAACGCTCTCAATGGTGACATGCTCAAGTCGATGAGACCTCAATTGGAGGTGAGAATGCCATTACGTGGAAGTGCAGGATCTTACAAACATCATTTGTATTCCAGCAATGGTCAAAATCCGACCTGTGCAAGATTGTCGTTGGGACGGGTATTGGCCGTGCATTTTGTGCGGGCGGTGATATTGCAAGTGTGTTTCAGTGCTCCAATCCATGTGGACACTTGCTGACAACTTCGCACAGCTGTACTACAGCATTCACTGCATGACACTACTCGTTCAAAGGCTATAGAATTCTTCAAAGACGAGTGAGTCATAGAATCATGCTCCGAAGCGCTTGAATAACTTATCCTACAGATTTGAAATGAACTATATCCTGTCTGCGTTACCAAAGCCATACGTAACCATCTTGGACGGTATCACAAGTTGGTGTTTTCTTCTGTACAGCATGCATAGCACTGACATCACCAGTGGGCGGGGGGGTCGGACTTGCCATCAGCGCTCCCTTTCGTGTTGCAACGGAGAAAACAAAATTCGCTATGCCAGAAACCAAGATAGGTTACTGCCCTGATGTTGGAGCAAGCTTCTTCTTGTCCAGGATCGACGGTGAAATTGGCACATATCTCGCCCTTACCTCAGAAACTCTTGTTGGCAGGGAAGTCTTGTGAGTGGTGACATATCTTTTCTCGGTAGGGCCCTGGGCTTACGATTTCGGTAGTGAATTAGGATTTGCTACCCACTTTGTGTCATCAAGGACAGTGCCCAACTTATTGACTCATCTATCTGATTTGGAGGACCCCACTTCCGCTATGATCGATAGGACTATCGAAGGTCATCATACAAAACGGCTTCAAGACGAACCGGTTGGAAGATTGACGGGTCGCACGCGCCAAGCTCTTGATACGGCATTCCGACATGATACAGTTGAGGAGATTATGGAGGATCTCACTAAGTTAGCCTCGACTTCGGATGACTCAGTCGCTAAGTGGGCTTCGGAAACACTGGAGACATTACATACCCGGAGTCCTACTAGTCTCAAAGTGGCACTAGAGGCGGTCCGACGCGGGAAGGAAATGACGCTCCTCCAGGCCCTTCAAATGGAAATGGGTATTGCCACTGCTTACTGTGTAAGTTAATTGGTGATTATGCTGTGATCTGTTTAACTTTGAAAATGCAGAGCGGCGCGAGTCCAGATTTCACTGCGGGAGTGACCGCGGTCCTGGTTGACAAAACGAAAGCTCGCCCTGCTTGGTCTCCTGATAAGCTCCACGACGTCTCGGATGCGATAGTGGAGCGATTTTTTGAGGAAGATTCTGATTATCTCCGCGCCGTGCCTACTTTGACGCCGCCGGACTTTCTTACGAATGACAAGCAAAATCCGATGAAATTCGCTCTGCCAAGTGAAGGTGCCATCTTACAAATCGTGTCGAAAGTCGGAAAAGATCCTATCTCCCTTTCCGACCTACTGGCACATTTTGATAATATTCACTCGGGTAAGCAAGGTGTCGCAGAGAAAGTGGTTGAAGTAGTGAAACGGCGTTGTGATGTCATTGGTAATGAAGGTTCGGAGGTGGTTAATTGGAAAGAGTAATTGTAATGGTTGCGGCACAGTATACCATCCCTCAATATCACAATTTGCTTATCATGCTGTATGTTTTCGCACGCGCGCAGTATCACCACGTCGCGCGCAACCCGGCGGACCGGAATTGCAGCTAAGACTCGAAGGGCGATGATTGTTTGAACCTTGTACTTCATCCCTAAGGAGAAAAGTGTGCGGTCAGCATTGATGTTTGACGTTGCGCGACGCGCAGCTTTTCATTATGCCGCACGGCCACTACACTAACTCGAACTCAAGTTGCCCAAAATTGTGATGAAACGATCCGAGATTGAACATACGTGTTCAATATCGCACGATATGATAGCTGCGAGACTCCACAGGACAGCTAAGTGAAAAAATATCTCAAGATTATTTTCAGGTCCTTCGAAATTTCCTGTGCACTGTTGTGACTCGAAATACGCTTCCGAGGATTGCTTGGGACTGTCCCCCAACGAACAAGTAATAATGCCAGCGTTCACACAGCAAGTTCTCTCTCACTTGAGCTGATTCCGATATGGTCAAGTTCTACCGGTAATTGTTCACACTCTCCACAGCAACAAAGAGTACTCGGACAAAATTATGCGGAGAATACAGGTACTTTGGAAGATAGGACGCGGAGTTCTTACTATACACTCAAATTTGGCGGAACCAATACATTGGTTACTGGATCGTTCATTGCATGACTCGAGTTGCAAAACGAGCATTGCTAGATCTCTCCATCACAGTGCCTTGGAAGTTGGTGGATCGAAGATTCGGGCTGTGAAGATCAGCATTGGAAACAAGACATCTGGTCAGCGCTCGATGCGTGCCAACAGGCAATAGCCTTACGTGTAAGGCATGTGTTCCTCTTTCAGGAGCTATGCACCCAAAGGGGAATGTATAGGATCGTAGCAAGATGGTGACACTCATGGGATCAATGTCAAAGGTTCCTGAGTAAGATCTTACCAATTGGCCAGACTCGACAACGAATTACAAGGAGTTCACAGGACTGAGAGTGGCACCGAGAATGATCGGGGTTTCGTGCCAACACCCCGCAAGTTTCGGTCAACTCCTGCCTCGCATGTAGCTCCGTTAGTTCTCACAGAGGCATACGCGCCCAGTGATGCCGTTTGGGCAATATCGGCGCTGCCGATGCACACACATCAGTGCAAGCACTGTGACTAGGTAACCTTGAATCTCGATGATGTGATCTAATCGAGGACACGCATTGGTAGTTCATGTATAAAAGGTGCCCGGGTCCTCTGCTCAAATCACAATAAATTACAAGCCTGCGAGTCATTCTCTGTCCATTCCACTCGCAATGTATCCAATCGATCTACTATCTCCATCTCATCTCTTCACCAATGTCATATCCGTCCTTAACTCTGTCCAGCTGCTTAGCAGGAAAGAGGCACCAGGTGCACAACCAACTCCTGCAGATTTTGAAGTCAATCTTCAAACGAATACAGGGTTTCTCCCTGAGAAACCCATCCCACGGCTTCCCGAAGCTTACAGCGCATGGGAGGATGCGCTTACACGAGCTCAGGAAGTGCTGATACTCGGGGAAAACATAACAGAGGACAACATCAAGAGCCGAGTTGATGGTGAACTCTGGAGATCGCAAATGCGAGAGGTCAGTAAATCTGTCATGCGAGGGTGGAATAATGACTTACGTGTTACACAGCTCCCCGTGATCAGCACCAATGATCTAAAAACAGACAAGCAATTGTTGCGTCGCGCACATAAAGTGCTCGCCTTTCTTGTACATTTCTATGTTCATTCAATACCGGACCAGACGGCCGGTTCGGTGCTTATCCCCCGATCTCTGGCGACTCCGTTGCTTGAAGTATCAAGCGTATTGCGAATGGCGCCGGTACTTACATTCGCCGACACCGTCCTATGGAACTGGGATCTCGTAAACCCAGAACTTCCTGTCACGATAGAAAACATGCGTTTCGGCGTTGAGCTCTTTTCGGGGACAGAAGACGAGCGGAATTTCTGGTTCGGTAACGCAAAAGTCGAGATGTTGGGTGTGGAGATGCTCCACCTTATCAACGAGTACCACAGTCTTCCCAATGTTTCCGACTTCGCGTCCGTCTGCAAAATCAATCGGCTCCTGACCCGCCTCGTGGCAATTATCAATCGGGTTGAAGAAACCTTGTTATCCATGCGGGATCTTGTAGATCCCTCCATATTCTACTGGCAAGTACGGCCTTGGTTCAATGGAAGTGCTAGCGGGTCATCTAGCCCGACATGGATTTTTGAAGACGGTCCTGACGCTTCCACGCTCGACCTCAGCGGGCCATCAGCTGGCCAAAGTAGCGTCATGCATGCACTTGACATCTTCCTAGATGTCGACTTCAAACTGCAGCAGCGTCGGTATCCAGCCCCCTCAGAATCAAATAAACGGTCTGATCTTGGTTTCATGGAGAGAATGCGCCGGTATATGCCCGGAGCACACCAAGACTATCTTTCCCATCTCGCGAACTCCTCTCGTCCCCTCCGGGAACTCGCAAAAAGTACACCTGCTGTGAAGGAGTCATATAACGCAGCTGTGTCGGCGATCAGAAAGTTCCGGGACTCGCACATACGCATCGCATGCTTATATGTCGTCTCCATGGCACGATCAACGGCGATACCGGTCGGATGTCCCGTATTTGCGATGATGCAGAGGATGGAGCGACAACAGAAGCGAACAGGACACTCGACTGGCACAGGTGGTAACGAGTTGTCGCTGTTGCTGAAGTCCAACCGTGATGCTACCGCACGGGCTGCTCTAAAGATCTGAATGAGGAATGAGCCGACATGACATGGACGGGAAGCACTTACTTTATCATAATAACCCCGCTAAATTCGATGCCTATATTTATTGACCGAGATACGTTATTTTGTGTAGCCCTAGACGCGTTTTGAACATGATACACCCACACTGTAATACTTTACCCAGATTCACATATTTATCATACCGATACAAATAACAGCAAAGCAGTCATTGGCTTGCTGTAGTAGTTTTCTTGACAAAGCAATCTTTTCGACCAAGGAAAAGGGATTAGAAAGCATGGTTAACGTTTCGGCAAGACCATCTGATTTCAAAGTTCATTGGAAAGCCGGAGCATGTGTTCGGAATAGGTCGAATCGCGCCGGCCTAGACCAGGGGAAGTACTGTGTCTGAAGTCATATTATTATCACGAAATAGACGAAGAAATCGTCATAATCTGAGCCTTGAGTTGGCCCTGAGAGCACCGCGACTTTGTTCTAGAAAGAAGCTTGACGTCGAGGACACCGGGACCCGGATGGCAAGAGTGGGGAACCGAACATGTCAGAGTCGCTGAAACGACGGCGATATCGATACGCTGTGCACGGAAGGTACAGATTGATTCTTGATGGTAGATGAAACCCGGAAGGAAGTTTGGGTGACCGGCGGGTATCATGATAGCACTGGGGGAAAAGATATTACACGAAATGAGAATGTCCCGCGAAGCTGAAGTTCAAGTGCTAAGCGCTAAGCGCTCGAGGTTCGCACCGAATGTTTGTGACGGACGTTCTGATCAGAAAATGCAAAGAGACACATGATCACATGTTCTCATGGGCCAACCAACTCTGGAGGGTCTGGACTCTCTACAGTAACCATAGCCAGATTGATAAATCAATACTAGTATGAGCTTTTTACTGGATGAACGCTCCCCGTCCACTTGAAGCTCACCGATATTCCTCCGACTCCCGTATCAATCGTACTCCATATAGGACCTTCGAGACCATCAGAAGGTCAATGCAATCTCAAGGTCGTGGCTACTATCATGCGGCAACTTGAACTACTAGCTGGATACATAATCGACGACGTTGATGTGAAGACACAATGATAACTTTAAAAATTGCGTTCAAGTCGACGTGAGCTCGTACGACGCCAAGCTTTTATCTGATAATCGACGTTCCCATCTAATTTACTAGTCCATGTAGATGGGATGATTTGTGCAAATCCGACTCACCCGTCACAGTGAGTTCTTGCTGGCTGACTGCGGTGGTTTTTGCTCCAATGTAACGAAATCCTTTCCTAGGTATATGACACTATCTCAACTTGAAGATCTCCTTCTCACCGGTTCTCTGCATGGCGCCGTGACAAGCAAGCGACGATTTTTAACTTAGTCTGTGAAATCATCATATTGTCGTCTCGACTCTCGCCTGTGTCCTGAATCCGACCGATATTCGCCTATTCGCAAGCACACTTCTTTTCGACAAGCGAGCGATGGTGCAAACAACTGACGTAGTCTGGCTTTATACAAACGCTTAAAGCGATATCTAAATACCGGTCCGAAGGAAAAATGCAAGCCCATTTCTGCCTAGTACGGGAGCAAGACGCAGTCGGCCTAATTAGCTATGCAATTTTCCCTCGAAGAAAGCTGGGAGCGTGTAGCAGAGTTTTGAAAGAACGCTTAGTTGGAGAGTCTTCGATTCATCATTCAATGATTGCTTGAATGATGGCAAAAACACAGTGCAAGGCCCAATAATGAATGAACTAACATGTCATTGTTTGTTGACTGGCAGTTCCTGATTACGTAATGAACGCGCTAGCAAACTAATGTCAACAAACACTTTGAGGGGCGCGTCTGTCTTTCATTGCGATTGTTTTCACGTTCTTTCTACTCTGTTACAATGTCTCAACTTTCAGCAGGAATCTGTCGCCGTCTCAACGAGGCTCCTCAGGAAGAGATAGACCAGCTTGCTTCTGGGCATACCGTGCAGTTGCTTTCTATCAAGAAAGTCGCCCCGACAACCACCTCGACGACCGCCACCGACAGGTTTCGCATCATCATCTCCGATGGCGTCCATTTTGTCCAGGCGATGTTAGCTACTCAGCTGAATGATCTCGTAGCAAACGGAGACATAAACAAAAATACTGTGGTGATCATCGACAAGCTGGCCTGTAATTTTGTGCAGGACAAAAGGTGAGTAGCTTTTGATATCATTTTTACCCCTTTTTACTATTTCATCTAGATTGATCATTATTCTTGACCTCCACGTTGTATCACGAAATGAAGAGAAAATCGGGACTCCTACTGCCCCTCCTTCCACCCAAGACGCTCCTGCGCCAGCTGTTCTAGAGGCTACATCCTCATCCGTTACTTCACCAGCTACCTCTTCGTCTACTGGTCAGGCGAAGCCGATTCAGCCCCAGCCTCGCACTGGCCCATCCGGCAGAGGGGGCCGCTCAGTGTACCCCATCGAAGGACTTAGCCCTTACCAGAACAATTGGACCATTAAAGCTCGAGTTACCCAAAAGTCTGATATAAGGACCTGGTCGAATCAGCGTGGAGAAGGGAAACTTTTCAACGTCACACTAATGGACGAATCAGGCGAGATCCGAGGCACCGGCTTCAATGCAGTCGTCGACGAACTATACGAGAAGTTCGAGGAAGGCAAAGTATATTACATCTCCAAAGCCCGAGTGAATCTCGCAAAGAAGAAATTCTCGAATCTTCAGAACGATTATGAGCTGAGTCTGGAGAAGAACACCGAAGTTGAAGAGGTATGTATCATCACACTACCCCCGAAATGCTGGACTCATGATTTTCAGTGCCTTGAGACCACCAGTGTGCCTATGATGAAGTATAACTTCGTGGAATTGTCTTCGTTGGAAAAATTAGAAAGGGATAATACTTGTGGTAGGTGCTTTGCAATCTATGTCGGTATTTCTCACATGCAATCCATTGCTACCAGATGTCATTGGGGTCATCAAAGAAGTCGGCCCCCTCGGCGAAATCACATCAAAGGCGACAAACAGGACGGTAAGTCATGATCCACTCGTCAGTTATCTGGGGTTTCAATTCGGTTGAAGATTCCGAAACGCGATTTGACCATTGTCGATATGTCGCAATACTCTGTTCGCTTGACCTTGTGGGGAAAACAAGCAGAACAGTTTGCAGCTGACGACCTTCCTGTCGTTGCGTTTAAAGGCGTTAAAGTCGGTGACTTTGGAGGTATGAACTATTTTTGTTCACCCGAATTGGAACTCACCCCCCGAAGGTCGCACTCTCTCCATGGTTAGCTCAAGTATAATGACGATATCGCCTGATATTGAAGAAGCTCATTTGCTGCGGGGATGGTACGATGGTATCGGAACTGAAAAGAATTTCCAGTCGCACACGAGTGGTTCATCTGGTGCATCTTTTGGTGGTTTCAACCGCAATGAGATGCGGCATCTTAGCGACGTCAAAGAGTCGCAACTTGGCATGTCCGACAAGGCAGAGTTCTTTTCAACTCGTGCCACTATTATGCACATCAAGAGCGAGAACATCTCTTATCCTGCGTGTCCCACTCAAGGTTGCAACAAAAAGGTGGTTGATTTAGGTAGTGGCTGGAAGTGTGAAAAATGTGACAAAACTTTTGAGCGACCGGAATACCGGTATGATCATTTGCTCAGTCCTATAGACCCAAACCTTACTTTGATCATCAGATACATCATGTCAATGGCAGTAGCCGATTGGTCCGGCCAGGCGTGGTTGCAGGGCTTCAATGAGGCTGGTCTGGCCGTCTTCGGGAAAACCGCAGATGAAGTTCATGAAATCAAGGTCAATACAAATCTCCCGGAACTTTTCTTGATGTTTACGACCACATGATAGGAGCGCAACGAAGCAGAGTATAACGCTCTCATGGCCCAGGCCAGTGGCGTCACATTCAACTTTAGTTGCCGTGCAAAGCAGGACACGTACAATGTGAGTGTCTTCTATTTGTTACAGGTTTGAAATAATGAATAGTGTAGGATCAAACGCGTGTCCGTTATGGAATATCGAGAATTACTTCTCTTGATTATCACGAGGAAGCCAAACATTTCGTCAACCTTCTCAAGTCTCCATGGGCTCAGTGATTCTTATGTCTAGTTGGTGTATATTAAGCATTGTCTACTTTTGCAAGCCATTGTGATAAAAAAATACTGTAACATTTGCCCAATAGTTGAAATGAAAATACTCTGTTATCTGTTACAGCGCCCGAATAGTAGCTGAAATGAAAATGTCATTATTATCTTTCATGGGGCCCGAGTAGCCAACTAAAAACGCTTTGTTATCTTTCACGAGACCTGAGTAAATACTTTACATAAATAGTCAACTAATCAAGCTTTCAAGGGGGATCTAGAGGATAATGATATACTCTCCTAAACACATGCCAGATCACACCGAACCCTTCGAGAACGGTGTCTACCGTCTGTTGTGCGATCGGGGGTAAATCCAATTTCAGTGGCCAAGGAAAAGGTAATACGTCGATAAGAGAAAGCGAGTCGTCATCTGGAGATAAACTCGGTGTGGGTGCGGATGTCACTTTTTCCGTAGCTATTCCAGATGAAATATGCGATGGAGGCGGGGAAACCGGGGATTGGAAGGCGGTGTGTGCACTAGAGCTATCCATCACCGACGTTAGCGTCGAGCATGATGGAGATGGCGTTGTCGAGGCTGTATTGTAGCCAACCGAAGGCTTTGCATGCGGAGGCGCATAGATAGTCGTAGTAACGAACACCGTCTCGATCGACGCCTGAGGATGATGATCGCGCCAAACTAGATCGTCATGTGGCGTACGCCGATCGAGGGAGTGCCTCATATGCCTGAATTCGGCTCCGAGGTTAAGTAGCACCATGAGAACAAGAATAGCGGGCGCTGTCCATATCAAGAATTGAAGGAGTTTCCCCAGAAACCGGATGCTGGTGTGAAAACGGTGAACATGCGGCTGGGCCCTCAAGAAAAGTGTGGGGGTGAACATTTCTTCCAATATGTAATGGACCAATCTGCTGCCCTGTTGAGATGTGCGTTGGTAAGCAAGGTTGGAACGCAAAAAATGTGCGTCTAGGCCTGTAATACTAGAGTGAGTCAACATCAAGATAGGCATATTCATCACTATTACCTGTTGAGGCTTCCACGTTAACTTCGAGTTTGCCAATAGGCATTGTAAATGTGGGGAGCAGTATGCCCACGTACCCATCATCCTTGGCTTTGCCTTTTCCTCTGCGAATACCGTCGGTGGGGGTCTTGACCAAATAGTCAATCTGAACGTCCCCAATGAGATCGCCCACGTACACCCTGACCCAGGCAGCCCAATTCTTGCTCCCTAATTTATCCAGAGAGGATGACAAGTCGACAATTGACCCCTCCGCGTGCTTGGTGGCTGAGCTTATTTCAAAACGGACAGGCATGCCATCGATGCTCACGCGCGCGATTTCCACAGAACAGTCAACAGGAGACGCGTCGTCTGCGTGTGCGAGTCCAAATTCCATCCAATCTGTCTCCATTTCATATGGAGCCGGATGAGTTATCCGAACAGCATATACATTGGTATATGTCGCATGATCAAAACGCAAAGGCGTCACAACGACTATGACGGAGGGAATCATGAGGGGACCATCCCTTTTTCTTCTCGAGAAGGTACCAAACATCGGAGGGAGAGACACCCCAGTTGCTACACGGTTCATCCCAGTCGGCGTGCGTGGCCGACTGGGAGAGCGCTTTATATTTTCAAGGGTATCATCTGTTGTGGAATATCTTGTTGGGATAAGCGATCTCGCTATGGAGCGTAGAGCAATACGCCCTCCGTCAGATCCACAACGCGACAATCCTCCACGCTGCAGAACAGTCCTGCGTGTCTGTGCATCACGGACGTCGCCTGATATATTATAAACCTCCACTGTTGCAGCTTCACACTCATTGCGGATGATTGTCGCAATTGTTTCTGCATCTGCAGCGAGCACAGAAAACCGGGGCAGGACTATGGGGATAGGATCTGGTTCTCCGTCTGGCCTTGAATTTGAACCCCCGTTGAAAGCACGCGGACGGGATATGACGAGAATTGTGCCTGTGATATTGAATGTGAATACATTTTTTGATGGGGGGAGTATATCGTTCATGTTAATGTGAATGGTTAATGATGTTGGGGGATGAGGAATGTCCTGTACGTCTGAGTTCGCGCGGCTACGTCCCTCAGACGTCAGAGGCATCGAACTGATAGATGACAGGGTACCTGAGGGTGTCAGAGAAGTGGGGGAACCCTCGAAAGAGTAGTCTGCCACCTGTTCTCCTGGCAGCGGCGCACGCAATAAAGATGAGGTCGAGGAAGTAGAGTCGTGTCGTGTTGCTAGAACAGGTGCTTGAAGCCGAGAATTCGGATACGATTCCAATGGCGGCGACTGATCAAAATCCAGCGAGGCTTGCCTGGAGACCGGCGTCGACGGGGGGTTGACATCGAAGCCTGTATAACCTGCACCTCCTGTGACAGTCCAAGTCGGCTCTTCTGCAGGTGCCCAAATGACGTCGGATCCTCGCGCCTCCAGCCCTACATCCATACCAAGCATTGTTGCCACGCCGGGAAACCAAACACCCTTTGCTGTTCCCTTGTATTCCAATTTCATCAAGATGCCCTCCCTTCCACTCGCGGGATCGCTGTCCTTTCCAAGAACATGACATGTCATTTCACCCTTCACCTCTTTTACTCCTACGCGTCTCCGGCCATCTTTGCAGTCCATGGTCTTCATGGGTGCTGCCCAACGAACACGAAGACGGTCTGCAGACGGGAATGTTCCGAGGATAGCAATACCGCCAGAGCCTCTGTCCGCGTAAGTGGAAGAGTCAGACGACTCATCATCTGCCATGTCTGCGTAGGACCCTGATCGCGAAGGACGAGTCGTGGTTCGTGTGACGTGAGGCTCAGACGTGAGCTCCCATGCGCCGGGATCCTCCTCTGCAGAAGACAGAGAGGCAAATGAGGAGGATGTCGTTGTAGAGCTTGGAGGGAAAATACGAAGCTTGACATTGTTAGACAAACAACGCGGAAGGGGAATGGATATCTGTATTTATAGAGCACTTGTAAGATGAAAATCCACGTCATAGTAAAAACGACGTACGAGGAAAGGAGCTTTCGGGGGACGACAGACATAAGGAACCCAGAGATCTAAGCCAGCCATGAAATGCATGTTATTACGCTCTCCTACAGAGCTTCGTCGCATTTTTGCAGCAGAGAATGCAGAAACCCTGATCGCACTGTCTTCACCAAACCTTGGTGGGAATTCCTTGGGCAGGACGTAAGAAATGTTGTACCCGCTGACGAGGATGTGACCAGTGTACTTGTCGTCCAGAGGCGGGATAGTAGTGTGAGATGTCGATGTAGAAGAGGATGCACGAGAGGCCGGACTCATGCTAGACGTTGGTAGACCAAAAACAGAGAGATAAGATTTTTGAGAACGCGCCGGTAGATTTAGAGCGCGCGCAGTGTTATTCAGTAGTGGAGAGGTTGTGGACGAAAAATTGTAAGGAGCAGAATTACTGTCGGTTGGGTGAACTTCCGAACTCAGCATCTTCAAGTTTCCCTCTTCGATGGTGATAGTGAACAGGAGGAAGGAGAAACTGAGAATGAACGCTTACCGGGAAATAATGGTAATGTAGAACCAGGAGAAACAGCATCCATAGGTATTGAAAGCTATTGATGGTCTTGAGCCCATTCGTTCAATTGCGTGAGGAACAACACATACCTTGAGATACATTTTAATGGCAATGCCATCTTGACCCTGCTTCGCTTTGCCCTCGATAGTAAGACGTGTTACAACGTTTAACTTTGGTTGCTGCTGGGCAGTCGCCGTGAATGTGTAAGACGATGCATTCGCTGAGAGTGGTGGGCTGATTGTGCGCGCATGTCGCGATTGCGCAGGTGCATACATGGAATTCGCGTGTCTATCTGGTCAAATGACGCGCTGTGATGGTTTATTGGCGTGTTTTGATATCACTATCGTAAAGCCTTGGAGGTGGAAAAGTGAACCAAAAAGAGGTTCTGCTACCTTATATAGCGCGCAAAGTGGCCCGAACAGGTCGCCAAGAGGCCAGCAAGCCGTTGTTGCTGCTGTGCAAGAAATGGAGAACAAAAAGCGGGTCGGTCAGCGGGAAAGGCGCGTTTAAGTTTGTTTGCCACAAACGCGTTGCCGGATATACATGAAAAAGGCATCAAACGTCATTTTGATCAGTGACCGTAACCCAACAACCACTTTTTTGGACGGCCACTCAACGGAAGCCCAGGCAAGCTTGGCCTCGGAGGAGACTCAACTCATGATCAAGGTTCCGTCATTCTTATGCCGACGTGATGACCGTTATATAGACTACCCCATCCGTGACTCTCCCCTCTGCAGCTAGCGCTGGCTTGTCACTTCCGCTCGGAACCCGGGCCACTGAAAATCCGACGAACGAGCACATTTTGGCAAGGAACCGGGACCATGTGTCTGCAGACTATGTAGCCACCCACGCATTGATGATATGCACAAGTTGAAACTATCTCACAGTCAGACGCAATAAAATAAATAGGAATATCAATCGATACATCGCAGAGCTCTACAACGACTTACAATCGGTAACCTTAGCCAGTCTATCTTTTGACCCGTGAGATTGCTCAGATGCATGCCCTACTACTATAGCAAGGCTCGTCGTACTACACTCTGGTCAGCACTACTTGGAAATGGTACTTGTTGTTTACGGTGGCTACTGCAAGGTGCCGTCGGCAGCTAGCTTCATAGACAGGCTTCCCTGTCCAAGGCTTTGAGCTAGTGTAAATGCACACAGCTACAAGGCAAGTTGGATTCCTTCTTGAATACTTTTACAATTTGGTTGTATGTAGCCCGGACGTGCACTCGAGTTTTTGTGGTACTCTCGAGAACGTGATGGCATGCAGTAGGGCTGGCCTTTCATCGATGTCATCAGTTTTATTGAAACGCATAATTTGTGTTACAATCAAGAATGAGTGAAACGAGTAAGTATAACAAAATATATTCAATGGACAATAGGTAATGAAAAGTCGTGATCCATCGTCATCAGTAATACGTAGGTTGCATAAGTCATAAAGTGAGAGCACATCGTGACATTCAGGCGAGCATCAGTATCCGAGTAGTCGTTTTGGAGTCAGTTTAGACAGGAACAGTGTCATGGTGTTCTGCGGCCTCCTGTGCCACTTGCGCCCAATCCTTCTCGCGCACACCGAACTCGATCTTCAATGCAAGCTTGTTGAAGTTTACCAGAGTCAGTCCGTGAGATTGGCGAACGCGCGACTCCCAGCCTTCTGGAAGCTGTTCATGAAGAAGAAAGCTGTGCAGGTCCTCTACGCGACCTCCCATGGTTGAAAGTAACAGCGAGGCACTGACGAGACGGTCAGGATTGTGCTTGGAAACGGATGATGAAATTAAATACTTTGCGCAACCAAATAACCTGTGGAAAGTTTTAAGCGTGAATTCTTTGTTCACTGCACGCGACACTGCACGACGTTTGCCGAGCAACTTGGAGAGATCCTTGACTATAACGACATCGTTGCCGTGCTTGTCCTTGCTGGAAGCTGCCGCAAGTAGCTCCTCGATGTAAGGTACGTGCTTTGTCGATTGGTTTGGTTCGAAAGCAGCATCAAGGCCTGAAGACAAATTACTCGACCGAGAAGAACAACGTCATTAAATCACTCACGTAAGAGAGATGCGTCGTGTTCAATACCATTGTGAACGTCGAGTTCTCCTAAATCAAGGGTATCATTTCTGAAGCTTCTCTTAAGCATGCGAGCAGCATAATGTGCGACAAATGAGGACAAGGTAGAACTGATGTTGTAGGTTCCTGCGACATGACGATCAAGGTCGACAAATGATATGCCACGGCCAGTGCGCGAGATGATGCCTACATTTTCATGACGTCATACCAAGACTGATTACCCAGATGAGTAGAATTACTGACCATGGTTGGCTAGCGCATTGAGTCCGGGGCAGGAGCAGCGGGAGTCGGTCTCCTGGGGAGGCCTAAACTCGGGCCAATGCCCTCCATAGCCTGGGTAGCCCTCAGGAGTGACATTGCCGATGCGACGCTTCCTCTCTACGAGGTTGAGGAGCGTGAGGATGACATCCCAAGACACAGTTCCAGCATCGTAGAAAAAGTTGGACAGGTCGGAAAAGAAGCCCATATTTTACGTCCTGAAGGTCAAGCGTGTGTTAAGATGCGGGCGTGGTTGGGAGCAAAGAAGCAAAACGTGCTTGGCCTAGAAATTTTCGATTATAAGAGAACCGAATAGAGAACTCGGCACCAGGGACTCGCTTACGACGACTTCTTTGCGATAGGCGACCCGAAATACACATGGCCAGAAGGCGTAAGGAGTGTGCGCCTGCAAAAGGGATATGTTAATGAACTACTATATCATTGTAAGATCTGTCAAGCTAGCTTTGATGTATTTTATTCGGATGCATAATATGAGACTTACCGGTATACTTGAATTCGAACGTTCCATCGGATCTTGTTTGAACTTTTAGACTGGAGGCTCGTTGACTCCACACTGAACCTTAATTTAATCGTGTCGTCAAAGTCGCAAACGCCTCATAGCTCACATTTTAAGTCCTTGGATATAGGGCCTTCCAACATAAATTCATAGCATCGTAGGATGAGGAACATGTACGGCTTCAAACCTGTCACTCGAAGTTGTTGTTTCTTCATTTGAAGCTTTACACCTATCCGAGCATTTTTCCAGCAAAAATACAACAGATTTGTAGCAGTTATCAACAATATTAATGCAATCGATGATTCAAAAGAGCGTATTTGCAACGCCCAAAATCAAGATGTCCGCCAGTATACGTAAAAGTTTCAGATTCCGACGCAGAACGGAGTATTAATTCTGAGTGCGGCAATGTGCGGTTGTAAAACAACCGGGTATGTACTAGATATTGCCATTGCCGGTCGGCCAGATTTGGTTGGGGTCAGTCCTTCAATTTTGTAATTGGGCTAGAGAACCTTGATTTTTTACTTCTAAGCCGTTAAAGACATAGTATATATGTTAGCTCACCCAACCCTTCCAGCTCCCAAACTTTGTACTGACAAGAACAATGTGCGCGCGTTACCTAACATATCACTTACAGCAGAGGTCAAGACCTCCAGCACCACTCGGTAGGGTACTTTCTGCTTCAGTCTTGCCATTCCGCGTTTACTGCTGCCCACCACATGTAGCCCCCAACTTGAAGTTGCGCCCTCCTGCATCACCAAAATTACCAAATCCAGAGATGGTCATATATTACCATGTCGGAGCCACCATAACTGCCATATGTATCTGGCGCAAGTCTCAATATAAGGCAATGTTAGGAAACTCAATTCCGACATTGCGACTGCCGTATGACTATAGTCTGGCATTAGGCTAGTGTACTGATATATCAAACATTGCTATGTACATAATGCATTTGAATTTCGCTCAGATTCATCAGACATTGCAATTGCGTTCAGATATAACAATGTGATGCATTGAATTAATGGTAATGCAAAGCAGTGAGGTACAACTGAGTGAACAGTTCCGAACAGAACGTGTTCCAACTCTCGAACCATGGTGATTGCAATAAAAATCTTACAGTACAAATAGCTACTAGAACTCTCACGACCATGGGCACCAGCTCGAGGCACCGGTGCTGCTCGTTTTGTTTTGTGTCCAGCGGGTGGAGGAGACGTCGGAGTTTCACTCAAAGGAGAAGGTTTGCGTTGAACAGGCGCTGGGGAGCTGCAAGGAGGTGCCTGCCAGGGGAACTGCGAGGAGGTGCGTGACAAAGAGGAAGATGAAGACAGCGGCAAGGGTGCTGAATTGAAGTCGATCATGATCTCGACTTTGGAGATGAGGTGAAGGTTATTGGTGATGGAGAGGCTAGTAGCGAGGGCGAAAACGATGGTGACGAGGATGGTGTACCACCAACAAGTGGAGGGATGGCACCTTGCAAGATTTTGTGGCTAAGTATGGAACGAATGAGATCAAACGGAAGTGACTCACGAAGATGAATGATAAGACAGTATAAAAGCCATAGCCTGGCAGGGCAGGGAATCACTGCAGCAAACATGGTAGGAATCTTGATGCGAGGGAAGTGGAAAGTGCTGATGATTGATTTGATGCACAGCACCGACAAGCTTTAAGTTTTGTTCAAGAAAGACTCGACGGGCGATCTGCAGGGTTTTCGCATCTAAAAAGATATTAGCCTAAGAATAAAATAGTGGCTCTAACGTACCAGTGACACAAATTCCATCAATATAATCTGGAATGACGCCTTCAGACTCGATGATGCCGTTTCAAAAGGGAATTCGTGATGTCGCTGAGGTCAGGACTGAAATTAGACTCCATCGCGACGATGAAAGCCACGCTGATAGCCGAGAAAAGACCAGACTAATCAAACATCAGTCTTAAAATGCGCCGAAGATAAGAACGCTAAGCTTACGAAGATCAAGACAATGTCCATGTCAGTAGTGTATCGCTCAAGGAACTCGTCGTCATGTTCCGCTGCGACTCGTTTGTACACCCCCCGGATCGTTTGTACACCCCCCGGAAACTAGACTGTTTGTCCTTTCCAATCTTCGACGCAATCGTGGAGTCCTGGAGAATGTCCAATACTTGCTTCATGACATTTGCAGGGCTTCAGGTTTACCTGCCGAAGGGAATGCCTGGCACTGTTTCTGGTGTGTAGTGAGGGAGATCAACTGAGTCTGGAGAATACTTCGGAGTAACCGATGTCAATGGCGCGTTAGAACTTAGGCAGCAGGATTCGGCACCTCAAACTTAGTGGTTCTGGTCGCCTTGGTCTTTGTCGGCGCGTTGATTTTAAAGGTGGAGGCGGTGGTTTCGTGAGAGTGGGACGATGGGCTTGCGGGATCATCAAAGGAGTGTCAAGGTACGCTTCGACAATGTGGCAAGCTCCCGAAAAACTCACCTGTCGGCGTCCGCTGAAAATCTCTCGAGTTCTCTGATCGGACAGAAAAAGCATGCTAGAAGGATATTTCGGATCCATGTGAGTAGACGATGCTGGATCCATCTGATAGATGAAATAAGTACATAATATATGCATATATGCGCATACACTCACCTAAGTCGGCCATCCAGAGTCCAGACAGATCTCCAGCACGACAATATTGTCATGTGCCAACAGCATGCCGTCGGCCAAGTCGAGGCGGTCTTCAGTGTGAGTGATGGTGACCATTGCAGAGACGTGTCAATTGATTGGATTGGAATTACATAATGGTGTTGATATTGGTATAGAATAGGGAGATAAGCAAAAATCAAGTGTAGCGCGTCGATTTGATAGGAATTTGCCGGCGGGCTTTGAATAGTCATGTCACAGAGGCTGACGACGGTGTGCCCACTTTCAGAAAATTCATCGTCCTAATCCAATTTACCAGCATTCGCGCCATCGGCACCAGTTAGGTTTACTCCTTGGCTTTGAGAACAGTTCTACGAAAACGATATCTGTGGCTGCACCATCTTGTGACGGCACCTTTGTTACACCTCCAGAAACACCTCCGATAGCTATCCCAAAGTCCAGCCAATGCCAAGCATCGGCTGGTTCCATCCACTCTACAAAGGCTCTGTACCTTGATTCTTCCCAACCATCCTCGTCTGCTCTCAGTAGTCCGAACATGATGCCCCCGCCTCTACTACCCTCGAGCGTCACATGATCTCTTCAATCGGAAAGTCGCCTATCAGAAGTTTGTAATTCAATTCGAGCCCAGCTTGTTGCATCACTGCATGACACTCCGGCCCTTCACATGCACAAGTTATCCCATGCAGAACTAGAATCCATCGTAACACAAGTCATCAGAGAGGAAGGTTTTGCTCAACTGGTAAGCGTTCTCGGAGTCGTCGAATCAATAAATCATAACCGCAGATGACGCTGCTAATCGGATTCCCGTTTGCTTCCTTGGACACTATGTGGAGAGTGAAGGGTTTTTTTGGTCAATAATACCTGACAGTCTTGAACGCTACCCATTTATTGTTATCCTTTGGAATGTTAGCTTGTATGTGTATAAAGTCTTTTCGATCACGGTCGTTACTATCAAGCACCTATCTCATACCTAGCTTTTATTGATGTACCAAGAACTTGCAATTCATGAACACTTTCCACACCGACACTAGTGCTCTGGCGGCGGGCGCCCTTTAGGTACTTTACTTCAGTTTCACCCATTTTTCGTTGTATTACTCTATATGATACATTGGATGTATCTGGATATGTCTGATATCTGGCTGACAGCTACTCTACTGGATGACTTGTGTCTGACAGATGGTATGTTTGGTATCATTGTATCGCTACAATATTTCAAATGTCGGATATCACAGGTATATACAATTGGCGGCGTCAGAAAATTCAATATATCATGTGATCTCTGGATTCGGTAATTTTGGTGATGTGTGTCACCAGCCAATTGTAACCTCATAAAGCCTAACGCTGCCTCTATACCTTCCACACCTCGAAACCTCACGTTGATTCGCCAGAACGTGACCGGTTGACCACCCAAGGCCTTCCGCCACTTCCTGCTTTCGTCCAGTCATTAGACAGATATCAGAGTGATTCTACTTGATAAACTGTGAGATGGATGATGATTTAAATAATACAAATGAACCTTATCACTCACTCAGGAAGATATCTCAACATATAAGGTAAGGAGACATGAGAAAAAAAAATATCCAGGGGTGACGACGTGTCCGGCGTTGTAGGGACAATGTAGCATGAGGGAAAGAGGGCTTTGGCAGAGAAAGACGACGATGTCATATAAAGGCGTGCATGGCAGTATGACAGATCTAGTACGTGAGCTAACTTAAAGATTCGACCAATCTCATCTGGACATCGATCATCAGGCACCTATGCCATTGCGATTCAATTCCCTCGACGTCAGGAGAGTTGTCTCCGTGTAGGCAGTTGTCAAATCCAGACACCAGAACCAAGGTGCCTATCAATTTTTGTCAATGCTGCGGACTCACTCACGATGCTCTCTTATCAGCCTTTCATATTCGATGATTGAACATACTGTAGCAGTTGCAAGCCCTCGGGTTGCCAGCATTTCACGGTCGTTTGCACAGCAATATTGACTCATTTGCATCAGTACCCGACTGCCTCAGGCAACGTCTACCTTACTGATATTCTTGTTCGTCTTCACACTGCCATTTCTTCCCACAGGCCAGAGGCACATGGAACATCACACACACGATGGCTGAGCTTGCTCCTCATGGAGTTCATTTGGAACCCAAGACATCCACTGGCATCAATCTAAAGTGTCGCTGGAATTGCATGGGAAATCCTGGAGAGGTTCTCGAGCGCACTCTAATGCTCTGATGATGAAATGCGATTGCTGTATGAATGTTTGTAACCACATCCATTTTTAAATAAATATCTGCGCAACACATTCATTCCCCCGCGAGCGGATGGAAATAATGCTGCTTCTGTTTCACCAAGCCATCTGTGCCAACAAGTACCACTTGGGAGTCAGTTGAAAAAAAGGATTGTGATACACGGAGGTGCAGAATGAGCAGTTCAACGTCGTATATCGTACGTGCATTGAGGTCGGACAGATAGTGGTTAGGCTGGGACTAGGGATTGGCTCGGTTCAAACGCTGGCGAGATTCCCGCCGAAGGGGCGGGAGATCTCGACATGCCAGTCGATTGAATGTCTATGA